ATAGAGAATACATGTTCAACCACACATTTAGATATATAGACGATATACTACATGTATCAAAAGATGCATCGGAATTTGAGAGACACATATCCGATATCTACCCCAGTTCACTGGAGATAGAAAAAACAAACAGTAATAACAAAGTAACAAACTTTTTAGACTTAACTATAGATACTAGCAACCGAAATAATGTCAAGTTTAGTTTGTACAGTAAAACAGATAGCTATGATTTTAGAGTTATTAGGTATCCTCACTGGAAATCTAACATACCTAGATACATACTAATAAATACTTTTACTTCAGAAGTACTCATTTTTTATAGAATCTGTTCTGGTTATCTAGAGTTTAAGGAAAGAGTAATAGATCTAGGTAAGATATCCAAAAATAATGGATGGGAAGGTAGTTACTTCATAAATATCGTATACCACACCTTACATGACAGGCCATTCATTTTACATAAGTATTTTCCTACGTCTATTCATCTCCCTTTGATACATGACCTACAAGAATTGTGGACTAAAGATAACGCGCCGGAATAGCAAGGTCACATTCAAATTGAGTTGATGCATGCCATCGTGTCTATCACTCTCTTTGTGCTCATCTTCGCCATCCTCTACGCTGCATCTGTTATATTTTGTTAAATTGGCTAACTCTCATAATTGTTTCTGACTCTTTACCACTCTTTATCATGTTTATGAATACCTTTTGAAGCTTTCTTGGGAACTACTGATGATGGGGCACCAAGAAAGCTACACTACAAGTTTAGTTCTTAGCCCCGAAACCGGTCGTGTAAAAAACAGTAGTTACCTTTCGGATATTTTGGAATTCTTGGAATGTTCTTTCTCATTGTGGACTTATCTCTTTGTTTATGCATAGTGTGTATAACTTACGTAAACTGATGAAATGCCCTATCTTCTGTACTTTTATAATGTGCTTACAATGAGTTATGGACACCTGGAATATTGCAAAGTCGCGTCGCGATTAAAATCGCTTGAAGTATGCCCGGCCCTTAAGATAACCCTTATACACGAAGTTTAAAGCAAGCTCTACCACAAAAAAATTTTGGAGCCCGGATAGCCGAATAGCGCCAAACTAATATCGAACTCGTAATCGGCATGCTCGATTACCCCCCTGTGATAAATCCGAGCCCCGTAGCTCAAACTTTGTAAAAAAAATCGATAAAATCGATAAAAGTAATCGATAATTCTGAAAACTAATATTGTATTCGGAATCCCCATGCTCGATTACCCCCATGTGCCAACTCCCAGCCCCGTAGGTAAACTCTGCAAAAAAATGGGTGTATGCCAAGATGAACGATAGGTGGAAATAAGCATACTGTACTCGTGCGGTTGTCAATATGCCACGCCTAAAGTCTTATTTTTTGTAGCGATATGTTCTTCACTGGGTTGTAAATGGTGTCGAATAGTAAGAATAAGGCGGCGCAGAGCTTCCACCGTTTTTTCCAAAATTTTAAATGTCATCATAACGTAAATCTAGAATCTAGGAAATATTTGACCTACGCAACGCACACGGCTGGCACAATCTATCGTTCATGTTGGCTGCCCCCCCCCAAAAATCGATAAAAATCGATAAAATCGATGTCGATCGATGACGAAAAGTAGCCTATGACACCCGCCGGGGCTCGAAGTGTATGTGTGCCAAGTTTGGTCCGGATCGGTTCAGAAATGGAATTTTCTATTCGGAACATACGTACATACAGACATACATACATACATACATACATACATACATACATACATACATACATACATACATACATACATACATACAAACAGACATTCAGCTTTATATATAAATTAGGCGTAGCGTCCAAAACGGACGCTACTCAAACAACGATTGATACCTCGGGTCGCATTTGCGCCGCAAAATGCGACAAGCTCAAGCAGCCTGACCTTTTAAGGAGTTGCGCCTGACCCGATTAACTTTCTCGCCGAAGAAGCCTTTCCGTCCTAGTTTTATGTGATTCGCTAGCACAAATCTCGAAGATTCTACAGCAGGTGTTTGAGCTTACCTCGACTTGTTTCGGCTTAAAGGTAATCGATGGAGTTGAAGCACTAAAGATGGAGAATGCGGTGATTGAAGTTTTGGCAGCATACCTTGATCCACTTTATGACCGATATAAAGTCTGAATTCTACATAGGCTGATAAAGAGCATTTCTTCATTACGAGTAAAGAAAGCTGACTTTTTTCACTTTGGGTGAGCAAGTTAATCATGTTTGAATATCACGTTTTTGAGACGTTAGGAAACACCAGAAAGTGTAATAGGTAATGGTTTGTGGAGCGCGTAGGGGACATCTGACCAGATTACGGAAATAATACCCCCAATTCACGCGGCAAGCTTCTTTGGTGACCTTACGGGTAAGGTAATAGATAAAAACTGAAATTTTTGAGATTTCGTTGGTGGGGTTGACCAATATGCTGTTCCTAACTCATTCCCTTTAGCTGTGATATTTACCGGTTTGGCGCTTTTCTTCTTCACCTTACTCGTAGTAGTAAAGTGAAGAAGAAAAGTATTTCCTCAATTAAAGTATTTCCTTAACACGTTTCGGACCGCGAAATCGCGCGGCGAAAAAGAGGGTACTTTTAGCCGTTAGCCAACAAAGGGACCTTAATTCGTAGATTGTGTACTACATCTGTAACCAGCATGTCAGATAAGATCCATACCCAGAGTTCTGAGTGAATTCGAAGTGTTTGAATTTTTTCGTCTGAGAAGGACTTCTGTGCTTTCTTGAAAGATGGAAACAAGAACTCAGTCTCTAATTGTATCCAAAAGTATCTAAGATGTGTATCATGTTGTACATGATACACATCTTTATTGGAACTGTTTTCCTCTTTGTATCCAAAGTCAAGGAGAGTTGCGACGTCGCACGCGTCGTTCACGTTGCCGCACTTCGTCGCAACTGATGTTCGATTTGTCCTCATGTCTCCTGAACAAATATCGATGGCACAGCTCTACAGACCCTTTCGAAAAAGGAGGAGCTTACGCCTTTGACTTGATGATCTTGGACAAAAAGAAAACCTCCTATGAACGATGAAAAGATCCTCCAAAAGCGCCTGCTGCACCATGTGCAGCACCGGTCCGAAACGTGTTAATTTCTGGACATACTCGTCTTGATTACGACACCCCCTCCCCTCAGTCGTTACGGTGTGCTTCATAGTCCTCCCCAATTGAAGCTTTTAGTATTCCTTCGTGTATGGATGTATCTATCCACCAATGTCTAAAGGGACTTTATGCCGCGGGCAATGACTTTTCATGCAAGGTGCGATCAAGGGGAACATGACCTCTCCAGGGTAAAGGTGTTCATGGGAGTCCTGTCTTTCTTGGATGAAGGGGTCATCAAGGTCAACTCGCTGTGAAAGGCGTTGACCGGATGGGGAAGGGGAGGTACGCTCAATGTCTGCTTTGAGATTTCGTACAGATTATATGAAGTAGCAGGCATTACAATCAGTGGAATAAAAGTATGTATTTTACAGCGTTTCAAGATAAAAAGGATGGTAATCTTGGCCAGTAGGAGGATATTGAGACAAAGGGTGAATGTGTTTATAATCTTTTTTCTGCTGTTAAGAAATTTATAAAACTGATGGAAAGCTAGGAATGTAGCTAGAATATGCTCCTGTATGCCGGAAGAAACCTTTCTAGCAGTTCTAAACATATTACTAAATACGGAAAGTTTCATGTTACGCGGATGTGCTGAACTTTAATGAATTAGAATGTTTTCACTAGTCGGCTTACGGAACCTCGTTGTACGCCATGTATCACTGGACAGATACACTGAACACTGAGATTAGCTAACCAGTTGTCATTGGGCTTTTCACCAGTAATTTAATATTGGGCAATTGCGCAATGATTTTCAAGACATGTGTCAACTTCTTGCGGGGTAGAGTACGTGATGCAGCTCAATACAACGGCATCACAGAAGAGGCTTACGTGAGAGATCAGGACCTTCCATATTAGACATGTAGGCTACAGCGACTGTAGGTGCAAACCTTTGCCCCATTGCTAACCCCCTAACTTGCTTATAACTGCCCAGACCAGCGGAATATCGAATACTTGAAATAATCGTCTAGCAACGTTATGACGTGCCTTATGCTAAAACCTTCCAGATTGAGCAAGCTATGGTGCTCACATATAAGCTCATATACTGCCTGCATAGCTTAGCATTGGAGACGTTGGTGTAGAGGGAAGTGACGTCGAAGGACTCTACAACGCACTTCTAATCGCGCCCGGGGTTTCCGCTCAAGGAACGTGTTGGTGTTGGCAAGATGAGTAAGCACATATTTAGCAGCTGCCAAAGTTTGATCGAATAAAAAGTTTCCTCCACAATACAATATAATGAAGAAGCAATGCGCCAGAAAACGGGAACGGAAATTTCAATTATAAAAGTTTCTTACGACTTATGATTGCAAAGCATGTGCAAAAACAAAGCTCTATCTGATTTTGAGGTCTTTGATTCTTGTCTTTGTTAGCAGCAGGACATCTGTCTGTTAAATGACAATTTCCTGAGTTGTGCTTTTCAATTACACCGTAATAGGTGAAAATTGCTTCCCTCTGTAGTTTTGAATTTTCGCACTTTCCTGAAATACTTTTATCACCTCTTATTCTCAGAAAAGAAAATTACGAGCATCCGTTACATAAAGTGCAGTCCGTGAAACCCTTCTCTAAATCTCACAGTTTTCATCCCTTATTTGAAAGGGGCTCGCTCTGTTATACCAAATTTTGTTCCTCGATGCGCGTGAATTTAGAAGGCTGCAGCGTTTTGAATCAGCAGTGAACATTTTAAAAATGTACACAATATTCGTTCTGATACTAGGAGACTTAAGTCGCTTCGCACACATCGTCTAAGCAAGCTACAACTTGTTCTTTCCATTCCATCTACTATTGATCTAGGCGATAAAGATCGCAAGTGGCTTGTCAGCTACAAAATTTTGAGTGCTTTATGTGATCAGTTAGCATGGATTTTGAACTCATCAATTGATTCCAGGACAGTACTGAATAGAAAGCGATGACAGCCACTTTCGAGCAGTTAAAGGAGGAAGCTGACTCGCACAACGTTAGCAGGAAGAATGCTCCCCTCTGTAGAGTTTGTGAACGAGGATATGACGGTTCACAGCATTTCGGAATTGAGGTAAGTTTGCTTGATTTTGAACATTAACTTTTCAAAGATCGAATGCTGGGGACGTGTGGAAAATGCCCAGAATCCGCAGGCACGGCGTAACATTCAATGAGGCCGCGCAGTACCGAGCCGCATGTATCCGTATTATTTGTATTCGACAGCTCTAGGCTGTTCTCTGCCTCAACGACAGCGTCGGCGGTCATTGAGACAATACCCTGAAGTTGTCGACTGCACAGAATAGCCGACATGTAGCACCCGAAGTGCCATAGAAATACCTCACAAACATGTGCAATGACGACGTTATTGCTACAAGCGTGTTAGCCTTGCATGGTGCGCTTTGCAATGACGGCGACTCCGTGCGGTGATGACTGACATATCTGCAAATAGAAAGGATGTGAAAACGTTATACTTAAAAGAAAATAAAAGAGAAGAATAAAAGAAAAGGAATGTGACGCTCTCAGCGGGCAAGTAAGCAAAAAAGACGCGGAAACCATGACATAAGTGCAGTAAAGCATCCCTGATCAGAATTGAGCGTAATTGCAGTTGAAGGTATTGGCCATTTCCAAACGAGAAAATATCTGCTGGGAAGGATTTGTAGATATATGTTGCCATTTTGACTAGTTGTATCGCTGATTTGTTGTAAATCGATCTCTGGGTTTTTTGTTAAAGGCAGTGTCCAGGCTAAACCTAACCCCCTCCGATTAGTGTCGCTCCTGAATGTAGGCCCCAGAAAAGGGGCATCTGCGTTGGTCCGGTCTTCTAACGTTGTCTCTGAATGGAGATAAAGGGCCTGAAAGTCCCTGGCTAGGCGGAGTCTGATATCAGACTCCGCCCACCAGGGACTGCTCACTACCTTGTCAATACGTGCCTCTCGACACGTATTGACAAGGTAGTGAGCAGAAGCTGCACACTGCACACTGCAATGCAACTGCACCCATGCAGTTGCAGCTGATTCCCGCTGGCCTGCCGACGGGGACGAGCAATTCGAAACTCGTCCGCGCCTTCAAGACTGGGTCCCCAAGAGTCGGGTTTTTTGTGAATTTTAGAGAGTTTGAAGTTCGGAACTGTAATCAGGGCCACGGAAAGGCCCCAGAATAACGAAAACATGGGGGGCCAAATTCTGGGTGGACGCTGCCTTTAAAATCAAGCTCCGTTTCCATAAATTCCGCCTGTTAAAGGGCTCACTGATGTCCGGTAGTAAGTGATGCGCCCTCTGCGCGCATATATAGCTGCCGTAGTCCTCAATGGTGATTCATTATTCGATTGATCACGTTGTGTCCCGTTCTACAACGAAGAAACGAGTACAACACTGGCGATCAGTAGATAGGACATTCCTGTGGAGTGGACGAAATTTTGTTCAATCGACCAAATCGATCAGGGACTTCCAGTGAAAGGATGACCACATCGAGCACATTACTGGAGTAAATGTCCCTTCAGCTAATGCAGCAGAACGCTGCCGTTATGAAAGTATACCAGGAGCAGTCAGTGAAAGTATAACTACTACAGCGGATAGACCGTTCAGCTGCTTCTGCTACGCTGGGTGACTACTCAGCACTTTTGGTGCAGATATCCCTCTTCAGCTACGATCCCGAATGCAGGTGCACCTTCGATCGGCCATCAGGTTTGAGAAAATAGTTTCATCAAGTCCGATGCCCGAAAAGGGCTGATGCGCTCTGCTGTTTTTAAAACTGGATATTGCTGCCACCAAGGGTTCGACTGTCCCCGTCTTGTTGAGGGTGCACAGCTCTGAAAATAAAAGATACTGTGCCAACAACCGCTAGTAAGGGAACCGGTCAGCCTGCCGTTCCCAGGAGGTTGTGAAGCCGAACGTGCTGAACTCCCACCGTCGCTGCGAGGATGCTAAGCTGAAGGACTCGGATGAAAAACTGGAACTCAACGTCGGCGCCGACGTATCGACAATCAGCTTGAGGAAGGGATAGAGTATAAGGAACGCCAACCCTCTGAGACCCGCCTGCGGATTTGAGAGCTGCAATTGGACCGCTGATCGAAGTATTTGAACTTCATGAGGTGCCGTTCACATCCAATGATTCGATAGCAAAGGGTTATTCTATGTGACTAAAGACCTGAGTTGCTAGGATTGGGCACGCTTTAACAGCTGCAGCCCATCCGCCAGGCTTGCTCTGCAGTTTGTTGTGTCATAAGTACCTCCTCGCCTTTACGATCGCCTCTCAGTTAAGTTTTCAGATACTGCTCTCATAACCGTATTGCTAAACCAGACGAGACGTTCCTTAAATTACGTATCTTCATAAGACTGCTTTCAAAGTGCCTGTGATTGGACTGTAGAGTTTTCGACGTGGCTGCAGTATCAGCCTACAATGCGTTCAACGAGACCAGCGCCGCATAGTGCAGTCACACATCTACGCGCGAGCGTTACCGGCAGGGACCATGCTGCGCAAAACATCGCGGGCCTTGTTTTTATCATTGTATCTTGTAATTTTTTTTGTAGCGCCGTATTGCCATTTTTCTTGCTTCTGTGCTTATATGCGATTTGTCTTGATACCGAATATGATTTTATCGCAGCTAAGGAAGGAGGTATCAAATCTTTGAGCGTTTTTTTTCATGACATTTTTCATTTTATCCAGGCCTTCTTCAGATGGCTGATTCCGGATGATGTCGTGATTCATTATTTCGACTATGTTTCAGCGGGCATAATCGTATGTTGTCTAAGTTTGTCGTATAGGCTGAGAAACAGTTTGAGTGAGCAGCGCTTTGGCGCTGTTCACACAAACTGTTCTCTCAACCTATAAGACATACGATCACACCTCACATAACCACCTTTAGCTGTGAAGAGGAAGAGCATCAGCCGTTTTCAGAATTCTTGTATAAAAGATTTAGATTGCATCTTCTTTTACACCTCAAACCTCCATTTTGTCCTCCAATTCGCGCAGTGATACTTTGAGAGATCTCAGGAAGAGCACCGAAGTAGAGTTTTAGACAGGAAAAGCTCAGAGATTTGGAAGCAGGACAGCGGAAAAGCTAAGAAAGAAGAAGGAAGAGTAGCTAATTCAAGGACCACGCTGCTTTACACGGCATGGTCCCTGCACGCTGCAGCCCGGTAGCGCTCGCGCGCAGGTGTGTAACTGCACTACGCGGCGCTGGCCCCGTCAAACGCATTGTAAATGTCAGCTGCATAACAAAACGGAAAAATATTGAAACAAATAGTCGAAGCTTTGGGTCCGTCAGCAAATTTATAGCTTTGTTTATAACCATTTGCAAGACAGAACACAGAATACCAGTGTTACCAGTGTTGCGCATTTGGGTGTGCATTCTGTCGGATTTGATGATTTAAATGAACTTGAGTCCTTGCCGAAAATCCGGCTGTTTGGTGTCAAATTTGGCTGTTTTGACTCTTCTTTCTCATCAGCAACTTCCGCTCATTCAAGCTGCGCTTATCTATTATGTTGCTGCAGAGTAAATGCAGCAAAACAGTCGTATTTTTATAGAAACTATCACCTTCAAAAGTTCGATGTATGAATTTTCAGATGTAGACCGAAGGCAATGATGTTAGTTTATTTATGTATCAGCCTACTGTCCACTTCTCGCATGTTGCCAGGATTGGGAAAAAAGCTAGTTGATTGCGGGTTTTCATCAAAGGCTAGATGACGTTCAAAAACAGACCTCTGTTGTAGTAATCGTTGTAACAAATGAAGAAGAACAACGCAATCAATACAAATTAGTCGTAGAAGTTAAGATATCTCTTACACTTGTGTTAGTATGGCGAAAGTGGAGGAGAGCGACGCGCTTGGAAACATATTTCTCGCGAACTCTGCGAAAGCAACTAAAGATTAATTCAAAAGAAATGCAACAAGAGCTCACAAATTGCAGTAAGAGTGATTTGAAACCTTTGATATCGGCGAAAAATAGCTATGTCAGTATACTTCAATATTAGCGACCTACGGAAGCCAACACAGCTGCGAGAGATGGCCAATCTTGCACAAAATAAATTTGTCCATATTTGATGCATCTCGATCAAATTATATTATAATTACAGATTTTATACTTGAAGGAGTGTAGCAGCTGGCCTGGAGCATGTTGAGTGAAAATCTGCCATTACATTGTCTGTCTTTTGCTTCTGAGTAACATAAGAAGCTGGCGTAGATGATCCACCAATCTTCTCCCTTCATAGTAAACTTCTCTCATACATTTAGCTTTAGGTGTGTCGAGCTTGTGCAGCATTCTTTCGTCGAGCAGTTGAAGGTCGCAAGAAGTTTGTCTGTCGCAAAGGTGGTGACCGCTGCCAGCTTAACGGTGTGTTCTGTTTTGCTTACGTTCTTCTTCTTTTCTCGTTCTTCCTAATTTATTAGCGGCGTGTTCAGATAAAATAAACCACTTCTTTTCTAGCACCTCGAAAGGTAACGTGTCAAAAATGTCGATTTATGCAATGTCTGAAAGTTGGACTTCAGCCTGAATGTGAGCTGCTGTGCCCATTCTCTGTCATTATTCAAAAAGTAGTTTCTATTCTACTCCAACTATTTAGTAGTCCAATGTAAGCGCCTGTCCCCACACTACGACACAGCTTACTCTCCCGAATTCAAGACGGAAGTCCCGTCGACGTCCAGTGAACTGGTGCCTTTACGAAACAGTGGTTTGGACGTCGTTCCCATCGCCAATGATGTTGAAATGAAAATAACGTGTTTATTCGCTCAATGCAGGATTTCAGGCTAACTCGCTTTTTCACTCTACGATATTCCGTCCTATTCCTACCGTAAATCCTGTCTACTCATTCGATTCTACCAGCGCAAGGCCAAACCTCATTTACAGGGTGCTTCAAAATTATAGGTAAGAAGTGGATTCTAGCATCATAATCAACTCCAGTCAAAAAAGATGTGAAAAGACATTTTCTAAGTGAAGAAAGAGACTCTCCTGCCCGCGAAATGACCATTGTCAACCGTTATGAAAGTTCTTTTGTGCAATTACAATCACACGTTTCAAAAATAAACGTTTTTCAAATCTTGGCACACAAATTTTTGGCATTTGGAAGAGTGTTTAGTGAATTGAGGCGCCGCATAACTCGGATGATCAAGGTTCGAACCCGCCCTATGCCAACCAAGCCCTCTACTTTCCGGTGCAGTAAATGCGTGTCGGAGTATTTCAGGATGATCAAAGCACTGATTGGATACCAAATGACCTCCGCAAGTCATTTGAAGTTCGCGCATTCAGTCTCGACTGCTCAATAGAATGCATTTAACGCATGAGCGCAGATGGTGCTAAAAGCCAGATCTTTGATTTTTACTGTGATAGAATTCAATTTGCATGTGTCTCAAGTTGGAAAGTGAAGCATCACCTGTTTTACATGTATCCCCGCTGATCGTAGTATGGCACGAGCGAGTATCAATGTTGGTTGTTGACTACTGCTTTCATATTGCGGGAGCTAGGAAAGCTTCATAAGAAATTACTAGAAGAATTTGTAAGCGTAGGACTGCTTTCATGCTTGAATCTCGTGGAATCCAGTACGCTACAGCTCTGGTCCATCCACTGTTGTCAAAGCAAGTAACGTGTCCAACCTTATATGGTTCTACCTGGAGTATGCAGCTGGCCCTGACTTTCGATTCTGGCATAGGCTAAAAATACCCCCTCTTCTGTCGGTTTATTATCACAATCACTCGAACAGCCTGTTTTACGATGACCGCTTCATCCTGCCTCTTCATCCTAGCTTCAGTCTATGATAAAAGAAGCTTTCTTGTACTTCTTACTCTTAGCCCTTTAATGCAGTTTTGAGATATTGGACCGCTCTTCTTTTTCCAATTTGTCAGTGACAATATCCCCCAAAAATCGGATATGAGGGGAAGAGATCTAGGGTAATGCCTTCAGAACGGCGTTATCTGTAGTTGTTAGGCCTCTCTCTATCCCACGAAAGTAAATCTTAGCAAAAAAGAGGCAATGCCTGATCTCATACAGAAGTTTGGATCAACAGTGAAATCCTCTGAAAATGATTTTTATTGACCACAAGGTCCTCGTGATGGCGTTGTTCACCGATCGATTCAAATGTCTTCGTAATAATCAACAATTTCCCTTTTTTATTCAGTCATCCTACTGGTGACCTCCAATCTTCGAGTTAAGATGCCCAACGATGCCCTTGTGGAGGGTTGATCTTTTTTGTGAAATGTCTAAGTCTACGTGAAATGTCTCGAGCTTGGTCTCATCTTCAGCTCTTTAATTTACGCAATGTAGACTGTCAAAGCTGAGATGAATTCAAACTTCAGAATTTTTAAGTTTAATTCTACATGTTATTTATCCGAAAAATTGATGTGCACGGCCAAACTCGTACTGATAAGAGCTCTTTAAAACCTCTATTGTTTTCAAGAACAGCCCTTGTTCGCCTTCGAAGTTGGCTTCAGGTCGGTGGATCTCCTTGTGTCTGTCAATTCTATAACGTCTTACCTTGATCTACCTTGCTCGTATCACAGAGTCTTCGATGAATGTGTTCGCTTAAGCAGCTGTAAGTACTGGCTCTCATCATTGTCTATATCGCTTTTTGGCATCCTAAATTTTTCGAACATTGTCCCCATTGACATTCCCATACCGATTTTTATAAGACTGAAGCTTTCTTAATTACCAGGTGAAGATAGCAATTCACCTAACGGATGAAGGCTAGTCCCAAAAACATAAATCTATTATGGCAAACTGGAGAGCACTTTGACCAGCCGCCATCACAGAAGCGCATGAATTGCACCAATAGATGCCAGTCAAATCTCTTGCGCTATTACAAATACCTATCTCATATAGGCATCCGCATTCGTCCGAACTCGTGATTTGTCTGGCTGGAAATACTGCTGAAGAACAGCGGTAGGGAAGGGGGGGGGGGGGAGGGCGGGAGCTGAGATTTGGGAAGATCGTTTGTTGGAAGCGTTTGCAAACCACCTTCCCTCACCTCCAAATTGCAGCTTTTGATCAATAACAGATGCAATACAGCATTGAATTTTGTGAAAGCAGCTTTTTTGCCAACCGAAGACTTCAAACTGTTAGCGATTGCCACTGCCCTGGTACGGCAGGTAATCATCATCAACTTCGTCCCACGCCTTTACGGAAACAGTACCTATCGCTTAAAAAATGTACGGTATGATAGAGCAAGCTTCCAGCTACAACATACTATAAAATTTTTTTTGAAATGTAGGATTTAAATTACATGATTTATACAGGTATGCGTAGACCTCATGCTGGAGGTTTTACACAACTGCGGAAAATCAAAACAAAAAATCGGTTACAACGTGTTTTGAAACCAACCTCGTCATTCAATTTAACCTTAAAATCATCTGAAAGAACGTAGAGAGAATATCACTTTGGATCCAGTAACTACTTCACCCCTAGATATTAAAAATTAATTTCATAGTGGCTATGGCATGCATCAAAAATTTCAGTAGATTTTGGCGTAGAGCAACTATAGTGTTATAGTCGTCCTCCCCCCACTAGACACCCAGTGGACGAATTTGAATTAACTAGAGCACGCCGGTTGCGGCAAAGCGCGGCACCGTCAAATTCGTTTCAAACTCTTGCAGTGTTCTTTTGTATTTCTCGTCGTTGCATAGCAATTTATTTATCTCAGTGGCGTTTGTAATCAGAATTGGCGAGTTTGTTGTTGTTTAGCTATGCCTTATGCCTTTCATACCTTATGCTTCTCTCTAGCTCTATTTTCAAATAAAGTTGAAAAAACAGCATGAAACTTCCCTCAAAAGCAGTACAATCTCCAATCTCAACTAAGAAGACTGTTAGCATTCAAAAATTGCATAAAACGTCGGAGAAACTCAAAGAAAAACTTTGAGTTTGAATTAAAAGCCGAATGTGCCGCGCTCTGCCGCAACCAGAATGCTCCATTTCAAATTTGAAATCGTCCACTGGGTGTCTAGTGGGGGGAGGACGACTATAGTAGTGCAAAACCGTCCTTCGCCTTTTATTCTGGCAACGCGTCACCTCTACTCTCTCACAACCGTACGCTGGCGCCGTAAAGAACTCAGACAGGGTTTTTGGAACAATTCTCAATCTTGCGCTGCTATACAGTAAAGTCGTAAGGAAATGACGTACCATTCGAAAGAACTCTTCATTCTCTTTGATATGTTAAATGCATGAAATTTCTTTCAATTTCAGAAAAAAAAGCGAAAAAACATGAATAATATCTATTTTGGCGTAATAAGAACAAAAAAAATCATGTGTTTTGCCCTACATTTTCCGAAGATAGATAAAATCTGAGGTAAGCTGCATATGGATGGATAGAGCGTAAAAAGCTCTATCAGATGGTACCTAGAAAACATACGTTCACCTGTAAAGATTTGAATAGCGCGTGTCTTTGTCCTCAAAGCTGCTAATGGCCATATCCCCTGACTTTGAAAGTTGAGGCCACCAAGCCGCGTGGGTTTAGTGACTGTTCCACCACACACTCCAGCAGTGGTACTTTGGCTGATCTGACATGTTTCATTGCGCAGATATGTACTGCTCAAACTTCATGATTTATCTAAGTGATTGACTTTGCATTTCAGCAAGTATAAAAATTATTAATTATGTAAATGAACTTACATAGGTACTGTCTACAAGAGAATAACATATTCTATCATATTTTAAAATTGGAAAGTCTAATCACTTTTCTTTTTTTGAGAAACCTCCAGTTATTTCGTAAGTGCCCCATTTTTTACCGTTCATCTAATATGTCGTAGAAGATGATTGCTCTACTCTGTGGCATAAATGTGAAATTGAAACTACCAGTGATTTATAAATGATAGTGATGCAAACCTAGGCTATAAGACTTTTGGGACATCCTGTATTGGTGGACTGAAATTTGAATGAGGGTGTTCTTATTACAAAGATTTTTCCGAGTTGTTGACTTGATGTTCGCCATATCGAAGCCTTTAGTTGGAGTATATACAAATCCAATTCTTTTACCGTAACAATTGGCCGAATATAGTACCGGGTAATAACATTAAACGAAAACACGAAAAGAGGCCATAGGAATTTGAAGATAGGAGAAACTGTAATTATGTGTTCGTTGTCAAAACATTAATGCTAGGAGTGAGTGATGCATCGAGTTATCACTTGGTGTTTATACGAAGTGTCAGAGTGGATCTAATCTTGCTCTATGCTAGGGTCAAACTTGATGAACCAAGTTCATACGGATTAAGCGCATTCGGGGTAATGTTTACCCTTAAGGGTAAGATCTACCCTCAAGGTCGTTGATGATTACGGGTTAATCCTTTAGGGATAAACATTACTTTCAAGAATTCGTTGATGAATACGGCCAATGAATCTAAAAGTAAGATCCACACTTAGGGTAAAGTTTACCCTCAGGGTTCGTTTGGCCGGTTGATGAATACGGCTACTGGAATGACTTTTGAGATAGTTGTCATTTCAACGAAAAGTGAGCACCTCATGGATGTCAAGTGATCCCACTTGACATCCATGAGGTAATAAGCTTTTAGTTTGTAGCTTCTCAGCGATTTCAAGACAACTTGAATGTTTTTTGATAGGAGGATGTATGATGAGCGATGGGTAATGGAGCTCGATATGCCGGGAAACGAGAATGCACCCACCTATTCCGCTGTTGGCAAGGTATCTTCTTTTTTGCCGCTAAAGCTCCGGTTTGCACCTTCGAGCGGAAATGCTTTGCGTGACTAAGAGCAAGGTTTTCTAGGTTTTCTACTTAGCTTCACTGTCGCGTCTGTCCACAATTATGCGCAAGCAGATGGCTTATATCTACAGATTTATACAAGAAACGTTCGACGATTTTGCTTGCTTTAATCAAGCTGAACAGGTGCGGCTAAAAAATTCATAGCCATTTGCATCTTATTGTAACTATGTCATTTCTACAGCAAATGATAGTGCATCGATTCATGACATGCCTCTGGGAATTGGAAGGCTCGTACTGGACTTACCGAAACATTCCAGCTCAAGCAGATGAAAAGTACGGTCGTTTTTTGAAGGCATAGTCATTCATGTGATCATAAACGTAAGCAGGAGATGCTCAAAGGTAACGTTCAAGCAAATCAGGGTTTTGCGACTGGATGCTATATAAGGATGCTTGGCACGTCCACCGAATGCGGACTTACAACGTAAAAGAGAGCGAGGGAACAGCTTCAGAAAGATGGAAACAAGGGCTAGTGTCTCCCACTTACTTCCCTACCAGCACTGAGATGTGAATACCAGACACTTGAGATCACCAGTACTTACAATAACTCCGTTCTAACCTTGATAAGCTCTGTTCACTCGTTCATCAAAGGTCTTCTGATGAAACCCGTTGCGGTTTCAAAAATATACGGCTGTTTTGATTGCTGCATAAGTACTGTGCATTTAGCAGTTTTCAAATTCAAAATATCATATATAACTCCGTTCACAAGTAACCTTTTTTTTCTCGAACTCAGTCTCCTTGGGCTGAGCAAGTTCTTAGTTATCATAATGGTGTGGAGACTTACGTAAACTTTACGTACCTGTTTGGAGGAGAGACCGTATTCCTACCACTTAAGCTCTAAACCTGCAATCTCGTCAGATCGACTTGCTGAAACTCAATATGTGTCAGACAAGAGAAACGCTTCTCAATAGTACAAAACTACCGCATCGGAAGAAATTCATTGAACATCTGTTTTAAACATAAGGCAACAAAAAACGGACAGCTTATACAGCCACCCTTAAATGGTAACTGTTCAAAGGCTAGACACTGCCAAACGACTGCGTTTAGCGATTTGATTGGTGTGAAGGCGATGGTCAGACTTGCAGTAGTCTGGCCCCATTAGGTCCCCAATCATCGCTTCAACAAGCCTCTTCTGGCACTGTCTATTTTGACGATTGCAAATCAACAAACGTGCACCTGTTGAAAGATAATCTGCACGTTTCAGGATGATGCTCACTCTGACCACCTATAGCGACATGGAGAACCTAGAATATTTGATAATGGACAAGAAGGAACCGCAAGATCTTTGCCAATTGAAACAGTAAGTGTGCATCTGCATCAAGCTACAATGCGTTTCATACGTACAAGACATAAAACGCTTTCATAAAATGCCGAACAAATTTGCGACTTCGGATTCATAAAAGAAATGGAGTATCCTCTCATACCTCTGCCGCGTCACATGGTACTGGATAAAATGATATCCCAATCTACCTCGACTTGACGGCTCTTCTGAACCTAAGAGCATGTCTAATCTTCCACTGTTTCACAGCCATACGGCTCCATGAGCATCAGTGATAATGTTAAAGTAGTTTGCAAGTTTGAGATCATCAATAATGCAAGTTGGAAACTTGCCAGGAAAAAATCGAAAAATCTCAAAGGAATCAAAAACATAATTTTTTATGTGTGATATATGTTGGGTGGACTCAGAGGTTCGTTCGCATTATTTTTCAAAAATCGTAACTCTCTACTATCTGTCTATATTTGCCCATAATAAATTTTTTTAGAATGAAGAGATCATGTAGTTTCTAATTGCAGGTATTCTAATGAGCACAAGTCGCAAAATCAAAAATGCAAGATCACTCAAATCTTGGTAATTTTATGAAAGCTGACCAAAAATTTAAAAACGTTACAAGAAACACCGAAACAAAAACATATGTTTTATGACCTACTCTTTCTATTAAGTTGTGTAGTAAGTTCTGTTCCTTTTTTTCTTTCGATTTACAATAATTCGCACGGTGTTTTGCAAAATGTATTAGGTTGTCCCAAAAGTTCTTGCGCCGGATTTTCAAAAAATCATAACTTCCCTGCCACTCAATGGATTTTCTTGATTTCATTTTCATTTGAAAGAGAAAACCTTTCTCTTTACAGCAGTACCTTTGCCATGAATTGGTATTAGGAAGTTCAAGAGCTAGAGGCAATTGAACGAAATCAGTCAAGATCGACATTTTTCAAGCTGGATCACGAAAAATTTTGGAAGTATTTTTGTTTGATAAAGAAAATTTTGCACATTACAGTGGTACCTTTTCCATGAATTAAAACTGAGTAGACCGAGAGTTAGAAGCAAATAAAGAGAATTTCTTCACTTTTGCAATTTTTGAGCATGCTCAAAAAAGCTTGAAAACGTCACAGAGAAGGCGAAAAAGTCATAAGCATGGGTTTTGCTACCTTCCCTTTCTAGCTGAGCAAAAATCGTGCCATTCGGGAGCAAATTTGATTTTCGTGATTTTTTCGGATTTTCGGGTCTGCGTTTTTCACGAAAATCAAAATTGCTCTCGATCAGCTCGAAACTCACTCAGCTAAAAAGGAAAAATCGCAAAACCCATGTTTATGACTTTTTCGCTTTTTCTGTGACGTTTTCAAACTTTTTTGAGCATGCTCAAAAATTGCAAAAATGAAGAAATTCTTTTTATTTGCTTCTAACTCTCGGTCTACTCAGTTTTAATTCATGAAAAAGGTACCACTGTAATGTGCAGAATTTTCTCTATCAAATAAAAATACTTCCAGAATTTTTCGTGATCCAGCTTGAAAAATGCCAATCTTGACTGATTTCGTTCAGTTGCCTCTAGCTCTGGAACTTTCTGATACCAATTCATGGCAAAGGTACTGCTGTAAAGATAAAGGTTTTCTCTTTCAAATGAAAATGAATTCAAGAAAATCCATTAAGTGGCAGGGAAGTTATGATTTTTTGAAAATCCGGCGCAAGAACTTTTGGGACAACCTAATATATATGCATTTGAAAACTCTAAGTCTGCTCTATCAAAATCTTCACTCTAGTTTCAAACATCGGAATTCAAAAAGTTTCCCAGCATCAAGTTTGGGAAACCAAAGTGGAAAAAGCCCACTTTCGACAAATAATTTGAGTCTTCCCTCGTTTAAGTCAGAATGCTTACAAAACAGCTTGAAAGATTTGCTGAACGTAAGGAAAAAATGCTATAGCTTTTGCAGAGGTTCAAAATTGCAGAAAAGTTTCAAGAAAAGTTTTTCCAGAATCAGAAAAAGTCTTCTTTCTAACGTCTTTTCAATGTTGACGTTGGGCATCTGTTCGCCTGAGGAAGGACGATAGACAGATGATCCAAAAGAAGCAGTAGGGATGGTCTTTGGCTATAACAACATCAAGTTCATAAGTTAGTTACTCAAATTCAATGCTTGAGGGCCGCACAGCTTAGGTAGGCGAAGCGAAAAACATCGCTGGCAAATTTTTGCTTTGCCGACTTCTGAAAAAATGACATCAAAAAGTCGATTGAAGGAAGAGAACAAGCACATTCAGTGACATTACGACCATAAGAGTCTAGTAGTTGTTTTGTTTGTTGTCAAGCTTGGTGATTAATAATTAACGGGAAACGAGGAAATTTGGAAGGAAAAAGTCGTCAAAAATGGATTTTTTGGCTTTTCGGATTTCTTCTTCTGATGCCAATAATCGTTTTCAATATCCTGTTAAGTGCGAGATGAAACATATGAATTTGCAGAGAAGACTTAGAGTTTTCAAAAGCATATACACTTCATTCCAAATAGGGTGCTTATTAGTGATAAAAAGGATAGAAAAAATGGGACAGGACTTACAGCCTGATAGCTAGACTAATTATGTGCTGAACGGGTCTCTATGAAATATTATGATATTTAAAAAAACACTCGGCGTTTTACACGAATAAGCTGTTCTTGATCGGCTCGGGCTTAGCTAAAAAGTAAAAATCATGAAACTTGTGTTTATGATTGCCTCGGTTTCCGCTGTGATGGGCTTATTCTGAGCATGTTCAAAAGTTACTAAAACTATTTTTCAAAGGAAACTAAATTAGTTTCTTTTAATTGCTCCTGACTCTCGAACTGCCTCAAACTAATTTATGGCAAAGATGCCATAGTAATCTGCAAAATTTTCTCTATCAAACAAAAATACTTCCAAAAGTTTTCGTAACCCTGCTTGAAAAATGCCAGTTTCGAGTAATCTCTTTCAGCTGCTTCACCCCCGAAATTTCCCATATCAATTCATGCTACTGTTAGAAGTACTGCTGTGAAAAGCATGGTTTCCCCTTCCATACAAAATGATTTAAAGATAATCCGTCGGAAAGAACAGAAGTTGTGGTTTTTTTTGATGACGAACGAACTTCTGAACCCTCTAATATATATCGAAGAGTTGCAAGTTGCAACCCTCCATATGATTCGGGAGAAAGAATTTTTGATAAAGTTATGAAGTTGGTTGTAACAAAACTTATGGTACTACCTGATACGTAATCCTCCTTGACGGAGAACGGCGTTGTTGCCCTGCTTGGGTAATGTGTACATGCTGTTATAAAACGTAGTATTTTCGCTTATGGAAGTAGAACAGCAGCAGTCGGTTCTCCACTACTTCTTGGCGATCCGTTCCTCATCTTTGTAGAAAATCAATCCTTGAATTGCTGAAATGCCATAGGGGAGCCTCCGCTAAGGTTCCATTGATTCACGAGGTGCTTTTCATAGCAAATGAAGTTCAAGTGAAGGCTCCTTTAGGTTACGATATGTAGTTTAGAAGTTTCGTAATTAGTGATAATACTGAGGCACAGATTGAAGAAGTGGAAAACCAACAACTGCTTTCCTTTCAAAAGCGCCAAAACAGCACTATTTTATGAAGCAGCGCAATGCAGATGCGCATGCACACAAGTCAATCACCGCCGCTTCCAGTATCACGTAAAGCTTTTGCAATGCTTAGCATACTGTCCTACCCTACATCGTGCAAAAAACCTTGAGGAATATACTGCCATGATGTTTCTATGCACATAGCAATCCTGCAAGTTGTATCAATTTATATAGATGCGTGGGGCAAGATTACAACCTAGTCAGCTGGGATTTGTTAGAGGCATGTCCAATTGGCTTGATGAACCGATAAAAGGTACAATGGCCTGACTAGTCGCAAAACCCATGATCTGCATCTTCACGTCCTAGAACGTCTTGCACAAAGCTGTCGCATAGTTGTGAGGCAGCGGAAGATTAGACATGTTCTACATTCAAAATAGCATTTGAATCGAGATCCTAGATTTCCTATTATATGATAAGGTGTAAATCACAGAGGTACTGACAGGGATGCCCTACTTAAATTCCAAATTTCAGGGGAGGAGACTGACAATCAACGCACTGGATCAACATACGATATATTCAAAGTCATGTTTTAGGGTGATCATCTCATTACAAAATCATGTGCGCTCCACCTTGATCAATCAAATGCGAAGTTTCATCCTTTCTGAAGTGGAATTTGTCGCCTTACTAGCGTTGAGTCTATGGTCACAAAGTAAGTTTAGCACGGGAATATACAATCTCCTAAACCGCCGACGCGACAATTCGCTGTCGTTGGTACAGCATATCCTCTCTTATGATATAAATCTGAAAACTAAACACGCGACGTCAAGATTGCTCCGTCTCTGTGATGGTAACAATGTTTTTGAATAAACGCCAATAGCAGAACCGTTTCTGAACGTTGGGACAAGCAGCAGTGTGATGGTGAAAAGAAAAGGACGCAGACGTCGAACGCGACGGGAGCTTTTCGCGGCATGCAGGGTGCGGTTGCCGCATTTGCTGCGTTGTGATATAGACGCGATACCAAATGTGTTGAAATATGCAAGCATGTGATTATGACGAAGGTTGACGAAATCATACCAGTTATTGATTTGTTCAAACATCTCACTACACTTTTAATTCCAAATATATATTCAATTTTGCTAAGGGGTAAGTAAGCATGCTGAATACGAATATAATAGCGGTCGTGAAAATGTCCATTACTTCAATCGATTTTTGCAAATCTTGAGCTACTTAGCTGGGAACTGGGGCAGAAAGATAGGTGAGCGTGCCGATTACGAGTAAAACAACCGTTTCCGAGATTAGCCATTACTTTTGATTGGTTTTGTCGATTATTTGCAACCCTTGAGCTAAGTGGTGGAAGTTGACACTATAGCTGGAACCGAATATTCGTAGTATTTGTATATGGGAAAATGAGTTTGCTCGATTATTAGAGTCGAATAAGTGAAAAACACCTTTATTCGAAAATTCATTTATTCGCGCATTTGAAAAAACGGCTTAATTGAGTTGAATAATCGAGGAATTTTGGAAGATACTTATCCGAATATTCAATATTTGAGATCGGAAGTTATTCAAATCTTCGAAATACTCGAGCAAGTACATATTCGAATATTCGGGTGTCAGAATGTCTTCGTATGTCTGTTGCATTCGGATTTTCAAATACTATAATATCCAGCTACTCGAATATTCGAATAATCAAATATTCGACCAAGTTCAGTTATTTCGATCACTCAAAAATTCGAATTTTGAATTGTGACCATATTCGAATACGACTTCTCAAGACTAACTCGCGAATTATCTATCACCATATTTTGCAAGTATTCGCACAAAAAGGACATTGGCTCAGGTGTTGATATAAAACACAAGGGATTTCTACATGTGTTATTCACTCTATTCGGTCGGTTCATAAGCAATGCACGTTCCTTATGCTACCGCGAAAGAACAGGTATAAAAACGTAAAAAATATGTCATTGGATAAAGCAGAACAGGCTGAAACTACGCTAATCAGCGTGAAGTTGAAAGCGAGAATTCAAAAAATTTCGAACGCTCAAAATCAGTGAGCCCTCAACATCATGTTGTATGCTCAAGCATATACCTTCCCGCATTAGACCTCGGACAGAGTTCACGCGATTTCACCGCCGCGATTCAACAAAACAGTTACAAGTCTATGGCTTACCAATCATTTGCATCTCAGTTGTGATAGTTCTCCAACACGACCAATCGTGACTGACTACCATAACCGAAATGCAAGATGATCGGAACGTAATGGACTCAACTGTTTGTCTTGTTGGTATCTAAAATCGCGGCGATGAAATCGCGTGGACTCTACCCAAGGCCTTAGACATTCAGATAGACTGTGTTTTTTACATGGCTAGAAATCTAAACAGAAACTGTATGTTTTTACCAAAGTGATGCTGTGCTGTTCGCATATGATTATACACTACACCACAAACTCTTGTAACCACGAATTTTCAGCCTTCGGCAGATGCTTTGAAAATATTGAATTTGGCATGAGAACGAAAACTGCGATATTTTCTTTTTTTTTGGCCTATTTTTTCTTTTCATTTTTGATTATAAGAAAAATATCAGTAACAGCACCTCCGAATGTCTGATATGAGAGGTCCGAGTAAGAACTTGATCTCTAACCAATTCGCTTACCTCGGGTTATCCGCAATGCTTTCAAGTCCACATTAGAGAGCGCGAAAACGGCGAGGGCATGCGTTTCCTTAAGGCTTCGGGGCCTTACAATTCAGAATTAGATGGTTTCCGCCAAAGCAGAGATGGAGGGCCGCTTGGGAACCCTAAGATTTTAACTGTAGCGGCATGCGTACTCTGCCGCAAGCAAGAATTCAAATAGGTAGAGAGCCCCCCCCCCCCTCCGTTTTTGATGGTTGCGGATCGAGCACTGAGCTTTACTCTCAACAACTAGCTAGAACGTATGAAACCTTGCGCCTGAAATACCCCGCTTTGGTGAACAGGAAAAGGGCGCTCCTTTAACAAGAGCTCCTCCACACACCGTAGTGCTCCGTCCGCACATCAAGGAGTAAGATTAAAGAGCTTTTTGGGGTTGAGCTGCTTCCCCATCTATTCTCCTGAGTTAACGCCTTTAAATTATTAGTTGTTCTGATCGATGGTACATTTTTCAAAAAGGAGAACTTTTGCAAATCAAAGCGGAGTCGAAATGTAAATAGTAGGTAGAACGTTTTGCACCGAAACCCGCATATTGGTACAAGGAAGGAGTCCAAAAATTGGCTGAAAAGTGGGTCGTAATGACACCAACATCGATCACCATGATTCACATTTCGATGGAGTTCGGTTATTTCCTACTTATGACTTATGAAGATTTGAAGTTCTAATGAGAAGATCTCATTACCTTTGACTCACTCTAATACCCGGCGTTGTCTATACGTAGCAGTGGCAGCACGATGCGTGCGATTCAAGCGGAGTGGCTCTGCTGCCCCGCAGCAGCAGCCAAATCTGCTCGTGATGATCGGCGCTGCAACCAGAATTTGCAGCCATGTACGCTCACTTTATTCGAGCTTACCTCAGCCACTTGTTTCTTAGATCTACCTGTTTCTACCAGTTCCAAGACTCCAACTAGCGCTCTCAAGCCATGGTCCGTTTACTATCACAGACAAGTGATGAAATCCATGTGAGATTATTGAAAACTGATTATTTTCAAAGATAGACGAATGTCAAAAATTATTCTGAAGAGAAGTGAAACACAGTTTTTGAATCTGAATAGAAATGAAGTCAACAACTAGGAGCAAGCAGAGAAGCCACTAACAGCGTCATTAAGTAGTATTTAACAATTTCTTGTTTACCACTTCGCTCTTCCAGATCCGTGGAGGCAAATGACGAGAAGCAGACGGGGAAATTATGATAAGTCATATGGCATGATGCCAAATTTCGTAAGTTTTTGGGACGATGCAAAATTTGGTAGGATCAGAAGCCAAATTTTTAAGTTTTTGGGGTGCCACATTCAGTAAGGTCATATGTCAATTTGAACAACACCACATGTATCAGCATGATTTGGGAGTTTTCTCCGATATCAGCAGGCGTCATTATTCTTTTGGTCTACAGTTCGCCTGATTGGGTGTTGTGTGTGACCATCTAAAATAATAAGAATCTCCACCTTCAAACCAGAAGCTCTTCTAGTGTTTTGGATTCTTCTCATTTCAGAAAATCTTCTTATATATAAAGCTGAGTGTCTGTCTGTCTGTATGTATGTATGTGTGTACGTATGTTCCGAATAGAAATTTTTATTTCTGAACCGATCCGGACCAAACTTGGCACACATACACTTCGGGGCAGGGCGGGTGTCGTAGGCTACTTTTCGTTATCGATCGATATGGATTTTGTCGATTTTTATCGATTCCTTTGCAGAGTTCACCTACGGGCTGGGAGCTGGCACAAGGGGGTAATCGAGCATGCTGATTACGATTACAATTTAGTTTTTGAAATCGTCCATTACTTTTATCAATTTTATCAGTTTTTTTGCAAAGTTTGAGCTGCGGGGCTGGGAGTTGGCACAGGGAGTAATCGAGCATGCTGATTACTAAAACAGCGGGAATAGTGAATTGGTATGTAGACGTGGGCTCAGGGAAAGGTTGTAGGGATAGGGGTGAGAGCTTTTACCAGGGGTCTTGACAGGGCCAGGCGGTACCGAGTAAGCCAGCTAGTATACTCTAAAATCTTATAATTATAATTCATACCTCATTACTTGCTTATGTACTATACAAAACTTTTGCAAAGGTTATTTGGCTTTTTGGACACTTCTTATACAAAAAAGCCGTTTGCTTTCCACAAACTGTTAAATGACGGTTTTTGGGGACTTTACGCCACAGGAAATGCATTTACTCCCGAAGTGAAAACCCAGCATGCAAACTGTGGTCTCGCTGGTTAAGCTTAGACAGACTCTCTTTGTGGCTGAATAGTTTTTAAAGCAAAAACTTGTTTATCCCGCAGTTTTGGGAAGAGCGGTGTAAATTTCGATGAAAGACTTCACGGCGGAGTTATTACTCTGAGTGCAGTTTCTGTCATCTTTATTAAAGGCACCGTCCACCCAAAGCGAGGTTGATGAGATTTCGGTGGCATACTAGTGTGGGCCCCCACACTAGGCAAACCCCCAAGTAGCGAGGCAAAATACTCCTTCCGAAGCGAGAAATCCGCTCCGGAAGGGACGTAACCGGAGGTGGTCACTCCGCCCACTTTGCAGGCGCACCGTTGGAGAGACTACACACACAGCGCAGTACGCTGCCTCGTCGTAGGCGACTAATCGGAGTTTTTGTAGTGTTATTTCGTGTACTTGTATCCTCAACCGTTCGTTTTTTATTCAGTCATGACTAAATCTACGACAAAGTTGTTTTTTCGATTATAGCCATCATCAGCATCCGGCATGGCTGTTTTTCTTGATATGGACACGATCTTTCGTTATAGGTGACGCTTGTGCTCAATAAAACGAGATGAACATGCGACGTGAGTTTTTTCATTGCAATGTACATCAGATTGAAAAACTATTTGTAGTCCAAATAATCGTTGACGCCGTCTACATGACTAATGGATCATCGCACTAAACTATCACGCATTTCTGTGTGCTAAAACACTTGCTTTCACTGCTTTCTGTGTGAATGTGCTAAATACGCGGAACCTGGATCAAGACTGGGGCAAACATTTCCCAATACTCCTAATCGATTGCACAATTGCCCATGACTAGTTTGCTAATGACGCCCTGCGTATATCAGCGCGCCTGCAAAGTGGGCGGAGTGACCACCTCCCGTTACGTCCCTTCCGGAGCGGATTTCTCGCTTCGGAAGGAGTACTTTGCGGCGCTACTTGGAGGTTTGCCTAGTGTGGGGGCCCACACTAGTATGCCACCGAAATCTCATCAACTTCGCTTTGGGTGGACGGTGCCTTTAAGGAAGTGATTGCGAGTCAAATCTATCTTGTGTGAAAAAGCAAACTTATCGAGTAACTGTACTTTTGTTTGCTGAAAAAAAGCTAAAAAAAAGTAGGCGGTGTGGCGTGTCTTTCTTCAGACTTTATTTTCTGTTCATCAACTCTTCTAAGGAAGGGCCATTGGTCGAAGTGGGCTTTCCACATGTGATGCATATCATTCTATTGGTCTTAGACCACTAACACTAAATCCGTGTTCCTAAGCTGCTCAATACATTACAGGGAAAATTATGAGCAATCCTTTTCCCACACTGACCATCGCTCACGCTATGTTAGCGCCGCCAAGGACGCATGGACGAGTGGTTTAGAGGATAGCTGCGGCAACTACAGAACAGGTGGTCAAAAGTTCAGATCCTATGACCACCCACAATTTTTCTTTTTTTCAAATTGTCCGGTTTGTATCCCTAGAGGCTTCGAAGGCAAACAGTGAGTCTTAGGAAATAATTGTTTATTATTATCCCCAAAAGACCACTGAGCAGTTCAGGAACACGGATTTGATGTTAGTGGTCCAAGACCAACAGAATGATATCACATGTGGAAAGTCCACTTTGACCAATGGCCTTTCCTTTGTAAGGAGAAGATAAAAACTCTTTCTAGAGTTTCCACCCAGGCAAATGCTAATGTACCTGCCGCGACACCTATAGCGACCCTACGAAAGCTACATTGTGACAAAGTAGCGCAAGGGAATCCAGTAGTCATGGGGGTTCTTTTTATATTATATTTTCGTATTAATCTCGCGAAATCCTAACTTGGAGAACTTTTTGACAAGTTCTGAACAACTGATTTTGTTGCTGTCAAGATTGATTTGAGAGGAAAGCTATGTTCTTCAGCATCCATGTTCGACTATCCATAAATGTTGACATAGCTGCAATCTTCTCGTTAGTTGCTTGAGCGTAATCCAAGATCCGCTTCACGTTTAAAGGCCAATCTGCCTAAGTGTCCGGTCCTTTACACTCTAATCAAGACACATAAAGTGTTTATTGATAGTTTAACGTCCAATAATCCGCAAGACTTTAAGGTGAGGCCCATCATCAGCAGTGTTGGAGGTCCTACGGATAGGATTCGTGGTTTCACAACACTATTCTCTCTCAACTGCTAAGATTTGTCCCCGCACATCTCTCCAACACCAGAATGTTTCTTGATCGTCTGCGCAGCACCAATGTAAGGCAAGGGTGCGTTTTGGAGTCTTTCAATGTGGAATCGCTCTATATCAACGTCTCCAACGACGCCGCAATGCAAGCGACCTTCGAACTTCTAGTAGAACACCAGTCGTCACTCAATCTTTATGGTCCTAGCATTAGAGGCATCTTGTCGTTGGTCAAAGAATGTCTCAGCTGCTCCATATTTCGTTGGTGTGGAAACTATTACAGCCAGATTAGAGGATTGGCTATGGGATAGAGACGCCGACCTTGGCAATTGTTTCCATGTCTAAGGTGGAAGCCCCAGTACTGGTGAGCAAGCCTCTGCTCTACTGTCGGTACATGGACGACTGCTGTAACGTATGTCCTACCCAGGCCGAGCTTGATGCTTGCTTCAATATCATGAATGCCCAGGACACTAACATCAAGATGACGAGGGAAAAACCCAAAGATGGATGGTTGCCGTTCCTCAACGTACAGTTATGTTTATCGGACAGAGGTTTCAAGACCAGATGGTACCGAAAGCCGAGCAGCAAAAACATCTTAGTACACTATTCTTCAGCACATCCCGCACGAATAAAGACCTCCCTCGTGGGGAACATGTTTAGAACGGCTGCAGGGGGTCTCTTCTGATAGGGACGAGAAGATGCGTTCGCTGGAGCTCGCAGAATCAGTAGCAAGATCTAATGGATACAGCACGAAAACTCGTCACCCTTACAGATACCGAGTCCATCGTACACTGCCTAGATCGTGAGCTGATGATCAGATCCCATTCTGTCTGCCATATATTTCAGAAGAGTTTAGTAGGGCTGTTCGCAGATTACTTCATCAAGCAGGCCTCAAAAATATGGTAAGGATCGTCGACATTCCGCCCGCAAACCTTAAACAGCAGCTAGTACGAAACCGGGAGTATGATCGTCTCTGTACAACTCCTAATTGTGTGATTTGTCCATACGGTAAGGAAGGAGACTGTATGGTATCAGGTGTTGTCTACCTTAACACGTGTACATCATGTGGAGACACGTATATTGGCGAGACGGGTCGCCCCCTATGCACGCGCATCAAAGAACACTTAGATGGTCTCAGCAAGGGCAATGAGCTACTCCGTTAGGCATGCATCGCAGGCTCAGCCATGACGACGCGGAGTTAGTGGTGCAGGTTCGAATCCTGGCAACCCGAAATCCTAGCGCGCAAGACACTCGAAGCGTTTTAGATAGCCGCCCAAAATCCAAGAATCAAGCGGAAGGACGAGTGCCTAGCCATCACTAGCAAGCTGTCACCATATCAGAGCCTCTGTGGCTTTTGAATAATGGGGTCAGGTCAGAACCGGGTCACTAGTTAACTATAAAAGTAAAGCAGTACAGTTGACATAAGTGGTCTGCACCCACCAAATTATCATCTGCTAAGAAGAGCACTAGCTTAATCTTGATTTTGGTTAAGGCTGTTGTTTTCCTTAAAGGGTTGGGCTCCTTTCTGTAGTCGACGTGGTGTTTGATCGGATAGTTTACTTATGTGTCTTCGACTTTTTCAGACTCTGAAGAAGGCGCGTTCGCCGAAACGTTAGCCTGTTATTCTGTGCGATAAAGTTCTACCAATCTTGGATTACGCTCAAGCAACTAACGAGAAGATTGCAGCTATGTTCTTCGTAGTATAAGCTCCTGCAAGACGAAGGCGGTTGGTTCGAGGCGCGACGTGGCTGTGACGCGGCTGTGACGCTGCTGTGACGCAGCCATGTCGCAACCGCGTTGCACATCGAACCGACCGCCTTCGTCTTGCAGGAGCTTATACATCATTTTCATACCATCACTTCCAAAACTATGGTTCATTTATAAAACCGTGACGACGGATGACTGCGGTCTTTGCGCCCCAGGAGCATAACACCCTCATACAACAAGGCATCACCTCAACGCTCAGCTCAGTCCCTTACAATGTCCAAGTACTATCATACCTAAGCAGAAAAACCAGTCGAGTAGAGTTTAAAACCAAGAAAATGCGGTTGCAGGAAGGTGCGTGCGTGTCGCTTGCGGTCGCGGCATCGTCACGAATTTTCAAATGCCCTATGTGTGTATTCTGCTGCTTTCCTACCGATCTTTCAAGAAATTTGTCGAGACAAACTGGATGAATCAAACTTTTTTGTAGTGTAGTAGAGAAAATTTTCTATTACTCGAATGAGCCTCTGCGAAGAGGGATCTGCAGAGAAAGCGTGGTAACTGGAAGAAAAATTTTTTCCCATAATCTCGCTTGGTTATGGTAGGGCTTTCGAAAAATGCTGAATGATGTGAATTTCATCGCTTCCGAGCAATTGCCCTGTTTTGAGACGATTTTTACATTAATGTTCAGAAATGAGTAGGAAATTTATGTAGAGATATTTAAGTACAATATCTGACCTCCAGCAGACCTTGCTAACGTTTATTGCCTGAGTTATGCTCACATTCTGCTGGGACACCTATTTCAATGACATCAGTCAAACGTAATACTACCTCTTATATATGCCCGCATTATCTGGCTACTCAACATTTGCGCCAATTTCCTTTGTTACATACCAAATTTGACGATAAAGCAGCGAATGTGAGTTTCTGCACTCAACAGCACCCAAAAAGGCCGATGGCAGCGCTGATCAGCTGAGACTTCGTTGTTTGCGAGTTTTATCCATATCTTGCAGCAAGGTATGTTTCGAGTCTAAGGGACTCGTCACACTTCCCGGAAAAAGATCAAAAAGCGCCGAAAGGAGCCCAAAAGCGCCCAAAAAAGCCCGAATAAACCCAAAAAGCCTAAAAGCGCCAAAAAGAGAGAAACGTCCCCTTTCGCGCGCAAGTAACAAATACTTTTGCTTCATTTTCTGTCGTCTGTACACCAAAATGATGTCAGAATTCTACCAGAAGCTCCAGGAGCTTCCGGCTCTTTCTGGCGCTTTTAAGGCCCGTATGCACTAACATCCCTGCGGCGAAGGGAGCGGCGTCTTCCTTTATGAAAAATCGCGTGCGGACGCCGCTGCGGCTTTTCCATCATTGGGGACGCCGCTCCCCTCGCCGCAGGGATGTTAGTGCATACGGGCCTAAGCTTTTTTGGACGCTTTTGGGCTTTCTTCGGCGAGGTATGACAGGTCCCCGAGGTGTGACAAGCTTGGACGATAAAGGAGAGAAGGAAGGCGCACGGGCAACATCCATTCATTCTCGTTAATTATGGCACTTTGTAGATTAAAACCTCAAATTTTCTCCACAATTCAGGGAACTTACGCGGTCATGAGAAAGCCGAACGAGTTGCTAGCAAGTACAGAGCTCAGATCTTCTATGATTTACATGAACATTACAGGTAAATAGTATTGCTTACGTCACCATTTGTGCTTTACGAAACAATTTGCATTGCGTAATTGGAAGCGCATACTTCTAGGGAAGAGCGAAAGATGGACAACTACGCAAACAGATTTGGAGACTTGATGTGCCTATTCGTCGATGCACAGGTAGGATCACTTTACCGTGATGTAACCAAAGGCCGGTTTCCAGATGAATGCCACCAGAATCGGAGAGGACATCGAGTTATTGAAACTGTTCAATATGTACAACGTTGAAACTTATGTTTACGACTGTCTTCGAGGCAATATGAAAACAAGAGGATATCTGAGATGATTACTCGAATGAGTATTGACTTGTTTGATTGCATGACAGGGATGTGCAGAATGAAAAGTATTGTACTGCAGTAGGTTTTGCATAATGTCAACAGCTAAAACAACCAGAATTTTCAGCTATTTTGAAAGCTGCAAATCACGCCGTTAACTCTCATCACTGCAAAAATTGTACTATCATTGCCAATGTAGAACTGCTCAGAACGTCTTACTTCAATTATAATAACTCATACAGTGAGAGTTACCATGGCAATCAAAACATTTTTACAGGACGCAAAGAACAAATCAAGACCTCTTGCACGTCATGAGGCGCGAACAGGAGGCGAAACCAGTATTACAGAATCACCGCGCACATACAACATTGGAATTGTGCGCTTCGTTTGCCTGTAAATTTCTTCGAATGATTCCTCATCAACTTCTGAAGTTGTCACCGTCTCCTCAACCTTAAATTATAAATGCGATACAGTGGATGCGATCAGTAATGAACGAAAATGAATACAGAGGTTCTAGATGTGATCCAAACTTACATTAGAAAGGATCATGTTCAAATGTTGGTCGTAAGCGTGGAGTCGACCACGTATCTGAAAAAACGCAATAATGTAACTCAACTCCCGTCATACATGAGTTTCTCTAGAAGGAATAAAGTCATAGCTAATGACGAATGAAAAACTAACGATGGAAAAAAGTCCACACGAACTGCAAACGAGTCAGAAAAATCAAAAGTAAAAGCTACCTCTCGATCGTTGCGCATCTTCACGTAGACACGCTCATCGAGGCTGAGCTTGATAAGGTCCAGGGGCTCTTCAACTGTGCTAGACAAGACCTGAAAAAAAAATAGCTAATGTGAGTGAAACTATAACAAACGCAAAAAACATACCTGTGGCGCTTCCTTCTTCTCCGCCATAATACTGGAAAGCGAACCACATCATCTCAAATTCTGCGAAAAATTCAAATGTGAAAATATAGTAACGAAATAAACGTGGACAAAAGCACCGCCTCAAAACATTGAATATTCATTCAAAAAGATATGCAAGTATCAAATACTGAAGGAGTCAAAAACAAAAATTATGAACAAGTATAAATTAAGAAAAAAAATCATAAACATAGGAACAATACCATGCTTGATATAGCGCACAAAATACTACTGCCTTTACTTGTACGAAACTCTAGCTGGACTAACATAGTGAATCTTCGTATCAACATCCAGAAACCCTATAGGACCGTATTCACAGTCGGCACAAGTCAGATACTTCATCCCATCAACAGAGTTAGTGAAGCCGACATTTTCAAAATCGTACATATTTCGAACTGTCCAAAATCCTGTCACCTTCTCCTGCAAATCAATCAGATGAACAAGTTCGAAAGTAGCTCATCCAGAGCATGAAAATTTGAGAAAAAGCAATTAATGAGCACAAAGCTAACCTTCTGAGTAGCTACGTCTTTTTGCTGTCGACATAGCGGGAGAATTTCAACCCTGTCTGACCAGCGCCCGGCACCAGCTAATAAAACCACGCTTCCACATATTGAACATACAAGTCGTTGCTCATTTGCTGAACCTTCAGTCGCGCTTGACGTCGACTCCTATGGATAAAATCAACGTGTAAGGATAGGAGATTGAGAAAAAAACTATAAGGCTGACTCACTTTCACTTCCGTCAACGATGTCGTAGTGGACGAAGGACTGGATGAGCTCATCTTTTAGTTTTATTTGCCTGGAAGTCAAGTTTGCAAGATCCAACAACATTTATGTTGAACAGTGCTAAAAACCTACAGACAAACCAAAAAATGTGAACTATTATCATAAAGGTGAAGATTGGTTGAAGCAGGAAAAAGTCAAAACGCACCTATAAAGTGAAGAGATCTTGTCGCGCTGAGACTGCTCGTCGTTTTGAATATCAGGGATTTGTCGAATAGTTTCTCGCAATTGCTCTAACCCAGATTCAACTTGTCGCAAACGGACCGTTAGCTCGGAACCGCTGCCTTTTTCAAAACTAAAAATGTTCTGCAACTCCTTTTGCAACCACTTTTCTTTGGAAAGATCACCTACGAGCAGATAAGATGAAGAAGATCGGCGTAAATCTTATTTAGGCTGTTCTGACACTGCTCTTCTTTGTTCTCCACAGTAGTCATTCAGTGTAAACGTGATCTGTGAAGCAAATGTCATCAATTGGCATCATGTATGAATTGCAATCATTTTCAGACAAAGTGGGCAAAAAGCTTAAACAATCCGGAATGACAGTATAAAGCATTCGTCGTTGGAGCCTATTACAAACTGCTTCAATTACCCGCTCGAGATGAAAGATCAAGATTTAATGACGCTTAAGCTAAATTCCTTTTTATTTCTCTTCCGCAATACCTATATAAAGAAGCATCCAACATGAGGACTTTGACTTAACATCCGACTTTCCGAGAAATGGATTTTCAGCTTCAAATTGGACATTTTATCTGATCCATGGACTACTTTTTGTATGATTAACTGCCAACAGCCCCATTGCTCGATTCCACCCTAGCAACACAACAGCAAATGCGGCTCTATATGCGGGGCTAAAATAATGCTTATAGAAAACATGAGCTCTCGCTAGCGTGATCCAATCTCTAGACTCACAAACACGTTGGAAAAAAATAAATCAAAGCAACCCAAATCAACCAAATCAAGTTTGGGGATAGTACGAAAGGACGATAGACCCGAAGTACATTATTTAAAAAAAAAACGATCAAAAACTAGGTAATTGAGCAGATATCTTTCTACCAGGTTGCGACTGTAATAACCACCATACCACTTCACAAAACATGTGTATATACTTTTATTCTTTAGAAAAAAAAACTCGGCATTGTGAATATAGTAAAGAAGACAAAACGCAAGCGCCCTCATACACCTCGACACCCACATTCCCGATACAAATCAAACAGTGAAGTTTAAAAGAGATACGGGTATAAAAACAGTCTGATGATGTAACCTTAACATTTTGTGTCAAGCGGTACACGTATATTGAGGAAATTCTTTGTCTGATAGGAAATCTCAACACTGGAAGAAAACCGTCTATCTTGAAAACAGAGTGATGCGAAAGAAGAAAATTCGCTATGTCAAGCAAGTTATCTTTTTTTAATATATAATATCGATGTTCGTGGTGAAAATTTACGAAAGAGTTGGCTTTGTTTCTTCTGCAGGCGTTGTGGCGGTGCTTCCTCGAGCTGCTTGCGATAAGTGGTCGATGGAGGTGGATGCAGCCATCTTGGCCTATAGAAAATGAAGATAAACAATGAATCAGCATTCAGATTCCAGCGAAAGATATAATACAGAGTGTAGCAATGCTATAAAATACACAAACGCTCTCCACATCCTTATATCATGACTTTGAAAGAAAAAGATTCGTGTAACCTCGCTACACACCTAGCAATATGAAATTCGATTATCCCGATGCAATGAATAGAATTCTCGACTATTTATTGAATTTGTAATGTCATTATAGGATAACATGAGCAATTTGATAGAAAAGAGAAGTTGATTGCGCTTCAGCAAAAATGGTTTTCGAAATTAAACGACAGCACGAGTCCACCTTTTTGGAATTTACCAGTTTACCTATCACCTACTTCCTAATCAGATGGGAAAAAGGGATATAATAAACTTGAGGAAAATTCAAATAGCTGTTGGAAAACTGGACTTACGCTGTTATAAGCTGTCCCCAGCTTTGACTCGAATGATTTGAAAAGTGATGAGTTGCGCATATCGTTCCATTTGTGTTTAACGGTGTCAGCTGTAGCGGCGGCAACTTCAGACGTCTTATGGAACCTTAACCGTGGGCTTCAATTAGTTGATTTTTCATGGCCATACAAACTCAAGCAATTTGTTTGTAATGTGTTTAGGACTATAATTCCAAGCGCTCTTCGTGGTCGGATACCTATGCGCTCAATCCAAATCACTTCTCACGCCCAGCTAAAAGCAATAATTAGGCATAGAAATGAAAAGGATACCTATGAAGGTTCCATAGAACACACCTACTCAGCGATTCGTATTTTTTCGTATCAGGAAAATTTGAGACAATGCTTACAATGCAGAAGGGAAAAAAACTTTTTGCAAGCTTTTCATCTAGGGCGAATTTATGAAAGCTCTCGAAAGGCCTCATTTTCTTCGCTCAAGAGTCAATGATTCTCCAAATGATTGTCGTTTAGCTGAGCAAACAAAATACGGGCCTATCTGAGATCCGTATGTAGTTATGCTCCTTACGAACAAGCGACGCAAAAAGAAAGAGAAAAGCACTACCTAAATCTAAAGCAGTCAAGCAGTAAACATGAAATTACGCAGAATCAAAAGTCAAGGCTCTAAGGCTCAAATAAAACTTGCGCACTGTTTAAGACGCAAAAAACAAGTTGATATGGGTATGACCTAGGAAACATAAAGTCAAGCGGGTAAGGCATTTGAATAAGCTTGTAAAAGCTTCCACACCCCTAAATGATCACGATTATATAGCTATAGCTAGTATAGAACGAGACGCCCCTATTTTGTTGCAGACCAGAATCAAACCGTCAAAAACGTTAAGGACTTACGCTTCCGTTTCCGTGACAGCCTTTATTCCTTTGTTGACTTCATTTCCAAGTTCCACCAAAGGATTGAGGCCTAGTTTACGCTTCAGCTCAGCCGCATGCTTTTGGCGAGCCAAAAGGACTTGCTTCAGTGTCTGGATCTCTTCCTCAGTCTAAACTGTGATAATACCCAGCACAACGCAGATGTGAAAGGACAGCCAGCTCACTTTTCTCAGTTCATCTTTCAAAAGTGCGGTTTCGGCCTCGCTGAGTTGAGATTCACCATTCACGCTGTCAAAGACAGGATCTGCGGCTAAAAAGACCGAAAAACATTTGAACCCATGACACAGCATATATGAAATCGTAGAAAAAAAAAAGGATCAAGAAGCAATTGAATTCTCAAAAGAACAGGCTTACATTCCATTGCAGGCGTCGCCATTACAGAATTGGTTATGGAACAGCTGAGATGACGTTACAGTGGCAGAACAAAGAATGGGCACGAATCGATAATGGTTACACGCCACGCAGCCTTTTCTAAAACTGAACTTTAATAGAATGGGAATAGATGACGAATGTCACATGTAGCGGACGACGCAACGGTAATTCTATGGCCAATCACACGATAAAAATCAATTCGAGGTCGAAACCATACAAAAACCAAACAAGTGTGCGCAAAGCGCTGGTAAAGTCAAATGTAAATAGGACTAGCGAGAAACGGCATGAAATGCTGAGGGATGATTCGAAGACAAAACCGGAAGCAGAGGGAGGATAGCTGCAAATTAATTGAAGCAACCCAGATTTCCAAGGCTATTTAGATGCGTTAGATGGAGTATAAATGTAGTACCAGCAGCAAAACACCACTAACTTTATATATACTGCATTTTCGAAATGATGAGTCATTTAGACTTTCTTACTTTAATGCCAACTTCTAAAAAGGTATTTCTAGAAAAATTCAAGGTTTTTTTAAAGTTAATGACCCGAAATGCTGAAAAATATAGGGACAAAATAGTAGAAGCATTTTTAGTGCCAGCCGACTACTACTTCACATTTGTTTATTTGCTTCGCTATTTAAAGATCGAATGAGCACAATTTGCAGAGAAGTGCATTTTTTTCCTTGGTACTGCCTGCTTGTCAATGTAACAGGTGATCATTAAAAAATGTGTCCATCACCTGCTGATAAGAAACACGACAACTTGCCAACTATGACAGGAAATACACATCTGCCATTGCCTTAAGGCCTCGGACAGAGTTCGCGCGATTTGGTCGCCGCGATTCAATCGCTACAAGACAAGTGTTACGAGTTCATTGCATGCAGATCTTCTTGTATTTCGGTCTGATAATTAGTCACGATTAGTCGTGTTGGAAAACTATCACAACCGAAATGCTCGAAATTCGGCATGCAATGAACTCGTAACATTTGTATGTGAATAGCGATTGAATCGCGACGATCAAATCGCGTGAACTCTGCCCGAGGCCTAATGCATTTTGGGACGGCTTATGTGGCCAACTTCGATAAGACTCACAGATTGCGCTGGAAATACAGTTATAATCACCTAATCCTATAAAAAGTTCAAGATGATGCACTTTAGAGCCTTTTCTATCAATATGAGTAGGACTGAGTCAATCTCTATACACACAGCGAAAAATCACAAAAACTTGCCATCATCATGCAGGGAACAAGGCCATAAAACATTTATATAGCATAACCAATGCGTTAGGCGAGAGAAATGGAAAAGAAGATACAACGCTACATATTCTTCCTGATGAATAACTAGATAAGACAGCTGAGATGCATGCAAATTTTTGCTATTTCCTGTTCCTTTCAATCAAGTTGACGAAGACAGAATAAAATTAAGAGCAGACGTGTGTTTCTACAGCATATACCAGAATATAAGCGAGTAAAAAAAGAGAAACGCTGACACAAATGCAAGTAAGCAATTCAAGGACAGGAGATAAAAATACACATTAAAGTTTTTCTATCAGTAATAAAAAGCCACATTCGTAACGCAGTTCCTTCACCAAACAAAGCGTTGTTAAGTTCCTAGCTTTCGTAATTGGACAACAGTAAAAGAAGAGTCACTGAATGGGGGCAGAGAACATCTCTGTTATTTGCACATCCGACTATCCGATCCAAGCTGTTTCAAACAAGCGATGAATCAGATGAAGGTCAACATAAGACACAAAGGGACTCACTGAAATTACGCATAAGGTATCTGGATTCCCAGAATTGTTCCCATATGAACCACCAATGTGGCTGCCTTTCGATCGTTTTAACACGTTAACTCCAGCAAATTAAAGGAGCTTATTCGAAGTTGACATGTTGAAATGATTGAGAGACAGCTAGTTGATGATTCATATGGGAACAACTCTGGGGGATGCACCATATAAGTTAAGTTTAAAATTTTACGGTTTTCGGTATTTTCAAGTAACCGAACATAGTTCGCATGGTGCCCTAGTTCTCAACGATAAGATGTAGGCACCTAGTCGTCTAGAGTGCAGCTTACGACTATAGCAAGCTTACGGTTGATTTGAAAAACTTTAAAAAGGATAGTATGCTTCTTGACACTTGAGTAACCAGTACAGAACAGTCACTTGTCAATTCTATGCCTAAGAGACTAGAGACCGCGCTGCACACATCGGTTGAACAAGCCTAATCTATATTTAGCAAGCTTATACCAGTGTAAACTATAAACTAGCTAAATAGAGATTAGGCAAAATAAATAATAATAATGTAATAATAATCAATAATAACTTCTCCTCGTCTAGCATTATATGCGGCCTGAAACCGGATAGAACAAGTCAACGCTTGTATAGACAACGTGCGCGAAGTAATCTCGACTCTCCTAGTCACTGAATATATGGTATATGTTACTCGAACTATGAGTCATAAGATTACCGCGCATTCAAAGCAAATAACTACTGTTTGAGTCTTGAAAAAGAATGGGTATCATCGCAGAAGGGAAACATGTGCCATATAAGTCTACACGAGAGCAAGATACTTACGACAGATGGACATTTTGATGGATTGTAGGGATCTCAAGGGAAGGCACATCACATTTGCGCTCGATTTGCTATTACCAGGGGAAACGCGGTCAATCCCGTTCGAACATAGGATGCAAACAGCGATAAGCGACTAAAAAAATCTTCCACGCTGAAGCTAAAGCAGTCCAAAGCAATAATTCTGATGGCTCCAATTGATAAATTTTCCATCGCCTATTGCAAAGTCGCAAAACAGCGACGACGCGAACGACAACACGATCAAAAACAAAAAACATCATTTTTTGCAACAAAACCTGTTTCCTTCACTAGCCTGTCGATATTATTCTGCAACTCAAACACTATCTGTTGCAACACCTCTTCGACCAAAAAACTGCAGCTTTTTTCTGAGTGTGAACGACGAAGAATTCAACTATTACACAAATAAACAACTGCAGATCTTTTTTTAAGTGTGAATGACGAAGATCATTTGTGATACAAACCATAAGAATCAAAACGCAAACAAAGAGACAATCAGAAAGCTACTTCCAACCTCCCACTAGTGACTTTCTGAAAACCAATCTTCAAATCCTCTATACGAACCCTCGGAAACAAACAAATGCTTGTGCCACGCTGGACAATCACGAGCGAATTGGTCGACGCTTGACGCACAAATGAAAATTGGAGGGCACAGAAAGTGGAACCGCTGCGCGCAAGTCACGCGTGCGGTTGCCTTTGTAGCATCTGCTGCTCGTCAGAGCGTGAATTATCGCCTGCTTCCTGTCATTATCATTGTCGGGATTCTGTCAAGCGATTTGTTGCTGGAACCTGTCACGAGATTAGCAGCTATTTAGACAGTACATCTGAACCCTGCGATTATTTCACTAGCTAGTCTTGCTAGATGCAAAAAATACTGGCGGTAAAATCAGGAAAAGGGAACTATAGTTATTGTCGTGATACAGACACCACCCGAACTTAACTCTTTGTCTCAATTTGTTTACATTTATGTTACCCACTTCTGGCACAAGCCTGCCACATGGCTGACTCTTTGTGCTCTCGGCCAGCCTCTTCTGACCGATATCCCGTCAGTTCTATGTTTGTCGTGTGCAGGAGATACCGGCTTATCCTGTTACTAATAAAACCACCATACCCCTCTAGTGGTGACAGGGGCACGAAAAGGGTGAAAAGAGTTATAATTTTCGCGAAATTCCAGAAAGGCCAGTCTTCACTTACCATTACTTCTGCACAGCAGGAAGACACCAAACTATGATCAACTGTATTCCAGGAAGAACAGCCAACTCAAATCAGATGCATTTTCATTGTAAGCATAATTATTCCTTTCGAGATCTGAATGATTGCGCAGCTCATTCAAAACAGTTTTCTAACATGATTCTGGGTGGAAAACTAATTCCACTTCCTCCAGTTAAAGAGCGCCGTGATTGAGACGAATGAAATCACGTCATACATCACGTGATTTCATCGTCTCGCGATTCTCCAGACAGGATGAATGGACGAATCCATTGCAAGCCGATCGTCTTGCATTTCGGTTGTGATAGTAGTCCACGATTAGTCGCATCGGAAAACTATCACAACTGACAATGAGATGCACGATGATCAACTACAATGAACCTGTAACAGTTCTCCTGTCGGAAAATCGCGACTGACAGCTCGCGTGATAATTATTGTAAGCCTTTTTTTATCTGCTGAATCTACTGTGATACTTGCGAAATCGATCAGGTAAAGTATGACAGCAGAATCTGTGCTCGTTCTAATTAAAGGGCTACTGCATAACGAAGGCACAAGCAGTATCAGTTGAGCGGGCTCGAACGCTGCGCGCGCGTATCTTCACCGCTGTAACTCTTGCGCCTCATGCGCTCTGCGGCTGATAAAGCCGCGTTCGCGCTCAAAAATATTGTGCCTTCGTCGTTCGCAGCTATCTATACTTATGACTGATCTTCTATATCCAATACAGAACAAAACAACTGCAAAAATCAGGAACTCGACCAAAAAATGAAAAGGCTTCATTTCTTGAAAACCTAGACAAACTTCTGTATCACACAACGATTAGCTGCGATATAAATCTTGAAAAAAGCACAAAAAATGATGAATACACTTTACATTTACCCGAAAAAAATTAATGAGTACGGTCATATGCCGAAGACTAACTTTGAAGGCAATGTCTAGGCATATTCTACATGATTTTCTGTGGAAAACTTAAAGAGCCCTAACTAAGGCACTGACAACGCAGCAACGCATGCAAATGATCCACTTGCGGCCAAAAATCCATCCGAACGAACATTCTGGGCTGGTGGAGGAGACTTTGGTTTCCTCGACCGCGATTAAATCATTTGCGTTGCCGCAGGCAGTGTCTTAGTTATTCCCCTCGGTTTTCGCATAAGAATTCTTGTGAACGAACTGATTCGGACATGTTCATCAAGGGTTCGATCAACGTTGCCATTGCCACTTTGACGATGTAAGACGCAGTGCCGTTCAAGGACCTCGTATTAGATATGGCAACTCATAACTATTACTAGTAACCAGCGGCGGTCCGAGAGGGAAGGGGCGGGGGGGGGGGCGAGAATGGGTGGCGAAATTTTTGAAAGTTATTCATAAGTGTTATAAAAATGTGCAAGTGACTTGTTTATACTTGTAAATAATTTAAATACTTTTTAAAATTTTCTAAAAATTCGTGCGGCGTTGCGTTAGCCATGCACCTTCACTCAAAAACTTTTTTGTCGCCCCCCCCCCCTCCCCGGTCCGAAATCCTGTGGCCGCCACTGCTAGTAACGTACGGCCGAACCCAAGTATGAATTCTGATGAGATGCAGAAATGTAAGCGTTTAACCGTAGATGAGAAGAAGAGCGCTGTATTATGGAAAACGTGAGTTCATAATGACTAAAGAAAAAGGCATTGTAATATTACTGTGAGTGGAGCATGAGTAAAGTTAATCCAGAAATCTTCTCGAGATCTTGACACGACGCGGTGAATCAAGAGCTGGCCACTCAGACCGCACTTTATTCGTTAACCGGTTCAACTTCTCCATGAACAATCGAACATGAGAAAACTGATTTATCTGAAAAAAGGAAAAATACAGAGAAAAGAAAAAAAGTATAACTCATACCTGTTCCTGTGGGACATCAGCCAAAGCAGTCATAACATCATTGTCTACTTTTGTCGGGTATTCCAAAAGGAAGACTAGTGGAGGAGTTGCTGGGGGTGTAAAGAACTCTTCCAAATCCTGCGGCGGAAGTCTGAAGATTTAGTTACAAGGCATACAATCAAGAGAGGAAAAAAAGTATTTTTCAATAATAAGACAAAAAAACGGCACCTTTCCTCGATATTCATGGCTGGAGTAATGGGTGAGCGCAAAGAAAGCGCACCGAGACGGTCTGCAAGACTTGCTAGAGAATCGTTCAGGACATTCTCGTCAATTGTTTCACTAGCATCTTCGAATTTCTCTCCTTCCTCATCGCTTCGTTCATCTTCGGCTGGAGTTAAACATGACGAGAGCTCTAAAAACGATACCGTTTACAGCAAAAACCACAAGGACGAGACTAGGTTCTTGCAAGATGAGATACCTTGCAAGCGATCGTTCGGGCAAAAATAGGGCAAATCAAGGGCAAATGTTGTAAGGACGGTAAATGAGATTTTCGAATTTATTCCCAAAACACGCAAGCGTAGATAGAACAGAGGGAAGGTAATACCTGGACTATCATCTTCGTCATCGAAATCTAGCTTCTTTCGAAGTTGATCAGCGGGCATTGGGGACATCGATTCTCTCCTCCTCACTCCTCCTAGATAATCATTAAGAAGCGATAATCCTTCAAGCGTCCGTAGATCAATCAGTCGATTCAAAAAACACCATGACTCCGCCCATTTGACTTTATGTTTCGTGCTCAACGCACGTCCGACGCGCTCGTAACCCTAAAGATGTGCTGCTTAGAGAACGTTACAGGTACCACGTCTAAATGGCTTACCTTATCCGTGTCAGTGAGCTTAAGATGCTTCTCGGAATTTACCCAAGCATTGAGGAATTCTTCTGCTTTCGACTTGCTACCGAAGGGTCCGGCATAAGCAGCCAATTTGTAATCAGGCAAGATTGGCGAGCAGATATGGTTCTGAAACATAGCACATAAACCAACCTGATTCATGCGGTGTTCGCTGATACTTACATCATTGCATAATGTTGGCTCAGGAAAGCTTTCTGACTGTACAATCTTGGGGGTCGTGCTATTATCTGCAGAGCGGTAGAGGCTAATGAAAAAGCCGCCCAGCAGCAGCTCCATTTCAGCCTTACGTTCCCGCTTGTCGCTTCCAGTGTAACGGGAACAAGCAACTTCCAGGGCGGTCTGACCCTCTCTAAATAAAGGCGTAAAAATGGAGTAAGTGCCATTGATCTTCCCCTCACTTATTCAGAAAATGTCTATCCATCAGCGGTTGATTTACAAGTGCTCTAACAACATCTACATGGCCAAACTTGGCTGCAATGTGAAGGGGAGTGTCGCAATTTCCCTGCAAAAATGAACGATCTATGATTAAAAAAAGATGAAACTGCAAGAAGAAGAATTTTCATAACGGATAAAGCAGAATAAGCGAACAAAATTCAATTAGTACCTTATCAGGGGTATTCAAATAAGACGCAACGATGTTTTCAGCACGAAATCGTGCGTCGTCCTCTGTGGTACCGTAGAGATCAGCCAAAAATGCTGCATCATTAACAAGATGTAATATTCTCTCCACTACATCAACTTTTCCATGACGAGCAGCTATGTGCAGAGCATTGAAGCGAAATCCTTCCTGAACGAAATAACAAGCTGCTATTAGATAAAAGTAAGCGGGAAGACAAGCAAAACGGATGGTTTCGCTTTCCAAAACGGATAAATTTTTGTAACTATCTGATATATCTTGATCTGTGATTGATAAACAGCATATATACAAATTAGAACCAAAATTTACCATGACTATAGCAGCTGTGTCACCACTCGTATTCACCAGAAACCGAGGGTTAGTGTCAATCAATTCACTGTAATTATAAGTTTAGCGTAGACAAATGTTGTTCTCAAATCACTTACGTCACAGCTTCGATAGTGCCCTTTTCGATAGCTTTCTTGAAATCATTCATTTGGAGTCGACTAACGGAAGGGTGTGGAATCACCGGTTCGAATGGCACAGGTGGTGTGGTTGTTGAACATTGAGGACTTCGACATTCACCAGATGCAAAAAACTCCATAGCTTGTTTGGGAGTGCCAAAGCGATTGAAGCGAGCACCTCAAATGAATAAATTCATCGAATGACCAATAGTGATGATCTTGATGACGGCCTTCCAACCTGCTGCTGTCAAAGTATGATACAAAAGACAAACATGACACAAAAACAGGACTTACCGTTAGATTTCCCCTCCGGCGAATTAGCAAACTTCACAGCTTCCTTGAGTGTCAAGAACACATTCCGAGGAGATTTTGCGATATCCCCTGGGTAATACACTGCGTATACAGGAGATGCGACTTCTTCCTCAGATTCCATACCTGACGCAGGCTATAAAAAATATTTTAAAATACCTCAAAAACAAGAAAGTACAGCGAAAAAACACGAACAAAAAGAAATGCATGAAATTCACAGCCAAGCTTGGGACATGAATATTACAGCAGTGATTACTCTGTGTCGACCTCTAAAATTTACGAAAAGGATTCGAAAGCTTCGCAAAAAAACTTGCTTTACTCGTTTACGCTAGAGCAGCCAGTGGATGAGAGAGCACGACTGCATAAACTCACGTCGGTGCACGATGTTATCTACCCCAAAGATAAGCAAACACTAGAAGAATCAGCTTATGACTCGCAATAATCTGTAGCAATCAAGTTCCGCACAACGAAATACTTCACCCACATATCCTTCTAGAAGAAAGTCGAACTCTGTTCGCAACGCATGACCTTATTTCACATAAGGTAGATTATGTCGGAAGACAAGCTATATAACACTCCAGCTTCCTCCCATGTCAAGCCTGCGATAAAAAGAGAGTTCTCCTGCTCTCAGAGACGAGGACGACCTCGGAGCTGACTGCTGTCGTTGCAGCTGACTCCAGGCTCCATTCCCCTTTCTCTCTCCCCTTATTTATCTTATATAGTATCTTGTATAATAAACATAGCTGTAAGATCTCTCCTCACTCATACCGTTACACGCTCAGGTAGGACAAGGCCAGTCTTATCCTGACAATTATCACGTGGATTCTGAGCTCTGCTTAGATGAATTTTTTCATACAGCCTCCTGTAAGACAAACTCGGATGCTTTCAATGCAATTTGCAATCAAGCCCAAATCGTTTGTGTGTGCTTACCAGCCAAAGCAGCGACACTAAAGTGAGTTCTGATTTTGAAGTAAATACTGAACTAATCCACCAAAACACTCAGCAAGAACTCGGAAATTTTCCAAAAGTATGGACCATCAAAAATTCAAAAAATGCTTTCAAGTGCTGCCCCTGTTGACTGAAATGGACGCCCAAGTACCTTGTTATTTAACACATAACAAACTAGACCGCAACATTACAGTGCAAGATTGTCCATTCAACAAAAACCAGGTAACCCACACAGAGGCGAAGTATAGCGATGAGACTTTTGGAACCATCACAAAAACTTGCAACTAATAATCATATATTTATTAGAATTTTCGTAAAAGCACGCGCCACACTTGACCCTCTTGATCCACTTTATACTGGTCAGTTCACTGAAATGACCAATGACGAAGTGGATCAAGAGGATCAAGTACGGCGCGTAACGACAACATAACGAATATGTCAACAATCAAATCAAATCTATGTAGAAAAACACCGCTATACGGCAGCATAACAACATACTCGTAAGATCATTATATCACTCAACAGGCATTTCAGCAAGAGCAGCTAATAACTGGGAGCGTCGAGACGCTGCTTCGGGAGGAAGCGGGGTCATGTGGAAACGGGGCCACCAGTCATACCTTTCCAACCATAATCGTGTTACATATGATGGCTCGACAAACTGTACCGCAGTATGCAGTAGTACCCATGCACGTCCATTCTCACGATTTGACCCGTAGTCAAGAAATTTGAAAAGAACATCAGTGCAACGTTCGAGCACCTTGAGTCTTTGTCCATACCTGAGTAAGATAAATCTGATTGACTCAAAAGAAAATTGGTAAGTTTACTTCTCCGGCCGTGCTATTCGTGGTTGGCACCAGTCCACCCAAGCTTCATCACTAGCGTGTAGTCCACTACGCTCTGCATCGCACACCTGTAATTTGTTGTTGAGTCGCTAAAACATGCGCTGAAAATTTGCAGTAACCTGTGTATACTATCTACGACAACCCATTCTTAAGGCTTGAGAATTTGCGAAGAATAACCACAAAAAATAGGCGTCACGCTGTTTGGCTCTCACCCTTTTGACCCACGGTGGCTCAATCATTTTGAAATATAAAATGAAGAATTGTCAATATAAGGGTTTTAAACGAAACCGAACTGAAAAGAAAACTAGCAAAAGGAAAAAAGAACACTGAGCATATGACTCGTTTAAAGGGGGTAAACGACAACTTGAAACCAAATCATTCTGTGCTTATACGCACCTCTTCAATAACCACTTCAACGTCATCATCATGGTCAATAGATTTCAGAAAAGCAATCACTCTTCCAAGAAGTTGTGGGCACTTCCGTAATATGCTCGAAACTGCTTCTGCTCTAGAATCTTCGCAATAGCTATATAACGGAAAAATACACGATCAAATCCCACATTTTATCCTCGTGTCGTCCCAGTTTCACCCAAATCTTGCATGCGGTTTCCAAGAATATTGTTCCATGAGGAGGATCACCTGCAAAGTCCCACCGAAATGGAGATAAAATGACTCAAAATTCTTACTTTCGGCCACTTCAAGCAATGCTTGTGCAGTGTTAAGTATCATTCCGCCGTAACCAGCTCTACCTCTCCACTCTTCATACTCGGCTATAAGTTTGTAAGCATTCCAAACAGCAATACTCTAAACACTAGAGAATAACGAATGCTCAAACTTTCGAGAGCTTACATCATAAACTTTGTTATAACGATGTATCCTACGTTCGAGCGCTAGTATCCCAGAAACATGAGTCAAGTGGCCACAGAGCAATGCCGCGATAAGCACTTCACACAACTGCATCATGATGGTGTTTTTTGCGCTATACATGCAGAATATGGAGAAGTACAGCTGATCATAGGTACCTACGATTTAGTAGTGTAAACCATCGCCTGCACACTTGCTAATAAGAGCAACCGGTTGCCTATGTCAAACGAACTGTCCTGAAAACACAAATCTATTGCTAAACGTGATTAGTGCTTCAACTCTAATTGAAAAACATGTGAGTGAGCAACAGGAATTGAAAATTATGGGTTTACTCACATGTTCCATAGCTAAACTGGACTGCAGTGCCATAAAGAATGCGATGGGACTATCATAGTAGATCAGAAACTGAATCTGATAATCGTAATCCTTCCATCCTTTCGTCCTTTTCTCTATTGTCTCCGATGCCATTCGGAGAACTTCAGAATTTGCTGAAATACAAGACTGAATCTCTTGACTGAACATCGTACTAATACCTACCTAGTTGAGTCGCGACAGCTTTATAATTTAGTCTTCTGCTCGCCATGGATAACTGATGTCTCAAACGTTGGATGGATGTGCTTTTTTGTACTCTATAAAATCTTAGAATTCTACAGGCTCAATACTTAGCAGAGATATGATGCTAACAAACCAAATTACGTGATCAAACAATTCGGCGGATATTAGTAGAGAATTTGAGGTTCGATAAAGTATACTAGAAAGACAAAACACAACTTACAAAGGCGATGTTGAGTGGAGAACCAAAGCGCCCATCTGCACATTCAAAAACGACCAGATATTTGCACGAAGGCCATATTCGAGATCAGACAATGCGCGAAAGCTGGAACAAAACAAACGAGGTACTGTTGAAACACCACTCATTCGTGGAAACATAAGCCTGTGGATGCTTACACAATTATGAGAAATAAAGCAACCTACAACTGATTGATATCCTTTGTTGCTGGATACTTTCCGTCATATTCTTCCCTGGCTAAAAACTTGCTGGCACGTAGGTTGAGAACATAACGATATGGGACGCCGTGTATAGACATACATCTGATGAATTCGTGAAGAATACTCTAGAACATGCAGAAATAAGCTTAACTATTTCCTCACAGGATTGGTAAGGATGAAGCGAATGAACTTACCCGCCTCATGGACTCGTTACATCGATAACTGAGCAGATCGCAAAGGCCATTGAGAACGAAGGAAAGCACTTCGATATCTAAAAAAACCAGATCCTTACATGGAAAACCATGCAAACCTACACAGTGTAATGAGAAGAAACTTAAATGCATTCTCTAAAAAACACAAGAAAGTGACTAAAACTAGAAATGTTACAGTGAAAAGCACCGCAATCGGTACCCACTTTGCTCCGATTGCCCTTCTGCCCATTTTCGGAAAAGTTCTTCATCCAAATATATCAGCCTTGCTATGACAGAAGTCGCGCTGCTGGTGCTAGCATTCCCTGACACCTACAAAACAAAACATTACCAACAAAAACCCACGCACCTCGAAATATTATCACGTACCGATTCTTCAATGCGTTTTCGACGTTTACCTCTACCTGGATGCATTGCATTCTATTGGCAGTTTGAAGCTACAGACGAAGTAAATGTTCTTTCTAAAATCTGTGCGATGTTAACTGGACCGTATTTCTACTTTGAAGTCAGCGTCCAGGTAAATCTGGACTATGGAACTCCCATGCGGATAGTAATTTTGGAGCCCCAAGTAAGTCACTGTCCAACCGGCAGTTCAGATATATAGTGCACTAACGGCTGAGAAGATATTCGCCTCGAAACTGGATTCCAGGATCGTTCTTCGTATGGTCATGGTGCAAAATGGAGTTTTGATATTTCGCAACGCGTTTGGCTGGTGGCCAAGCACGCGTTGGGGGCGGGGCGATACCGTAACGCGTGCTTGGCCGGGGTTTCTTCATTCCGATCTTTCGTCAACGTGGGAATAGCCAAGATTCCGATATTCTCTACACTGCGATGTCGGGTCAGTCTCCCGCTACACCTGAGCCTGAGGATGATTTAGTGCAGATGACTAAAGAGCAGTTTGATCTGCTGGTCTCCCAGATTTCGGCTTCGTATTCAACTCCTTCCCTTCCTACCAATACTTCGCCCAGTACCAGGACCAAAGAGCAGTTGGATCAGTTGGTCTCGCAGATTTCGGCCTCGTATTCTACTCCTTCGCCTCAGCCCAGTACTTCGGCATCTTTGCCTGGACCCTCTGCTACGCCGACCTTCACGAAGTCGGGTCTGGAGAAACAATTCGCATTCAACTCATCTGTTTTATCAGTGTTGACTCCGGCTTTGGAGCTGCTGAAGGAGGACGAGACCAAGGACTATCTCAGGAGGGCCATTACCCTCCTCACCCAGAGGAATGAGCTGTTGACGGTGGCCGATACCGACCCCGAGGTTTTCGAGTTCTTTGACAAGCAAAGCAAGGCTGATGCAATGCAGCTGACGAATCCCATACTTGCGGCGTTTATTAGAGAGAAGAAAAAGAAGGAAGAGAAGAAGCCAATCGCATCTCGGGGATCGGTATGGAGTGAGTTGTTGTTTAAGGGTGATAGCAGTTTGAAGTCATGCGCTGTTAACTCAACCAATTGCTATGATACGTTTGTTCAGGAGCGCGTTACTGGCCATACCCGAAACAGCCCTTTCGGGCTGGAGGGGCGGCACGGGCCCCCGCCCCTCTTCCTTACCAGACGCCCGTCTATGGTCAAGCACGCGGGTTCCAGGCTCGCAGTCACCCCGCAGGGTTTCAAGGGCGCCCGAGGGACATGTGCTTTAACTGCGGGCGCTATGGACATTACTCCCGTGAATGTCGAGAGGAGCGCAAATGAAAGTGAGTTTCATGTTGGGCGTATCCATACGCGTTTGGAGTTTTGGATGAGTTTAAAGCCTTCTCCTTTTTTGAGAGTGCTACTCCGAGAAGGCTACAGCCCCGAGTTTTGGGTAGAGCCCTCGTTGATGCCTGTTAGGAAGAATTGTAGATCCGCTGAAATTCACAAGAAGTTTGTTGACATGGAGTTGGCGAGCCTGCTTAGTACTGGGGCGGTGATTAGAGTCAGTAGTACGGAAGAGCTTAGGATTAACCCCCTTTCTGTGGCGGAAGGGAAGAAACTGAGGCTGATACTGGATCTATCAGATTTGAATAGAAGTGTGGTTAAGAGTAGGGTGAGATTCGAAGATGTCTCTAAAGTTGCCCCTGTTTTACCAGCGGGGGGTTTTATGGCCTCTTTTGACCTCAAGTCGGGATATCACCATGTTAGAATAAATGAGAGGTTTCATAAGTATTTCGGATTCTCTTGGGAGGGTAATCTATTCAAATTTGTGGTGCTCCCATTTGGACTTTCATCTGCCCCCATGGTTTTCACTAAATTAATGAGGCCCCTCCTAGGTAAGGATTAATGTAGCGGTATATTTGGATGATGGGCTCATATGGGCAGATTCCGCACACAGGTGCGAGGAAGCAGTTGAGACAGTCAGAGTTGACTTATGTAATGCCGGCTTCTCGACAGCCGAGGAAAAGTGTTCCTGGATCCCGCTCCAGAGGTTGGTATGGCTAGGCCATGATATTGACTTAGTAGCGATGACCTTGAATGTGACTGATGAAAGGAGAAAGAGGGCCAAAGGGCTGGCTGAGAGGTTGTTAAGTATGAGAGGCCCGTCTCTCTTGGATAGACTAAAATGGCAAGGCAGCATTGCGTCTATGCATCTAGTACTTCCTTCAGAGTTGAAGCGTTGTTGGAAGGCTGTGGCCTCAGAAATAGCCGAGAAAGAGCAAGCCGGTACCGCCTTGAAGTACAGATGGCCACTTGCGAGTCAAGAGAAGGAAGAAATCAAAGGTTGGCTGAAGTTTGACTCCAAATTTAGTGGCATGCCCATTGCGGCGGTTCCCGACCTATATAGCGCGCTAAGGGCGTTTTCGGATGCCTCTCAGTTTGGCGTGTGTGCGGTTTTGCATCTGAATGTAGGCGAAAAAATGTCATCTTCTGCTAATCTGCCTCCGGAGCTTGTGGGGACGTCGAGTACGATCAGGGAGCTATACGCGATCCTTTTTGGATTGAGAGCATTTGGCGACCGTTTTGCAAACGAGCAAGCAGTGTGGCATTGCGACAATCAAGCAGCCGTCGCTATTTTGAGGAAGGGCACCACAAAGCCACACCTGCAGAAAATGGCCGAGCGCATATGGGAATTTTGCGCACGGATAAATCTCACAGTGGAGTTTTGCTGGATTGCGCGGGAGTTCAATGCGGAAGCGGATTTGGCCTCGCGAGCGGTGGATCTGGACGATTGGAGCATTAGGGGTGAGGTAAGCATGCAGCTGCAGCAAAGCTGGGGTTTTTGCACCATGGATTTCTTCGCCAGCGAGTTTACTAAAAAATGTGACGTTTTCATCTCTAAGGAGCCTTGTGCCGGAGCATTGGCAGTTGACGCGTTTTCCAGGGAAGCAGCGCTATGGTGGAGGAATGAATTTGCGTGGTGGGTTCCACCGCCCAGTTTGATTGTCAAAACCTTAGTCTGGGCTAAACGTTATAAGAGCAGAGGTATTCTAGGATTCCCTGTGTGGCCGTCTAACATATTTTTCTCAAGTTTGCGCGAAGGAAATTCGTGGATACCTCAGATTTTGGATTTGAAGGTATTTCCTGCGGGGAGCCCAGTTTTAGTTGGTAATTCACCGTCTTACACGTTTGGCGGCCCATCGCTTAATTTCGACTTTGCGTTCGCTCTTCTTCGGTTCTAGACCCCCACGCTTTAAGTTCTTCCGCTGGGTCGTTGCGAAATGCAAAACAGAGGTTTTGCCGTAGTCTATCGGAGGCAAAAATGGAGTTTTGATATTTCGCAACGCGTTTGGCTGGTGGCCAAGCACGCGTTGGGGGCGGGGCGATACCGTAACGCGTGCTTGGCCGGGGTTTCTTCATTCCGGTCTTTCGTCAACGTGGGACCCACCCACCCTCCCTGGTCTGAGGCTGCGAAGATCGAAACTGTTATGACTTGCGTGCCCGCATGGTAGTCGGCATACTTGCGACGGCGCTACCCTGGTACGCGCGGGTAAATCTGGCGTGAAAATTGGAGGATTCACAGGATCGGTAACGGTGCCGGTTTGGCTAGCTTAGGGGCTTTGCGCGCGTGGTTCCTAGTATTGGGAGCGTAAGAGCTTGTGTTGGGTTATGGTGTGCCTTAGAGGCGTGCAATGAGTCAGTTGGGAACGTTCTACCAGTTCCTCGTTCAGATCGGCTCATTGATGCTAAAAGAAGAAGGGCCGGAGAGACGGCTGGAATCGCTGTGGACGCAGGCTTGAAGAGAGTAGCGGAGCTAATTGAATCATGTTTTGACAGCGCACTGGCACCAGGGACAATTCGAATCTACAGAAGAGTGCAAGAGGATTTCCTCAATTTCATCGCGAAGTTCGGAGTCCCTGTGTCTGCGCTAAGCAAACTCCGAAACGTATATGTTGCGCACCTGATCGACAAGAACAAAATCAGGTCCCTAGGTTGCCACGTTGCGGCACTAGCGCATTTCTTTGGCCCGCTGCCACGAGAGGATGACGAGATCTTGAGGGCTTTGGTGCGCGGAGCAAAGCGAACGTCCCCGCCAGCGAAGCACCGAAAGAAGGCTACTCAAAAAGATGTTGATGCGGTCATTAGTTGGGCGTTGCAGCGAAAAACGCTCGCGGCGATAGCTGGGGCAGCCATGATTCTGCTCGCTTTTGCTGCATTCCTGAGGGTGGGGGAATTGTGCGAAATTCGAGTGTCAGACTTGTCTCGGAAAGGCGAAAATGAATGGTGGCTTACAATTAGAAAATCTAAAACAGACCAAGAAAGACGAGGTTCGGAAGTCGCATTCCGGCTAACGGGACCCGGAGCGTCTTCGAGAAGTTTCTGCCGCGAAACCCGGATCAATATATTTTTAGCCGATCATCCGCTCATCCACCAACAAGGGACACCATCTCGCGAAGGATCAAAAGAGTGCTCAAGGATGCCGGCTTGGAACACAGGTGCCTTACATCGCACTCCTTTAGAGGAGGAGCAGCCACTGCAGCAGTCCGAGCAGGGAGTCACCCTGCCAATGTTATGCGCGTCGGACGATGGCGGTCTGCCGAGGCCTTCTCTTGCTACGTTGATCCCAGCCCTCTTTGATTGGTGCCTGTATTATATCCGTTCCTACAAGATTTCGCTTTGTCTCGTCCTGTTGGACATTGTTCTATTCTTGTTCTTTGTCGGCATAGCGTGAAGAGCACACCGAAGTGTGCCGGTCATTTGATCATCGTTTTGATAAGGGAGCTCGTTATGGACTTTGTTCTCAGGTCATTATTGCTATCTCAGGTCATTTGCCGTTAATTTGCGATTTATGATAATCAACTTTTGCTATACGGAATTTGCTCCTCATTCTACGGAAAGTTGCGTTGCGATTTTCTGCGGGTGCTCTGTCTCCTTATTTTCTCATTTTGTTTCGCTTCTCTGCCTCAAGGAGCAATCAGTCTCTGTCAGATCGTGTTCGGCGTTAGAGGATCTCCCTGCCATTATTACTCTGGTTGGTCTATCTTGTTCTTATTTTGGCATGTTCCGCATCATACTCGCCTCAGGTTGAAAGCAGTATCTCTTTTATGGCTTCAGGTCATTTCCAGGACTGTGAAAGTATCTCTGTATCATGAATCGATGTAAGACTCCCGCAGATATTTCCATTATTCATATGTATCTCGTATTTCCGGCAGTATGGCCTATATTGTTCTCTCCTGGCATCTTCCAGGCAGATATGCGTTTCTGGCTCCTGTATAGTTTCGTCTGTAATTTCCGGTATTAACTCTTCCCTGTATGCATTTATCATCTGCCTATGGCCCACGTACTCTGCTTCACTCCTTAACGGCCATCTCATTCATATTCTACTGCCGAGGCGCAGTTTTTCCGTATGTTGTTCATTTACGCTTACGCTGTTTACTGGATTGCGTGTTTATGTTCAAACTTGCTTTATGTCTGTGGGAACGTTCCCTATGTGTATACGTTGACGAAATGAACCTTCTCCCCGCTGGGTCGTTGCGAAATGCAAAACAGAGGTTTTGCCGTAGTCTATCGGAGGCAAAACCATCAATTTCGCGCGCGGACCCATGGGTTGCGCCATGAATCCATGCGAAATACGATCCCGAGGTCCCGTTTCGAGACGAATATCTCAGCCGTTAGAGCACTACCTGAGCTGCCGCTTGAGCAGTGGCTTAGTTAGGCCCAAAAAAGCACACACGACAACACGGAACTGCGACCTTTTCTGCAAATTCTACTTCTCCGCGTTTGATTAGCGCACCTTCATTAACAGCTTTGAACCTTGAGGGCATTGAAACGCAAACAAAAGCTAGATATATCAAACATTACGAGACTAACAGACTCGAAACCGCTTTGCACAAATGATCTATACAAGCTTGAGTCTGTTTTTCCTGCTCCCATGTAGCAAATAATTCTAGACTAGTTGGATCACAAGTTCGAACTCGTTAATCACATGAACAAGCTTGTTTTGATAATGTTTGCAAGGCAATTTCGAGTCTCTTAGTCGCAGAATGTGTCGTGATAAACACACGACTCCATGCCCAAATTGTAACTCTTTGTGACCATTGTGTTTACATGTAAACTTTTCACAAAGAGTCCGCCATCTGGCGGACTCTTTGTGCCCGTTAGGGCCAGCCTCCTGCTGGCCAACTTTACCCCTCACTCTTCACTGTATCGTGTGCCGGAATAAGCCGGCTGTATTTGTGCTCCAATAAACATTCTTACTCCCCAAGTGTTGGCTGAGTCATCGAAGAGTCCCCCAAAAACCCACTGAACCACCACAATTTTGGTGCATCGGCCGGGAAACAAAAAACCCGCCGAATCTTTTCTAACAGGTCAAATCCTGTACATCTTGTCAAAGCAAGATGGAATTGGTGTTGCTGAAAAATCCGCTCACCATTAGCGCCAAGACGCTAAAAACACTTATAAATACATTCAAGGACTACACAAAAAAACCAGTGTATCCCCCCGATGACGAAAAAGCCTACGACGAAAGTCAGGCAGCCGCTGATCTAATAAACGAAGCAATATACCAGGTAACTGTTGCAATAGATGAGCTAAAAAAGCTCGTCGCTCAAATCAAAAAAGAATATGAGAGGATTCAAGATACGGGCGAAAGAGAAGACTTCTCCGACGCTTTAGAGAAGCTTGAAGATGACACAAACTTCAATGAAATTTTGGGAGCAGGAACTGAAATAATTTTTATGCTCAGAGCAAGGCTTACCGAAGTCATTAGCACCCGCAATAGACTGGGACGCAAACTAGGACTTACTGTACCTCCGCAACCAAATCCAACAGCAGTCACAAATGGAAATTTTATTCAAAATAACGATAATGAACAGCAGGAAATCAGCGAAGATAACGGATGGATAACAGAAAACAGCAATGATAGCACCGATGTAAATATACAAACAAACCGGAACGAAAGCACCGATGCAAATATACAAACTAACCGGAATGTTAACACCGAAACAAATCAAGTACAAACAGTACAAATACAAACCTGTAACAATGTGAAAACGCCCGCACTGGAAGTGCCAAAGTTCTACGGGATGGAGGAGGATTTTCCAGAATTTTGGGCAATCTACGACACGTTAGTGCACAGGAACACCACACTTAGCACAGTGGAAAAAATGTTGTTTTTGAAGGACAGTTTGAGAGGAAAGTCAGACAATGCGATTAAAGGCATACAGCTAATACCACAAAATTATGGATGGATGGTTGATGCATTGAAAAAGAAATACGGCAATAAGCCAATAAACAGGGCAAGAATAGTCCACAGACTTACCTTACTTACTCCAGCGACCAAAACAGCGGAAAGTTGCGCTCACGTCTTCGACCGAATCCAGATGCTGGTGAATCAGATGGTGTCAGCAGGTCAAGACATACGCAAAACGAACGACGCCATGTGGACAGAGATGATGCTAGAAAAATTTCCGTACGATATAGTCAAAAACGTGCTTATCGCGATCAAAAGCCAAGAAGAAGTATCAGTCGAGGAAATAATGGAAAAAATTGAAAAAGAAATCTCAGCAAAAACCTATGTGCAGTCACGGATGAAAGTACATCAAAAAAGAGTAGAACCAACGGCAGAAACAAAAAGCCCGCAAATAACAATAACTGGTCCGCTTTGCGCATTTTGTGAGAAAGGCGGTCACTTTGCAACAAATTGCCGAACTATTACGGATATTCAATCGAGACGAAATATAGCGATTGAAAAACAACTATGCTGGAAATGTTTCTCCAATAAACATTTTAGTTCGGAGTGTCAGCGTCCGAACTGTGCCTCTTGCGGCAGACAACACCACATTGGTTTATGCTTTGCAAGTAGACAACAGAGCTCAAGTGGGATATCTAGATCACAACCACCTGCTCGAAAACAGAATTCTGCTCCTTTCAAGAAACCAGATGAGCGCCCACAGGTGAACTGGAAAAATAACTCCCCGTATAATCTACGCCAAAGAAATAAAACGAATTCGCGACCCAATCCAGCCAACCAAGCAAATTTCGGCATAGAAAAAACAGGTGCTGATGTCCAAAAAAGAGAGCAAATCGTCCTAATGACTGCTGAAGGGATGATTTGGAATCACAACACCGAAAACTTCGAAAAGGCGCTCTTCTTTTTCGACACCGGAGCGCAAAAAACAGTAATTCGTGAGGAACTGGCGCAGAAATTAGGCTTACCTAAGCTGAAGACAGAATCATGCGTAATGTCTGGCCTCGGCGGTCATACCGAAATGTTCGAAAGCAACGTTGTTTCAATAAAAGTCAGTTCTGCTTACGGAAAAGACATGGAAACTATCATACAAACGAAACCGTTCATTACGAAGGCATTCCCCTCAGTCAAGCTGAACAACGTAGACAAGGAATTCCTACAGAAGAAAGAGGTCTGCATCGCGAATACAAAACTAAGAGGAGAAATGCAAAATCCGGACATCTTAGTAGGACTAGATCTCTACTACAATTTCATTCTGGAAACCTCGGAAAGCGCAACTACACCATCGGGACTTCGAATCGCAAGAACGATTTTCGGACCTACAGTATACGGACGTGGGTCAGTTGATGGAAAAAACGAAACCACAAACGTTATCTATGGAATGACAGCCATAATGGAAGAAGAAAATGAACTACTAAGCAAACTGTTTGAGCTGGAAGGGCTCGGCATATCAAAAAACGAATATGCGCGACACGATGAAGTTTTTGACTACTTCGAAAGTTACTCAAAGGACATCATTTTCCAAAATGGCTACATTACCGCTCCATTTCCACTCAAAAGCAATATAATTGACTTAACGGACAATTATGCGGTTGCTTACAGAAGACTAGCTGCTCTGCAAAATCAGCTATGTAATAACACCAAGCAAAAAGAGTGGTACTGCAAAATTCTTCGAGAATACGAGGAACAGAATATCATTGAGAAAGTTACCTACGATATCACAAATGCATCGGGAGTGTATTATATGCCCCACTCAGGAGTAGGCGAGAACACAAAGCAAAACCGTTACGAATTGTATTTGATGCCTCTTCCAAACAAAAAAGATGCCTGTCTCTGAATGACGTCATTCACAAAGGAGAGTCATTTGTTACCAAAATACACGATATTTTGGTGGCCAGCCGGAAAAGTAAAATTATTCTACTTTGTGACATTGAGGCCGCATTTACACAAATTAGATTAACGGAAACACACAAAGATTTATGTCGATTTCTGTGGCTGAGAAACCCAGATCTACCACTTACAAAAAGTAACATAGTGGAATTTAGATTCAATCGCCTTCCATTCGGCGTAACTGCCTCACCAAGTATCCTCAATATGGCGCTGGTTACCTACCTCAATTCCAAAACCTCACCAATTGCACAAGAAATAATCAAAAATTTGTATGTAGATAACATACTTTTACTTGCAAATAACCCAGCGGAAGCACTACAAAAATACTCCCAAGGAAAGGCACTTTTTGCCGAAATAGGCATGAATTTGAGAGAATTCATTTCCAATTCGGAATCAGTAAACAAAAAAATACCCGAAATTGATAGAACACCAGGGGGAAACATCAAGTTCCTGGGAGTGCCATATAATACCTACACAGATTCATTTAGTGTAAAAATAACCTTTCCTATGAAAGAAAACCTCACAAAAAGAGACATAGTTAGTCAACTAAACTCAATTTATGACCCGATTGGTATAGCTGCACCACTAATCGTAAAGCTTAAGTCACTCATGAGGGAAATCTATGAAGAAGGAACAGATTGGAATCAAATTCTACCAATAGAACTAACTAAGAAATGGAATACAGCGTGCAATGAAATCGATAACGTAGAAGTCGCGGTGGCACGCTACCTCGGATCTCGTTATGACGCGTCTGCCATAGATGAGCGTGACCTTTGCGATCTCTGGGTCTTCGCGGACGCCAGTGTCTCGGCATTAGCGGCATGCAGCTATTTCAAAAAATATGCGGGCCAAGTAACGGCATTAGTCAGCGGCAAAACACGGCTGACACCCAAGAAAACAGTACAAACTATACCAAGATTAGAGATATTAGCCGCACTGATGGCTATCCGTCTCGCAAAGAATATACGTGAATCAACCACGGAAGCGATACGACAAATCCACATAGTTAGTGACAGTGAGATTGCGCTTTCATGGTTAAAATCAAACCGTAAACTTCCAGTATTTGTACGGAACCAAAGAGAACGCATACTTACACTCAAACAAGATCTGGAATCTAGCAATGTCGCGGTCAAATTTCACCATGTCGCCACTAATTACAACCCGGCAGACGCTGGTACTCGCGGCGTCACTGCGAGACAGATCCACGAGATCGATTGGATTGAGGGACCGCAATGGCTTACCAAACCAGGCCCACATAAACAGTTGAAAGATATATCAGAAATCCCAGAATTTGAAGAAGAAGAAGAAGAGCCTTTGAAAATACAAATGCCACAGGTTAGCGACACCACAATCGATACAGAAAGTAACGATAATCTAATTGATATAACGCGATTCTCACAATGGACTAAACTACTAAGAACAGCAGCGAGAGTTGGCAAAATTATCGCGCTATGGGTGAGGAAAACCCAGGAAAAGCGAGGAAGTCAAATACAGTTGCAACGATTAGCTCAGTTTGACAACGATACAGAGATAACATCTGAAGATTTGAAACTTGGTGAGCGAATGTTAATCGCAGATCAACACAAAAACGAAGGATTACAGAAGTTACAAAAGAAATATCCAAACAAAAAGGTTATCAGGGACAGTGACGATATTATTCGTAATGAATCAAGGCTGCAAAATGCCCAATTACCGTACGATACCAAATCTCCCATATACATAAACCCAAAATCGGACCTTGCAAGACTAATACTGCGAGATATTCATGAGAAAAACGCACATTGTGGAAAGGAACATACATTATCGATAGCCCGACAGCGTTTTTGGATCCCGAAACCATCAGGAGCATTTAAAAAGTTCTTAAAAGGATGTGTGAACTGCAAAAAATGGCAGGGTCTACCGTTTGGCGCTCCAAACATGCCACCACTCCCACAGGACAGAGTAATTATAACAAAACCGTTCGATAAAGTGGGTTGTGACTTCATGGGACCAATAACGATAAAAACCCAAGAAAAAGTTTACGTCTGCTTATATACGTGTCTTACTATACGAGCAATACATCTGGAAGTGGTTGGAAACATGTCAACCGGAGCCTTTTTGAACAGTTTTATCAGATTTATATCCCGTAGAGGGGTACCCAGCACAATACGCACAGATTGCGGCACTAATTTCAGACTTGGTCAACAAATACTGGACATTATGTATGAAAAAGACCCTAGTACAGGTGCTTCGGTGATGAATTACAGCGCAAACTGTGGTATAAAGTGGATTTTCAATCCACCTGGAGCCCCATGGATGGGTGGTGCTTGGGAGCGCTTAATAGGTACAGTAAAAATGGCCTTCCGAAAATCAATAGGCAGACGCAGACTTGATCTAACCGAGTTATGCACAGCAATGGCTCGAATCGAAGCCATAATAAACACAAGACCGCTCACTAAGTTAGATTTCACCGACATTTCTGAGATCCCAATACGTCCAGTAGATTTCCTACAGGCTAATATCAAATTTGATGTTAGGGAACCACAAGTAGAAGGCGAGTCTAACGATCTAGACTTTGACCCAGAGTTAATTCAAACAGCTCGGCAAGCTAAGCAAGCCTTGTTAGCTTCCGAAGAAATCGCTGACAAATTTTGGGAACGATGGAATACAGAATATCTAACTGCACTGCGAGAAATACAACGAATTTCGCTCAAACAACCTCGCCACGTGCCCTTACGAAACCCAATTATCGGCGAAATAGTGCTGATGAAACAAGAAAATCTCCCCAGAGGTAACTGGTCGTACGGAAAAGTAATTGAATTAGTGAAAAGTCTAGATGGACAAATCAGATCAGCGAAAGTGCTACTACCAAATAAACATGTTTGTCATAGGCCACTAAACACGATATATCCATTGGAAATACAAAGCGAGGTAGAAAGCTCGACGATCAATAACGGCGAATTGTCAGGCGTAGATGATAATGGAGCGAATAACAACGGCGATCTGCCAGACATAGGTGTCGACGCTGCTAATCCGCCAACAGGTCACCAAGACCCCCCGCAGAGTCGGCAGCCGAGACAAGCTACGATAAATGCGCGAACAATTATACGTAATTTTGAACGAAGCTTGGAGGAATCGGATGAAGCTGACGAAGGCTTTAGCAGAGCATCAACTCCAATACGCCAGATGTTGTTGTCAGTTATCACCGCATTATGCCTCATCAATCCAGCTGCATCTGACAGATTAATTTGCGAAAAAGGCAATGTTAGGATCAACAATCCAAACACAACATTCGAACTATGTATGGGAAGCTTTTGTAGATCCTTTCCGAAGATGGCTATCGCACAATGGGAGTGGTCATTACCTCCAACAGCATTGAATAAGACCATGTTTGTCTCTATGAGGTACCTTCTGGAGGACCAAGAAATCATGGAACAGACATATTGTGTACAGCCACATATATGTGATCATTCGAAAGGATTCCTATCGAAAAAACTACTAGCAAACCCACATTGTTGGCCAAACGGTGCCATAGCATCCCTTGGATTAGCGCTTTATGCGATTATTGTAACAACTTTCATGCTCTCCACCTGCATAAAAAGGTTACTAATCCGTCCCGTACAAGTAACCGTTAACACAAGCGATAATGCAAGTGTGCGGTTAGAATTATTTAGTCCACCGACGATCTATAGAGCCGTGAACGTTGCCCTCGTATGCATACTGGCATTAACAGATGCGGCAGCAGCCTGCCAAAACGGCCACATACGGCAAGAAATCGATTTGATATGCACCAGCCATAACAGCTGCTCTTATGAGTACAAAAGAGAAATTCTATTCAATGAATTGGATTTGAAACTCTGCGTCAACATTATGCATGCCAATAAATCCGTTGGTCTAATTGAAGTAGAACGATATCCAACGATAATGCGATGTGCAAAAAGATCATTGTACTTTACGAGAGATGCGACGACCAGAGTATTTAGCACTGTACGTTGCTCGCAGGCAGGGTCATGCGTGAATTCCAAATGCTCGCAGACAACTGTCAATACGACAATCAAAGAGCTTGGCAAAGCATACCAGTTTCCAGGCTACTCCGGGTGTCAGCATTCATGCGGCGGACTCGGTTGCGGCTGTTTTCTCCCGCTACCAGCTTGTTCGTTTTATCGGGTCACAATCCCAAGAAATGAAGAGATTTATGAAGTAGTATCATGTCTGAAGTGGGAACCGTTGGTGAATTTGAAAGTCCGAGTTTCACTCTACAACCAAGAAAAAGAAACCTTCATTACAAGCGCACCTTACATCAAACACGCATTTCAAGGAATGGAAATCTCGATAATTTCGGTACAATCGCCGCACTTTTCCATGCTAGACAGAAAAATAGCAATATCAAACAAGGAAGCTTTGCTTCTACCAGAAGGATACGAACTAGCAGCTAAATGCGCGACCTACCAATCAGCAGCAAAAGATTTCAAAAATTGCGCCAACCAAATGATATGCTCATGCGAAGACGCAAATGGAGCAATCAAATGCCACTGTCCTCAAATGTCCATTAGAGACGTGAAAAATGACATTACAAATGTATTTCCCATTCATACTCCCTTCACTTCCTTACAAAAACGAGATAAGGAACTCTTCGTAAAAACGATGCAAGGAGAAGTAGTCGTATCGCTAGAATCCCGCTCACTGAAGAACAGTGCAGAATATCTACTTGAACAAGATTGCAAACTAAACGCGAGCAGCGTGTTTGGATGCTACGACTGTCAGGAAGGAGCTCAAGTGAACATCAGTTGCACAACCAATGAAAGAGCATGGATTGTATAGGGGCCTGCAGGATCGCGAGAGTCGGACGCGCGTACGGCCTTTGCGCCGCGCACGCCTGATATCGCTGGGTCGTAGTCGATTAAGGCTAGATAGGTAAGTTTTTTTTGTTTTTCTTTACATTTCACGCCTTCTTTTCTTTTCAGACGGTGAGCACATGTTGGTGCGGAGGAGTTTAAGATCTGAATTAAGGTGAGGTGCAGGATTATGCTCAATACGGACTCAATATTGCAGACCTTCCATGCCTGCTGGTTGAGATGTTGGATTTTCTGTCCTGGCTGCCCTGTTACAGCAAACTGTTCTATTTTTACCGTCTATTCTACCTTATCTTGCATATTGCTTGTGATGATGATGATGATGATGACAATGATTATGATTGTGATGACGCGCATGATGCAAGATGAGGTAGAACAGACGTTGCAAATAAAACGGAGTTTCGTAACCGGGCAGGCAGGACGAAAAATCGAACATAATCGGACAGCCAGAACAGAAAACTCAACATTCTTCAAAGCAGGGGTGAAAAGTCCACAATATTGGCCCGTATTGAGCATAATCCTGCACCTCACCTTAATCTAGATCTTAAACTCCTCTGCACCAACATATGTTCGCCGCCTGAAAAGAAAAGAAGGCGAGAAATGAGAAGAAAAACAAAAAAATCTCACCTATCCAGCCTAAATCGAGTACGACCCAGTGACATACGACGTGCGCGGCGCAATGGCCGTACGCACGTCCAACTCTCGCGATCCTGCAGGCCCCTATAATCCAGTGCGGGGAACACACATTCTCAGTAGAGTGCGATTCGCAAGGAAAAGAAACTGCACTAGCAATAGAATTCCAAAAAGCAATTGTACAAGAAACATGCGTTGCACAATGCAACAACAAGACTATCAAATTTGACCTTACAGGTACACTCAGTTTTGTACCAGACATTGTGGAACACATGTTGTTTGAAAATCCCGCTCAACTAAGAAATTCCCACAAAGATTGGTTTGCCGACTGGAAAGTTCCAAGTATTTTACCGATCTGGAATACTCTCTGCAAACACTGGCAAGTCACCACAGTTATATTGGGATCAATAACCATCCTCTCAGGGATAACATATTTCTTCGGACCAGCACTAATCTTTGCACTCGCTAGATTAGTCTACATCTGCGCGGTAATTATCGCGAAGACAACTGCGTTGTTTATTCAGACTGTTTACAAATGTATCAGAGCCGCCACGCACTAAAAGAGTGGGGCCGACCCACTATTATAATCAGCATTGTACACAATACCCATATCTTATAACATAAAGAATCTCATATGGTAGGGGTGGAACCAAGAAACTTTGATGAACGATACTCATTCGACTAATTCACGTCAGCCTGAACACTACAACTAATGCCAATGGACGAGATCGACGTCGCCTTGCACATCGAACCTCTAGCGGATGCTCTCAAAGACATTAAGGAGCGGATGGAGAACGGACTGTCAACAATTAATGCCAAGATCGACAATATCATGCAAGCAGTCCAAGCTACGAGCGAGAGATGGTCGATTATTCACCACCAGCTAACTATTATGGTGGAAAGGACTACCCCGAGGTCAAATTGCATGTTTTGCACTGTGGAAGACAACAAGGATCAACACCCGACTGGACGTTGCTGCAAATTCCCCGACGCTGTGTCGCGGGCAGTGCAAGCGTCAGCCCTTGGACTCTGCGAAAGGTGCCTTCAACCGAAACACCACGAAGATTGTGGTGTAACGTGCCCCATTTGCGGCAGGCTGCATAACGTCCTGCTATGCCCAAACAGAGGACAGACTGGGCCATTTAAACGGCGAAAGGTTGGTTCAGATCTTATAACCCATCTTATACCTACTAATCAAACTCAAATCCTGGTTACAGTAAAAGCCCCAACGTTCATTCCATGTTCCCGACCACCTCTCAACCCAATAAGCTATGGTGAGTCTTTGCACTAGTTACAGATTGTTACATAATGTTTATTATCATAACATTATTATCATTACAATAACAATCACAACATGTCTATATTTACTACAATAAACAACAAACAGCTATCACGAATTAATGCCGTCCCCGATGTTACGTCGCAGAGTGGACATAGCCTTCGACAGAGCATTGTTAGCCGCTTCCAATAATGCCATGTCCTCCATTGACCTCTTCAACCATGCTTGTTTGGCCCTTGACGTCCATCGCTCATTAGACAACTTCTCAGTCAACTCCTCGGCGCTCTAAAAAGAAAATACTTATCAAATTATTCACAACATGGAACAAAAATGTCTTACCTTTTTGAACTCATCCCTTTCCCGTTCGGCTGCATTCAGTTTCCTACGGAGAATATTGATTTCTCTGTCCTTATCGATGAAGTCCTGTAATTATAAAAAATAAAAATTAATTCACAAAATAGCCACAAAAACCCTCAAGGTAAAAAGAAATGCGATGAACATATCTTTAATTACTCACCTGATTACTTCTCACGGGCGCTACTTCATTAACAGCGGGCATCTTGCGTTAACTCTAGAGTAGCAGCATAAGTGAAGACCAAGCAAGAAAAAAAGATAGCAAAAAATAAGGAAGAAATAGGCAAATGGCTGAAGAAGCGGCTTAATCACCCTTTTATGCAGCCAGGGTGACATCTTCTTGCGCAAGAGCAGACGCGCGTTAAGCATATCAGTCTAAAATTGAAATATCAGTCAATCAAATCCTTGAAAGACGATATGCGTCTGCTATGCGTCTGCTCTGACGCATCAGCTCGAATATGGCATCCAGTACCACTCAATATTCCCATATATCCCAGTAGGGAATGATTTATTATATATTTCAATAATAATATACTTGATCTAGATCTCCTCCAGTTCGTCAAGCCCAACTCCGCCGCAACTACGTACCCTCCACTTCTCCTTCGCCTCAACATCGCATCCAGTCTTCGGCCGCTCGACAAGTTTTTTTTGTTGTTCCGTTCCTTTCCCCCCTCTATTATACGTTTTTGTAACTCCTTGTAACATTTTGTTGTTAATTCTGCTGTTTCCATATCATTTTCTCTGTTTCTTGCTGTTCTTATACCCATTGCGAAATATCCCTTCCCTTTTTTTTTCATCCTTCCTTTTTTCTGTTTTTCCCTTTTTTTACATCATGCCGAATGAGAAAATTCCTCATTCGGAAAGTTAATTTTTTGTCTGGGGGGGAGTGTCGTAATAAACACACGACTCCATGCCCAAATTGTAACTCTTTGTGACCATTGTGTTGTTAATTCTGCTGTTTCCATATCATTTTCTCTGTTTCTTGCTGTTCTTATACCCATTGCGAAATATCCCTTCCCTTTTTTTTTCATCCTTCCTTTTTTCTGTTTTTCCCTTTTTTTACATCATGCCGAATGAGAAAATTCCTCATTCGGAAAGTTAATTTTTTGTCTGGGGGGGGAGTGTCGTGATAAACACACGACTCCATCCCCAAATTGTAACTCTTTGTGACCATTGTGTTTACATGTAAACTTTTCACAAAGAGTCCGCCATCTGGCGGACTCTTTGTGCCCGTTAGGGCCAGCCTCCTGCTGGCCAACTTTACCCCTCACTCTTCACTGTATCGTGTGCCGGAATAAGCCGGCTGTATTTGTGCTCCAATAAACATTCTTACTCCCCAAGTGTTGGCTGAGTCATCGAAGAGTCCCCCAAAAACCCACTGAACCACCACAGAATGAATAATACTACGATCCAAAGTGGATGTGGCAATTGAAATTCAACGCAGCGCGCGTATGCAGTTGGATCAATAAATTACGTTAGAGCAGCTTTAGCCTTTATTGCCGCGTATGCGAGCTTGAACTTGAATGATGTAATGACAGTTTCATTCATTCCACTAGTAGCTGTCTCTATACTTTGAAACGACGCCGTGGCGTCTAACATTCACATGCGACGGTTAATAGCCCTCACTGATCTTCTGACTTTTCTGCGACTGTGGATGGGGTATGATGAGTGGATTCGCTGTATGGTTGACTTTATTCTCGTCGTTCTGATTTGCGCTATAATTGTGCCGACTTGTCGGCACCTTCCTTACAATCATATCATTACTCCTGCCTGAGCACCGTAAAGGTCACGCCATAAGCATGACCTGCTGTGATATGAGTGTGTTTATTGCCCAGATGCATGCCAAGTTACTTTGCTCCGCCTGTTATCCTCAGCATTCTACCACTGCACGAATGGGTGCATGTCGTCTGTTCAATAAAGCTCTAACAGCTTACGTGTTCTAATAACACATCGGGAGCCACCATACTCCACTACAGGCGCCACCCATTCGCCTAAGGCTACAATAAAGCCTACAGCCCACCACATTTATGGTGCATCGGCCGGGAAACGAACCCGGGCCGCCCGCGTGGCAGGCGAGCATTCTACCACTGAACCACGAGCGCACGTCGTCTGTCTCAATAAAGCTACCTACAGCTTATGTGTTCTATATAACACACAAAAGGCGCTATTCGCCTTAGGCTACTATAAAGCCTAGAGCCATCGATACAATAATACCCTCCATCAGTTCTACCAGTATGAGTTAGTTTTTTTTTCATCAAGAAGCGCAAGTGCAAATAAAAAAGAAAGGGACTTGTGACTTGTTCCAGCCTTCATTTCGAACCTTGCATTTGGGATTGTTTTGTCGAATCGTGGAGGCAATGCAAATGTTTTGAAATAAGATCTCTCAACTTCCTTCCATAGTATTTTTAAACAGTCACTCTAGTAAATGGTATCTCACTCACCTAAATGTCTCTGGATGTGATAAAAGATGCTCAAACACGCCGTTCGCAACCGCTCCATAAACCGACGGCATTCGTTGGGGATCAGTTTCCACAGTACTATGTTTCAACCCGGTGTAGGTGGAGATCGAAATTGGGGGACCTCCGCCTCGCAATGGTTTGCACCGTAGCTACAGTCGAGTAGATTTAGCGGTAAATGTAGTGTGCTTGCACAGAAGGTGAAATGCGGTAAAATTTGCGCGTGAAGAAATAGCTTCGGCTGTGACGCCGGCCAATTGCGCGCGCAAGATACCCGCAGTACTGGCGTGGCTACTTGTTCACGCGCAAATTTCACCGCATTTCACCTTTTGTGCAAGCACACTATATTTACCGTTAAATCTACTCGACTATACAGTACCCTTGATTCCTGGACTTATGGCTGAAAGGCGGAGCTTTGTGACCTAGTTTAGGCTAGAGAATGATCAGATAGCGCACGCGAGAGAGATGCAGACTGCGTTGCGGGCGCGAACGGCCTTAATCTTATATATAAAGCTGAATGTCTGTTTGTATGTCTGTATGTCTGTCTGTATGTCTGTATGTACGTATGTTCCGAATAGAAAATTCCATTTCTGAACCGATCGGGACCAAACTTGGCACACATACACTTTGGGCCCCGGCGAGTGTCATAGGCTACTTTTCGTCATCGATCGATATCGATTTTATCGATTTTTATCGATTTTTTTGCTGAGTTCACCTACGGGGCTGGGAGTTGGCACAGGGGGGTAATCGAGCATGGGGATTCCGAATACAATATTGGTTTTCAGGATTATCGATTACTTTTATCGATTTTATCGATTTTTTTGCAAAGTTTGAGCTACGGGGGTGGGAGTTGGCACAGGGGGGTAATCGAGCATGGGGATTCCGAATACAATATTGGTTTTCAGGATTATCGATTACTTTTATCGATTTTATCGATTTTTTTGCAAAGTTTGAGCTACGGGGCTGAGAGTTCGCACAGGGGGGTAGTCGAGCATGGGGATTCCGAATACAATATTGGTTTTCGGGATTATCGGTTACTTTTATCGATTTTATCGATTTTTTTGCAAAGTTTGAGCTAGGGGGCTGGGAGTTGGCGCAGGGGGGTAATCGAGCATGCTGATCATCCCCAAGGGGGGTGATCAGCATGCTCGATTACACCCCTGTGCCAAATTCCAGCCCCCTAGCTCAAATTTTCAAAAAATCGATAAAATCGATAAAAGTAATGGACGATCTTGAAAACTAATATTGTATTCGTAATCTGCATGCTCGATTACTCCCCTGTGCAAACTCCCAGCCCCGCAGGTCAAACTTTACAAAAAAAATCGATAAAATCGATAAAAGTAATGGACGATCCTGAAAACTAATATTGTGTTCGTAATCAGCATGCTCGATTACCCCCCTGTGCAAACTCCCAGCCCCGCAGGTCAAAATTTACAAAAAAATCGATAAAATCAATAAAAGTAATCGATAATTCTGAAAACTAATATTGTGTTCGGAATCCCCATGCTCACTTCCCCCCTGTGCCAACTCCTAGCCCTGTAGGTGAACTCTGCAAAAAAGATCGATAAAAATCGGTATAATCGACATCGATCGATAACGAAAAGTGGACTGTGACACCCGCCGGGGCCCGAAGTGTATGTGTGCAAAGTTTGGTCCGGATCGGTTCAGAAATGGAATTTTCTATTTGGAACATACGTACACGGGTCTAGCTGGCAGGCCCGGCGGAGCCGGGCAAGCCAGCTAGTCGGGTCATAAAGCCTCGCCTTCGAGCCGCCAATCCAGTTGAATTAAAGGTTATATCATATTGTGCAAAAAACCCACGTCTGGGAGACTGTACAAGGTCGTGCTCACAGAAAAATCTTGATGATTCTTGACAAAATTCTTTTTTCAGAACCAATATCTAGGAGTTTTTTGGATGACCAAAATAATGTGATTCTGTCCTTGAAATTTCAAGAGAAGGCCGCTTTTGATGGGAGGACTGTGATATCAACTTTATAGCTACTACCATGATATCATGGACGTACAAGCACAGCAACAATATTTATTCAGTCTACATTTACCAATATTTCCACAGACCATAAGAACGATGAAACTAATGTTTCACCAGTATCTATTGTATGTTCTATAGCAATTCCCAATGCATGGAGAGAACGGTGGACAGAAACAAGGTAGTTTCGCTTGGACCAAAGAATGGGAGGGAACTCCATCCTCTTGAGCGTCGACAGTATCATCAATAACTATTGGCTCGCCACTACGGGTTCTTCTTGGAAAGATACTGTTAACCAATCGTTCCATTTCCATAACACGAGCGCGAGACGGCCCAGATGACATGAAGAAGTTTCTTCGTGGTCTAAAATTAGCGGTCCGTTGAAATTTTCCAAAATTTTTCGGAGTAAACAAGTATGATTTTTTTCTTGCTTGTTATTCCGCAGCTGTAAGTATGAGACCTACCTAGTAAAGTTGTCTTCTTGCATTTCTTCTTGCAAGGAAAATCTATAAAATACCATTTAATCTTATATATAAAGCTGAATGTCTGTTTGTATGTATGTATGTATGTCTGTCTGTATGTATGTATGTGTGTACGTATGTTCCGAATAGAAAATTCCATTTCTGAACCGATCCGGACCAAACTTGGCACACATACACTACGGGCCCCGGCGGGTGTCATAGGCTACTTTTCGTCATCGATCGATATCGATTTTATCGATTTTTATCGATTTTTTTGCTGAGTTCACCTACGGGGCTGGGAGTTGGCACAGGGGGGTAATCGAGCATGGGGATTCCGAATACAATATTGGTCTTCAGGATTATCGATTACTTTTATCGATTTTATCGATTTTTTTGCAAAGTTTGAGCTACGGGGCTGGGAGTTGGCACAGGGGGGTAATCGAGCATGGGGATTCCGAATACAATATTGGCTTTCAGGATTATCGATTACTTTTATCGATTTTATCGATTTTTTTGCAAAGTTTGAGCTACGGGGCTGGGAGTTCGCACAGGGGGGTAATCGAGCATGGGGATTCCGAATACAATATTGGTTTTCGGGATTATCGATTACTTTTATCGATTTTATCGATTTTTTGCAAAGTTGGAGCTAGGGGGCTGGGAGTTGGCACAGGGGGGTATTCGAGCATGCTGATCATCCCCAAGGGGGGTGATCAGCATGCTCGATTACACCCCTGTGCCAAATTCCAGCCCCCTAGCTCAAATTTTCAAAAAATCGATAAAATCGATAAAAGTAATGGACGATCTTGAAAACTAATATTGTAATCGTAATCAGCATGCTCGATTACCCCACTGTGCAAACTCCCAGCCCCGCAGGTCAAACTTTACAAAAAAATCGATAAAATCGATAAAAGTAATGGACGATCCTGGAAACTAATATTGTGTTCGTAATCAGCATGCTCGATTACCCCCCTGTGCAAAATCTCAGCCTCGCATGTCAAAATTTACAAAAAATCGAGAAAATCAATAAAAGTAACCGATAATTCTGAAAACTAATATTGTATTCAGAATTCCCATGCTCACTTCCCCCTGTGCCAACTCCTAGCCCTGTAGGTGAACTCTGCGAAAAAATCGATAAAAATCGGTAAAATCGACATCGATCGATAACGAAAAGTGGACTGTGACACCCGCCGGGGCCCGAAGTGTATGTGTGCCAAGTTTGGTCCGGATACGGCGGAGCCGGGTAAGCCAGCTAGTAGCTAATAGGCAATAGCAATGATTGAATAGACAATTATCACCTAGTAGCCGTATTTTGGTCCGCGGGAGGGGGGAGGAGGCGATGAATCCAAGACATTTCTTGATATATTTCTCAAAAAGGGGAGCACAAACTCCAGAATTTCAGAACCAAAACTTTTTTTTACAATGGTTGTCCAAATCAACAAATTTTGATAATTATTTTGATAATTTACACGCATAAACAAGTTAGCCTTGCACATTTTTGTGAGTGACTCAAAATTTTGCGGCCCATTCTCGAGGTGGGGGCCCTCCCCCTCTCCTGCCTCGGTTAGCCAGTGGTATAACCATTTTCTATTTTTCTAATCAAAAACAACTTTTTAATCATACCTACTTAGAAAAAACGAAGACTATGCTGAAAATGATTGAAGGAACTGTATCTCTCATTGAGTTTTTTATTCGATCCTGTTATCGAAACGTTAATTAATGTGTTAGCCTTAGGGGATTTTGTGTCATTGTCTAGCTAATGGGTTGTTATCACAAACCTGATTGTCACGAATAGGGCGATTAGCAAACAGATGTAGGATGGCATCGAGTTGTTGTTTTGTAGGTCTCTGAATAGGAATAAAATGCACAGCTAATTTTCCAGCGAAAAACTATACGAATGGCGATTGGAAAAGAAAATTAGAGGAAATGTTTGATATCATTCAGTTTGCGCCTAGGAGACTCGATTACGCTTGTACATTGTGCGAACAAGCATGAGCATGTTTCTAACAAGTTCATACTTGTGATCAACCTAATCAAGGTTTATTTGCTAATTGGAATCAAGGTCAAACAAGTTTGAGCTTGTTTAGACAATGTGTGCCGAGCAGTATCGAATCTATTAGTCTTAAAATAGATGATAGGTGTTCTTACGTTTCTGGATATTATTACAAACCGAAATTCCTTGTATCATTATCTTTACGTTTTATACATTTTTGGCTATTTCTTTAAGAACAACAAAAGCGCTCAAGCAGAGGATAACGAGTCAGGAGAACAAATGCACCCCCAGAAATTTACAAAAATATGATAAAAAGCGGAAGCTGGCCCTTTCCCTGCAGATAATAGCTGTTTATAGTAAAGATCATTACAAGCACTTACTTGCAGGGTATTACCACATGCAAGTAAGCAAACAACTCATTACCATATAGGCGACTTCCGGGAGTGAAAAGCAGGATAAATTTTGACGGAGGGGTGACGTATGTGCGAAGAATCCAAATACTTCAGCAAAATGGAATTTTTTGTAAGTATGTTTTTTATTCAGAGGACAATCTTCGCGGATTTTACGTGTTCTTTACGTAGATGGGGTATCAATTTGAGACTAAATCAAGCAGATTTCAAAAAAATTTCAACGCAATAATTTACTTACAAGTTACTAGCGAAGATTGATCACTATTCAGTAGTTCAACAGAAAGTTTTTCAAATTGCTTAAACGAAAATTTGAAAGTTTTTTGAATGTCAAGATTATTAGATCACGTCGTAGTCTGCAAGAATTTATGGACACGGAACTCTTGCAAAGGCACCAAGAATACTCATCATCTGCTATTCAGACATTTATAGCTGTTTAGACTACGTAAATGATCAATCAGCTGCGTTTCTGACGTAGCAAAAGTGGTTGAGTATTGAAAAAATAATAAAATTTCGAGACGGTTTTGTTGTGGAATAAGTGGTACTGTTTCTATATCATTACTGTATTATCGGTAAAAAAAATTGTGCACTTATTTGAGCTAGAAAGTAAATAGTAGGTTGTTGCAAAAGTTCTGTCGGTGTTTTTTTCAAGAATTTGTAACTTTACGCTATCGTGGCGAGTTAGCTTCTTTGTAATTTTAGTAGAAATGTGTCTTGATGAACTTCTAATGTGCACTCCCCGCATAGATAAAATTGGAAAAAGAAGACCATTCTTTGGTTTTGGTTGTTTTGATTTATGGCCAAAGAATCTGGAACATTACTGAAAAGTGTGAGATGTCCGTACATAAGTTTTATGACTTGCTCTTGGCGAGTGAAGGAAATTTGTGTGTTTGGGTCTCTCTGTGAAAGGTTATGATTTTCGAGAAAAGTGATAGATCACTTGATTTCAGCGTTTCCTGTTGTGAACTGGAAAATCACAATTTTTCACAAAAGCGTCCAAACAGCGCAGACGTTTTTCACTTACAAAGAGTGGCACATGAAGCTTATGTACTGACGATTTTAGATTTTTCTGCAACGTTCCAGATATTTGTCAGCCTAACTCAAAATGATCAGAGCTGAAATGGTCTTACTTTTACATTTTTATCCCTGTAATGAGGGTATGGAGAAACTCACTGAGACGTATCTACAAAGAGGAAGACCTCTTCTTTTGATGAAGTTAGAAAAAAGCAAATGCATCAGTATCAGAAAATGACAAATTTATTAAAATGAAACGACAGAAGTTCTGGGATAACACAATATTCAGCTGTTAGGAGTTTTTTACTTGTTAGGAGGTTCACTATATCGAGTGAAAATGCTCAAAAGTTGTCATATGACCACGCCTACTTAGTGAGACAGATGTTTTGCATGGATTTTCAGACAAAAAAGCTATGAACTGAATTTTCAGCTTGTAAATAGGCCCTTTAATATCATCCATTTACGACTAGGATAAGCGGGAACGCCTTTGCACACATTGTTAACAAGCTCGAACATGTTTTTCCATGAGTTCCAATTATAAATTATCCAAAACGCATTAAAGCACATGTGCGACCTTGCTAATTTAGGAGTACGCAGAGCGTTCTCGAGTATCCTATTCTTGGAACATTTGAGATTTAATTGAATATGATAGATGTTATCGAACCAGACGAGTATCCCACAGCTAGAACTAAGGGTTCTGCAGTATGTATGACCAAAACTTACACAAAGTGCGTTGTTGCAGATAAAGGACTTTGTGAAGATTTTTTGGGCTTTGCAGCAAAAATTTGATAATGTAAGAACTGCAGTGTATTGTGCTGAATTGTTAAGTTGAACCGAAAGTTCTGTCGCACCATCCTCAAAAAATAGTAACTTCCTCCTGTCACCATATTCTTGCATGATATTTTATTAGAAAGAGTAATATTTTCAAACACACCCTTGACTACTCTCTATTAAGCTCTGATTGAAGAAAAACAGAGAAAGGAGATCTTTGGTAGATTACTGATTCGAGGCAAACCGCTAAAAGTCTAAAAACTGCGCAATAAATTTAAAACAATCAAGGACATAAGTTTTCTCTTTTCCTCTTTGAGCGGAACAAAAAGTAATGATTTACAAAACAGAAAAAAATCAGAAGTTTTTTTTAGCACCTCACTTTCTCGAAAAGCATTACTTTTTGAAGAAAAGCTCGATCAGGACGGTTTTTGCTTAGGTGGGAAGAGGAGGCCAGAAAACTTTCGGCGGTGGCTCTTCTGGATTTTATTGCACGCTTCAAATCGCCGAACTTTACAAGATCTTCTTTTTCCATTTTTACTTGTGCAATCAGAGCTCAGTAGAGAGCAGTAGTCAAGGTTAGAAAGTAGATAATTTTCGTTTTCTCAAGATTCTATAGCCAAGAAAGAATAATGTGACAGAAAGATGTTACGATTCTTGAAAATGGTGGAACAAAACTTTCGGTTCGACCCATATAATTCAAGACCCTCATTAGTAAGTCACGTTCGTTAGTGCTTGCACTTCTATACTCTCTGAAATTCGACTTTATTAGATGGAAACGAAAACTTGGCCATAAGCACTGCGAACGTGGTTGATGGGATCATTATGCATGAACGGTGTGCCCAAAGCAATTACTCTATGTCTGTTCTATTCCACGCAAATAAGTCATTTAGGAAAGCAGATATAAGCATGAAGAGCAGAGATCAGCTAGGATGATAGGTCAATTTCCTGGCTGAGGTCACGCTCAGTGAAGCATGATTGTGGCAGTGTTTGAGTAAGTATGGCTGATTGATGAGCTACAATTTGTTCACTAAGTTTGTCTGGCATCAAATAAAGGTCCTCGATAGAAAAAAACACGATTTTTTGGGAAAGGGAGGAGGGAGGCAGGAACCAAACAAAACAAAATCAGCACTACTGTCTCACGACAAAGTCTGTTGATTATTCTAGGTTTCAATATAGAACATGCTTACGAAAAAAGTAGGTAACAAGAAAATTCGCTATCGACATCGCAGTCCCGAAATGATCTCAAAATAAGAGTTGATTGACTTCCTGACCAAATTTTCAGCTCAAAAGGGTAAAACAATCAAAGCTGATTGAAAACCCAAAGAGCAAGCAAATGCACTTCGCATCTTTAACGCTTCATCGTCAGGCAAGATTCTCTAAAAACTTGGTCTTAAAGCTCTAACGGTCTTCGATCGGTAACGCATATACTAGCTAGCTTTAATTACTCGCTATATAGAACAACTTCCTGACGGAGCTATATAGAACACTTCCTGACGGACGCTTGTAGAGTAAACATAAGTTGCGCATGATCATGGAGCTAGTTGATGATGGAGAGCCATACACTCAGTACATACTAGAGCGAAAGAATTTGAGTTTTAGACTTTAGATGGTTTACTTATTTTGAAGATGACAAGATGTCATTGCGATTACAGTAAGATTCGTCCGTTCTCAAGATAAAAACTAATGTAAAGACATCCTATATTCCGAAAAACCAGTGATAATTGGCTCTTTTTATTGCATTCTGTGAATTATAGCTAATGCCGTGTCAACTATGTTCCATGCAAAAAGGCCAAGTTGTACACTAGATTGAACGCACCGCTGAACAGCGCATTACATAGGCGTTGAAGTAATCATGGAAAGTATTTTCAATAGCTTCTTCCATCGCCCCTGTATGAAAAAACAATAATTCATTCTGTGACTGAGAGACTCGAAACGCTTTGCACACATGGTTGAAACAACCTGAATTTTGTTTTTTTACAAGTTTATTATGCTTGTGATCTATATAATTTAGGACTTTTTGCTACGTGGGAACAGGAAAGAACAAGTTCAAACTTGTTTAACCTATGTGTGCAAAGCAGTTTCAAGTCTCTTAAGAGCCGGGCATGCTTCAGGCAATTTCAGTCGCGACGCGATTTGGCAATACTCCAACTGTGCATATCTCACTGTAATTCCATTTCAAATGTACAGAAGATAGGGCATTTTATCAATCCACGTAAGTTATACACATTATGCATGTGCGGTTTGCTAGTGTTGGACCTGAAGACTTCTGGCGAATTGCCAAATCGCGTGAAGTGTGCCCCGGCCCTTTAGTCTCAGAATAAATGATAGACATTGGATACTCATTCCGAACCTTGAAACGCGGTCAGTGCCAGAAATCTTTTCTTCAACACAATAAAACTTTACTGATTGGTTACGAGCAACTGCATGAATTGAACTAACAGCTAATAATTACTCAGAAGGTTAAGCAATGAGTCGTTGACACTACTGTGGTGAAGATTTCGACTCCCGACTACAATGTAGATTTTTTTGTAGCAGGCAAATAGCAAACTTGAACTTACGAGACTTGAACTGAACTTGAACTTAGCCTTTGTACTCCTTCATTCTATTGTTTATGAAGAGAAAGCCAAATCATCTAGTATTGAATCTCATCGTATGTTACCGATTACTGAAGTCATTAGGGATACCGGATCCATGAAGCTTGAGAGCCTGTAAAAAGTATTATTATTCAACGGTTACAGTAACAGACAGCTGCACAACATTTCGACCCACGCTGAAGTTATGCCACAATTCAATCCGGACCACTTGTTGAGAAAAACTCCGATCCCTGTCTGTCGTTATAAGATAGCTATACCGGAAACAAAGCAGCGTTCTTTTTATATTAGGACTTGAAGCTGAGAATAAAAAGTTCCACCAATACAGTCACACAAGTTTAGACGACACGTTAGTAGCAGTGTTGCTGTGTTTTCTTGGTATGATTAAATTCGATATATTTCTAGCAACCTTCGCAGCATCAACCATTATTGCTTCTCTTCTCTCTATGTAGTCTTCTATTACCGCTTTTCTGCTTCGCAACCGTGGACGTCAGTAGGTAGTTAGTTGCCTGTGATTCTTGCTCGTCCACGTTGGCGCATTAATTCCATAGTTCTTCATTGAAAACGAGTTCTCATACTTCTTGGACTCTCAGCTAGCACAATCGCGATGATGCTGCACAAACCGTTCGTATTCTTCTTCAATGTTGTCAATTACGGTATTCCGCCAAAATTACTGAAGAAAACAGATCTCATGTGGAAGTAGTAGTGAGAAGTTGTTTCCTGAAAACTTAGCGGCTCTCTCTCCATTCCGTGGAAAGTAGAACTTGCCACATAGCATGGTCTGATCCAGTGAAAAACTTCAGAACAACGTCGACGTCAGTCAACTCTGTGAAGCTCCGTAGGCGACCTTTTAGCGCCGATCTTCGCCTCGAAATCGACGGCTATGATCTTGTAGTAGTTATGGTCTTCTCTGTAAGACTTCTCCAAGTCCATATATGTAGAAGTCCTTGAGCTCGTTCTCGTCGCAGCTTGATGTCGGGCCATACGCAATGAAGACGGTCAAAATAGAGGTTGGTCCACATCTTGATAAAGTCCGGTTTGGATGATAGCTGTTCGAAGAATCGATATTCGTGGCCAATTGTGTTGATAAGGACCCACACCCGTTAACTCGGCATGTTCACCTTCTCTGTTCATTGTTCATTTATGTTCATGTTCACATTTCTTCTCCATTTTCAAATGCAGCGTTCAGCGGGTGGTATCTCCTTGTCTCGGTCAATCAGATGACGTCATACTGATCTTATATGTTTGCACCATCAGATCTTCGAGGGATGCATCCGATGGGAGCATCCGTGCGTCATAGGTACAGACCGTCGTCATTGTTCTCTCCTATTTGACAGCTTGTATCCACTGGCGCTGTTTTGGCTTTGGTTCTTCCAAGATCAAAGGAGCTTTCCATATTATCACTGTGTTTAACGATTGCTCAGACAATCACAGGCTCTCAGCCGGCAGCCACAAAGCCACCGCGCTTTTGGTGAGTTTTTGCGGTGGCTTTGTGGCTGCCGGCTGAGAGTCTGTGATTATCTGAGTGATTCACTCGCATGAGATAGCTTGTTGGATTCATAACCTCCCATGAGGGATGGTCAGAATTTAGTTGTAAAGGCAACTTCCGGACCCGCCTCTCCCATACCTACCTGGACATCAGGGATGCAAGCTTTTGTTGAAGCAGTAAGTCTGTCCTCCGAATCTGCTTGCTTATTATAGAAAAAGCAGGGTCGGTTGCGATCAGCCGCCTGGGGATGCCCTATGGCTAGATAGTGGCCAAATATGATAGTATAAGAAACAAGGTGATTCGAAAGTTTTACTTATGATTGACATTTTGATATCACAAAACAACCAAATGATAAGCTCATACTAAGTATGATCAAATAAGGACTATATATTTTTTGATTAGAAGAAAATCATCGGGCTAGCAATAAAGTAACTGTAAAAAAAGTGGATTCGCATTATGGACAATTTTGTTAAAAATCACAGCAACGAGCAGCAGATGTCGAATCAAAAGTGAATAGGTGAAATGACGAAAAGTGAATTAGTAACATAACAACCAAATATGGGTGATGAAGGCCCTTCAAAGTTGATTTGATCATAAATATGTTATTGACGATGAAGGAAAAAAACTGCTAGATATCGAGCAGCAAATGAGAAGATTTTATGAATAGAGCACTTTGATTGTTACTCGAGTGATTCATAAGTTATTATGTACAGACAAAAAACATCGTGACATCAAAATTTTTGGAACTCGCTCCTTTGCCTACTCCTGGACATTCTGCTTCCAAAATCCAATGGTTTGATCGCTGCAAAAATGAGATCAATTGCTGGCCTTGATGACTTTCGAGCTTACCTGGATGCCGTGAACACCAGATATTTGTTGGCACAGACTGAATTGATAGCTTCGCTATGTGCTTTTGACATCTGCAATAAATGGTGGTTGTTTTGCTGATAACTACCTTTGCTGATTTTCTTAGAGAAACAAAACTTTCGCAGCTACCTCTTCGACTATCTTGAATCGACGTGTTGTTGTGATATCCCAGAATTTCATCGTACCTTCTTTACAAACAGAACAAAGCAAAGGTCGATCAGTATGTTCCTAAAAACGACTATAGTACTGGAAAAAATTTGCGAGAAAAACAGAAAATATCAAAACTCCCACCCCAACAAGACACATTCCTTGGATAAAACTATTATGAGCATTCAATTCGAGGTGGTCTCTCTTGTAATCGGTTAGCGCGAATTTCATGATATTCTGTAACGGAAGGAATAGGTTGTCTCAATGAAAGTGTCAAAGTTACAACGGCTGTGCTCCGCGCGACCGCCTCGCTCTGCTTTGTGTCGCGTTCACAAATATCTTTTGGACATCTCACACTCGTCAGCATTCAGCCTGTCCCCTTCTGGGAGCATGTCCTTCGGATATGTGCGCGGTCGCGGCGCAAAACATGAGCGAAGCGGGCGTGGTGGATCGAGTCGCCGAAGCCGTGACACTTACGATGAGACAGCCTGTAAGTGATATTGTAGATATCCAAAACAAACCTTGTCCTTTCCAGCAGTCAAAACACATCCACCAAATGGAACAATGCAAGTAACATTATCATAATGAGGAGGCGTAAAATCTACCATTGCTTCATAAACTCCTTCACCTAAAAAAGGAAATCATGGACATCCAAAAATTTATCTAAGAAGCTCTTTCATTGAAAGATTTACAAAAGCCATACACAGCGGCATCTAGTCATAAACATTTTCTAGTATTTTATAAAATAAAATAAAGGAGCCCTAAATATCGCGAGATTCGATATTCAATAATAACATCAAAAATAATACCTCCCACACTTGTCTGAAACATTTTCACATAGTGGTCCCTCGATCCAGTGAATATTTGTGGTAAACCGTCAGCATTCTCAGATACAGCCAAACAAGAAACTTCAGATCTGAAATTTATATTATCACTGAGTCTCAATGGCCTCACTGATCAAAGCTCAAAGTACCTCGGGCTATTAACTGCTCCAATAAGTCTTCCAAACGAGGCCCATTTCTCCAAGTTCCAGATTCGTACATCTCCACCAAATGAGGTGAAGAGTAATCGACCAGATGGATCTACTTCAGCAGCATTGACCACGGTCTCCAGGAACGGTACAGTATTCTGACGCGATCCGGCCGGACCCCCATCGCCTAAAAAGACTTGGATAGCACTAAAATATTTCATAAAAATGCGAATCCTACCATCATTCACTTGTCCACTTGACTGAAGTACTCTTAAGCACTCTTGCGTCCTTAGATCCCAGATACGAATCTGCAAATGCAGATTTTAGCGCTGCAAATTGTTTGCAGGAACATCTATTTTCGTACTTGATACATTGACACAGAGATAGCAAGCTGTGAGTTGGGAATGAACCGTACGGCATGGACATTGTTTGGATGAACGCCAAGGGTCCGGACCTCACTTCCAGTTTGAAGATCCCAAAGCTTTGCGGTTCGATCTGGAATTAAGAGAGTGGGTTGAACTTTGCAAGAAAAGACCAAAGACATCGCCACCCAAATTTGAGGCTGGCAAAATTTTGACGCAGTACACTTCAAGTCCCGCTGCAAAAAGTGTGATCGAAGGGAGAAAAACGTTTCTGAAGGTAGGTGCTGCTGAGGTCGCCACGCCCTTCTACGTAGGTGGCCTGGAGGCAATGACCCAACCAGTTCGTGCCTAGCAATGTCAAAAGCTTTTCTTCATAGGTAAAAAACTGATCTCCGATATTTCTAGGTAGTCTGGAGTTCAGTTTCGGGTTCATCACTTTAGACCACCCAAGTTGATGGGTGTGGCGACCCTAGCAGCCTCCACCTTCTAAATGGATGATCTCGCTTCAGAATACACTTCTTGCACCGGGATTTGGTGAGCCACTTAGTAAGGAACCTTGCTAGTGTACTGCACCAGTATCTCATCCTCTCTATTTGGGTGGATGGAGCCTACATACCTTTTGAACCAGATAAAAGCAGATCTTCTGTAGCTGCTACAGACAGCACTCCTTTCGAATGTCCCTCAACAGTAGCTGTTCGGGATACGACTCGAAACTGTGTGCCAGCTGATCCTGGCCGCACAGGAACGATCCGTCCTTGTCTTCTGTAAAAAATTGAATGTTAGAGCTGAAAATGGAGATTTTTGCTGGAACGCCAAGTAAGAAGGGAGTAAAATTTCTCAAACAATTCAAGCTGCTCGCAGCGCATATCACAGAAAAGAAAAAGCAAAGCTGGAAATTCAGATGCGCAATAGAAAAATCTTTAGAGAAGATTCCGAAAATTGGATGCCAAAGCAGAAGAATGAAGGAATGCCAAAGCAAACTGAGCAACTGCACGACATTGATATTGGCAAGCGATACTACGCGAAACCCAGATCAAAACTAAGTCGGTGAGGGTAAGAGTGGGATTTCACTTAAGAACTGTTAGCAATGGTAATTAAAATAGGTTAAAATGATCGGAAAAGAGATTACAAAACTAATCAAGCAAAAACAGCACAAACCACACCAAATAAACAAGAAAATCGGATAGCCATCAACTCAGACCGATTCAGAAGCGTCGAAGGGCTGGCTTCTGTTGTCCACGGCACGAGTCGTGCAAATACCGACTTCGACGCACGTGGATCGGCTCCGGCACGTTCACGCGGTGGTGGCACTTCGTCACCACCTGCTGACACTTCGGCCAGTGACGGAAGTCGTGACGTCGAATACATTCGGCTGCCCAGTCTACTAAACAACTAACAACCACTATGAGCCACACGCACAAGCACATCACAGCATGAGTAGTTATTGGAATATTACAAATTTCTGATCTAGTAATCCACATCCAATATGGCTCATGAATCAAAGGCACCGTTAGGGCGATAAGATTTCAATGCGGTACAGTAGCGGAACCTCTAACTAAATAATCGCCGAAGCCTCGGTGCAGGAGACAAATTCAGAAGCGAGAAAACGTTCAGAAGATAGAGGCAGCGGTGGTAGCTCCGCCCATCAACGCATGGTCTAAATTTGAAAAGTCCAAAATTAGGCTTCAATACATCCCAGAATGTCTAAGATCTGATAATCATGATGATGAGCGGGTCAACATTTCCGGACATGTTAGAACCCATTAACTTTCTTAATCACTTACGATAATGGGCGGAGCTACCACAACGGCTTCTAATTTTTGGAGCATTTTCTCGCCTCTGGGTACCTCTCTGGCAGCGGAACTTGAGTGATTACTTAGTTAGGGGCCCTCTTAACCGCGTCAAAGTCTTACTACCCCAATTTGAGTGAATGCTTCCTTTGAAGTAGACGACATAGTACCTAGTAATTCGTAATTAAACAAACGCTCAGACCCTCTGCTAGGCGGAGGTACTGGTGGCCTCGATGAGGTGACCACTGCACTTCGATTTGTTCTTGACGGCAAATTGGCGATGGTACTTCGGAACTTCGCATTTCTTCTGAATGGTGTCGTCGTCATTTCTGCCGCTGATGTAGATGGTAACAGGAGTGCGGCTGCATCACTGAACTCAAATGCACACTATTCTACAAAAGTACAACAGAATTACTAGAAAATACACGAAAAAAGGTTGAAAAGATTCACACGATAAGGGGAGGGTTAGTTATTGGGATGTCACACAGCATGCATATTAGGAGAGATTAGCTGTTAAAAGGGATAAAGCGTAAGCATGCTAAGCGAAAGTGTTAGTAAGGAAATTATGGTGCACAGAATTATAAGATGTGTGGAGGGTAATCATCACAGCCACATCGAAATTCACAGACGTAAACCTGCAGCAAATTGCTCACAAGAGTTGAATCAAAAGCGCAGTTTCTCTTACTCCTATATATCTGTATATATTTCAAGACAAACGCATGCAACATATATAATTCACGCAGCGTGGGATTCATAAAGAAAATTTGAGGAGCAACACACATTCGATGTTTCCTCTCTTTCTTTCCTTCCTCTTCTCCATTTTCAGTTTTTATCGGTTCTACAGGCGCTGCGGGTGCTGCCGCAGTTGGCTCTGCATTTTCTGCAGGGTAAAGGAGTTCATCTGCAGTTGCGGTATGACGACGTGCCCGATATGGCAACGGTGCCGCATCAGAGCCTTCTGGAAGATTTGTAAATATGCTAGAACAATTTCAAAAAAAAGTTCAAAAAGACCAAACCGGTATGACTCGGTGAAGTACTGCCATTTCTTAGTGATGTAACAGAAGGTGATCGGCTCTTCTTGAGTCCGCCTTGCTCAAACATTCCCTCCACATCATTGACTGCAAAGATATCATAGAACATTTTGAAGCGTTGATGGTGAAACAAAACTACTTCGCAAAATCCAATACTGGTTCTATTCATCGATTCATTGATAATTCACATCACTTGATTTCACTCACAAGGTAAGGAGCCTACGTCCTGAGAATAAAGCATCTACCTTGTGAGCATATCAAACTAAATTAGTTGGGCTCTTTACGCAACATATAAGCTTGAATGACAACGGAAAGTTATACATGTATACCATCGCGGTCCAGGATTTCGGTTCGGGGGAGGGGAGGGAGGAGGGGGGAGGGGAGTTTTTGTGAATAAAGGCTTTAGGTATGTGGCGTCATTCAAGCACTCCGAAAAATTTCATGCCATTCTCAAAATATTTGCCGGACAACCTCGACATTCCAGGAAAAGGCGGCCAAAATTTATTCAGAAGGCTAATCTAAACTTCTACAATACTTCACGTATTTACCCTAATTTCAAGCGTACAAGGCGCGGGAGATTTTTTTTCCAAAACGACCAGCCTAAACACCTCAAAGAACTTCGCGATCAAAGACCCTGTACCGCGTGCGTATTGTCTAAGGGATCGGCCATACCTCGTCGCCGTGCGATTTCTAATGGTTACGATTGTTCATGATGTTCAGAGCACGCAGGCCGGTTCTCGAACGGTGATTGGATGTGCGCGCACAAATGGGCGGGGATTGCTGGAAAGGGCGGTAGCGACTTGAGGTCCTCTTCCTATTCGCTATATCGAAGCGATTTTCTCGCTTCAAAAGTGACATTTCGCGCCGCGACTTGGGCAGCATTAGTTTTATGGCCTAAGGCATACCTCTCGCGATTTCGCGAAATCGCCACATCCTCGCGAATTGGCAATTTGCCAGATGTCTAGAGATTAAGCATGCGAGGCTCTCAGATGCATAGGTGCGTAGATTCCGTAAAGTGACAAACACAGCAAGTCTGGCCAAGTATGCGTTTACGACCAGCTATGGAGAGTCGTTGCAGTGCCAAATCGCGCGGCGACTAAAATCGCGTGAGGTATGCCTTAGGCCTATAGGGGGTCGTATCGTAAGCTGCCAAAAGCTCAAGATCTCTCATTTAGGGTGACGGTGGATTTGCCGACATCTGGCAGATTGCCAGATCGCGTATCGCCGCGCTTATGTAGAAATCTCCAGGCACATTTGAAGGGTAAGAGGATCGTGCGGCATAAGGATCGCCTTGAATATCTACAAAATGAAGTCACTCGCACATTTATATGAATTGAGTAACATTCAAGAAGTTTGCAACTTGCCATTGTCTATTTTAGTGATTTTCATCTACAGATTGAAAACGGAATTCTTCTTCCTATCTTGGGGATTTTTATGTTCCCATCATATCTCTTTCAGAAAGAAAAAGAACTCTAGTAAATGTAATGAAAATCAGCACGACATGCGAGTATCAATCAAATCAGAACAGCCACCCATCAGCTCCATCAAGTGCAAGTGAACGCGGAATCTCATCAGGATCCATGTACTCAAGGTCATATCAGCTTTTCATCAAGAACATTTATCACTATTTCATGATCTAGTACTTAGAGGCTAGTAGTTTCCGATCATCGTATAGCTTCAAATTTCACTATTTTCAACATTAGTGATGTGATACAAAGACAGTTTCCTTGAAAAGAAAGCATACAAATGTCTCCTATTTTTTGTAAAGATAAAACGATGCTTTATGTTCAGCTCATAGTAGGCAGATACCTATGATTTTTTGATGGATCTTCGAAAACTTGCTTGCTTCACTGAGTCTGCTACAAAAACCTTTTCGAGAAGCAAAAACCCGAAAAAATTGTCGCAAAATTTTGAAGGCTTACCTTTGAGCCGGCGAAAACTCAAAAGCTGAAATGTTTTTGATCAAAAATTTCGACAACAAGAAAGAGACTTTATTATTTCTATGTTCGATTTACAGTTTTGGATCTGTGTTTTTCTTGATGATTTCATTTGAACAATCTTCCAAAGAATTTCGCCAAAAAATTGTCATTTCTTAATGCACGTTGCATTTCTGAAATAAATATATCTCATTTTTATTGTTCTGCTGTTTTGTTTTACTTATTTTAGCAACCACAAATTGTCTGTTCATTTCGTCTTTCAATCTAAAGGGCCTCATTTTCGCCCTGACGATCCTCATCGAACATTTACAAGCCTACGCCTTTCATTTATAGATAACAAGGCTACGAGTTCTGATTTGGCTAATAAAAGGAGACGATAGTGCCGAACACATTGTGCTATATTCATCTTCATTTCACATCATTTTTAATTTTTGAACCTTGCGCAGAAGGCGGCGAGACGTAATAAGGTTGCGAAAATAAGATAACTTCATCTTTTCGCGTGTAAGGTACCACGAGTAAAAAAATGCCCCACTGCCCCCGGACTACAAGATGTTTTGAGCAAAAATTGCTCAAAACATCTTGTAATCATCCCTGTCACTACTGAAGCTTGACCAGTATGAAAGCAGATACATCACATCTCCGCATAAATGACACTTTTCGCTCAAGCTTTTCGCTTAGTGATCAAAGAGCACACTGGTCCCCGTTTCGTTTGAAGGGTATCCAGGATGGCTACGGGGCGATGAGCGATTGTTAGCCGCGAGAAGATACCCGCACTCAAGCATAAATGACAGTGATATGGGACCATTAGAGCAGTAAACATGCTCGTTTGAAGTCCAAGGAATGCATCAACAGTCACAAGACAGGGATCAGAACCAACTGTGAGGCAGCTATAAGCAGCGTCAAGTCAAACTCGAGGTCGGTGAGATTATGTATACAATAACGAGGTCCTGTACCATGTAAACGCCGGAATTTCTCTGCAAAAGCAGTATTCCAAGGGGAGAAATTGCTCCAAAAGGTCGGAGCTACTGGGGTCGCCACGCCTTCAACGTGGGTGCACAGATGATGAGCCCGATAGTTCAATGGTACCTGGCAACGTCGAAAATCCATCTTTTGTTGTAAAAAACAGATTTTCAACATTTCTAGGTACTGTACGGGCTCATTACTTTGGTAGATCTACGTGGGTAATGGGCGTGGCGACCCCATCAGTGCCCACCTTCAAGAGTAATTTTCTCGTTTTGGCATATACCTTCTACAGCGGGACTAAATTACTTAGGGGTCTAACTCATGCATCCAGATCTAACCAATCTCAGATTTGTACGTGCTTTGCCTTGCCAAAAGTAGAACAATTATAAACGAGACCTTCAAAAAAAAAGCGTTTTTTGAGGAAAATGATCCACCTCCCTCCCCCTCCCCTCCCCCAGCATTCATCAAAAAACTTCACACCACTTACGATTGCGTAATTCACTAGCTGAAAAGCAGCACCACTCCTGTCGTTTCTCACGCCGCCAATCCCTTGACAGTTGTTCTTGCGATATATTTATCGCTCCAAAGGGACACACACACAAGCGGCTCTGGAATCGACACGCCCGGCTCGTCCAAGCAAACTCATTTAGCGCATCAATTCGAACCGCGTCAATGGCACTCGGGCGCGCGCGAGCATATCGGCACGAGCGCGTGGCCGTTGGTGCATTAGGCCATTCGTCGGCGATGAGGGCGTAATGCTCACACGATTATCTCGAGATACACGGCTGAATCGTGAGTGTGTAGAGTTCGCTGAGCTGGGTAGTGTTTTGCAGCGATGGCTGTTTCTATGCATAAGGCTATGAAAAACTGATCAACGCTTAAGAAGCGCATCCAAACATCTTCAAGCCAGCCGCAAACACATCAAGCGTTGCTTGATTTAGTATTCATTTGTGCACGTGATAAGACGTCTAGTGTAAACATTCGTAAATCTATAAACCAGGCTTGCTCGACTGTTTTGTTGTCAGACAGAACTCGTGTAGACACGCACCATCCTTGAACCACTCCGCTATTGATCAGATCACTGAACTAACCAATAGCAGAGCGAATGTCCATTTGCACATGACCCGCTTGGCTATTGGTCAATTCACTGAACTGACCAATGGTGAAGTGGATCACGCGGTTCAAAAGCGTGTGTCACAGGAGTAAACAATACGATGTGAAAACTGCAGTCAAATTAAACTGACAATGTTTTACGCAATTTCTGGACCTATAATTTCCCATCTGACCACCTCAGACCCACCTGTACTCCTCTACTATAAACTTCCAAGTTCATGCTAACTGCTCATGCAAGAGAAAATTAGACTTGAAAATCCCATGAGAGTTAATTAACGTACTTCAATTCCGCATACAAAAATGCTAACGCTTTTTCAATTGCCAAAAACATAAGCTGAACGTTTGTTTATCGCTGCTCATTAGGAGGACGTCAAGCTTTGTCCTTTTCGCAACAAAACCATTCACATGACTTTTAAGATTAAAACGCTCCTCTTCGCACATACAAGTTCCCTACTCTAAGCACCTAAAAACTTCTGAGTCACATCGAATGGTGGAAAATGTTTTGTATCTCAAACCAATCTCTAGAATTCGTTCTTTATAGAGGCACCGTCCAACCGAATTAATACTGGTGAGATTTTGACGCTGTATATAAGGGTCCTTAGCTAAGCAGTCGCCCAAGTCTCGCTGCCAGAGATGGATTACGAAGCGAGAAAAAAACTCCAGAAGGAAGAAACGGCCCAAGTGGCTCCGCCCATCGACATGGGTGGTATAAGGATAAAAGATCCAAAATCGGGCTTTGATGATCCAAAGTTGTCTTGGATCAGCCTTTCATTATGATTTCATTATTATTATCTGATCAACCCAAACCTGAGGCCCGCTTTCGAGTTCATTATTTCCACACCATCCACATTGATGGGCGGAGCCACCTGGGCCGCTTCTACCTTCTGGAGCGATTTTCTCACATCGGAATTCATCTTTTACACCGGGAGTTAGGCGACTGCCTAGTTAGGGGCCCCGCTTTCATACAGCATAACAAAACCTCAGAATCTTCGATTTGGGTGGACTATATCTTCAACCCTTTCGTCCCGTAGCTGAGACTCAAACGCAACCTAACTCTCAGCAAGCTTGCTCGCCAGCCACATAGTGCTGATACACATTATCTTTGTTTACCTCATTGCCGCATGTTCCCCGGGGGCTCATGTACATTCGAAAGTGTATAGTCCCCCTCTTCAATCTGCAGCCCCTTTTTTTTCCTACCAGCAAAAGACATTTGCCGTACTTGCAAAGTACGATCTCGTTTGGGGAGAGATTCCCATTCTTCTGCGCTTTTGAAGCGGAACTCATTCGAGAGGAAAAGGGCAAAAGAATAGTGAACGCAATGGTGTGCAATCATTCATAACACAGCGTTTTTCTTGGTGGCTGCGCTTCAGCATGCAAATTATTTCTCGATGTCTTGAAAGAGTTATGCCTTGAGGGGTAGGTAAGCCAGCGTCGGAAGTTGTGAATCGCTCGAGGCGAAAAAGGTCTTGTCTAGCCGGTACAGCTTATGAGAGAGCGATGTCTGCTGGATAAAATCTTGAAAAAAAATCTGTGAAAAAGGGCTTCCGCTTAATGATTTTTCTTCGCTTACTCATTAATTTGTTCCAGGTATGGCCATTTTTGCACAATCTTACATTCTAAAAGAATTTTGTGCGCAAGAATAATAAGACGATGTTTTGACCAAGCTCAATAAATGAGAAAAAACGAAAAATGGTTCTTTTCGCTTTCCTCTTATCTCCCTATTTCACTTACAGGCTATAGCAATCATTCGTTTTTATTTTCTCGGATTTTTAAGCCAACAGAAATACCGTACAAAATTCAGATCAACCTATTCATTACTCCTTTCTACCTCGAAGAACGGCGCATCAGTAAGAACTAATAAACCTCAGCGGTCACTTGTACTTTTATTCCTAGAGAGTAAAATCACGTGTGAAAGCCCAATAAACTAATAAGTCTGGGAGGGGTATAGTCTAGGGAAGAAAACATCAAAACAGACATTTTATATGCTTTCCGTACGCTCCACGTGCTTATTTTGGCTTTGCGCCAAAATCCTATACCACAAAGACATTAAACACAAGAAAAAAAACAACCATATAGAGTTTTTCTGTGATAAACTTTAAAACCCTTTGGGCACCAGGGCTCACAGAAATCATTGATGTCTAGTAACAGCATTTTTGACGTCAGTGGACTCAATCAAATCAAAAACTACCATTTTCACTTCGCAGAATGACCTCACTTCCTTAATTCTAGTATTTTTCCGCACCTTTGGCCATAATTTTTCCCTCCAAAACTTCATAAATCAATCGCTGAGCCAATTATCTGAGCTCACTATCTTCAATAAAAAAGAGGGAAAAAATTGATTTACACTTTCCCACCAAAACTCCTCAGTATCGTCACAAAACCGATGCAAAACATCTAGTATCACTTACTTAGCGTTTTATCCTCGATAACAGTTGAAAGCAGCTGTTCATTGATGTACGATTGCTGTTCGAGTTGTTGTATGCGTGCTTCTGACTCCTGAATAGAAATATGTTGTTTTGTCCATATAATCGCAAATAAATGCTCTCTTTTTGGCGATTAAGGCAATCGACAGCCTTTTCGAACCACTTGCACTAGCTATGCCCTTTGGTAAGAAATGGCGAGAGAATGGCATGCAGAAGCGAAAACGAAAGCTAATTGCAATTTTCAACTTGATTGCATTTCTCGTCCCTGGTGGATAGATAAGATGTGTTCAAAAAAAGGACAGAAACGTTTGTTTATGCATATAAAATGCCATTTAGGTTTTGCACAGTAATTTATTCGAAAAATATTCAATAGATGTTTCATTTCAAAGTAAATGGATAATAGCAATTTCAGTTCAGCAGTACATTCTAAAAAATTGCCTCGGTGCCTGAGTACATCCTATCAAACAAATTCAGAAAGCTTTATGCTTCTTTCAAAGAAACTAGTGGACTAATAATGCAAAGGTACTAGATGAGAGCGTTCGCTGCGGGACCCGCCGCGGTTTCGCGCCATCTGATGTTTTTCAGATTGGCGTTGCGATTCTTTATATACTAGAGTTTCTTGAATTGGCATCACGATTCTTTATATACTAGATAGATTAGACTAGCATTTTCCTAGGCAAGACATCAACCGTTCTCCCCTCCCCCCTTCTTCAACAAATATTTATGAAAAAAAATTTCAGTTCAGCGGTACATTCAAAAAAATTGTCATGGTGTCGGAGCACATCTGATCTGACTAATCCAGATTTTATGCTTCTTCTCATCAACCAGAATTCCCTACTCCCCCCCCCCCCACACTTTCCCGTTCAAAATTCGCCAGCAAAGCTCAACAGCCTTTTTCTGTCAATCTCAATCCCATCGATGCATCTTTAGATTACTTGTGGATTACGCAGAATCCCATAAATTTCTTCTTTTTGTTCTTCTTTACTCATTCGCCGTTCCCAAGAGCATTTCACTCAACGTAAAATAAACCTCGTCCCCAACAAGGATATGATTTTGCAAAACACAACGGGGGGATTTGTTTTCCTCGTCAGCAAAATGGCAACCTAGTGCATTAGCACGGACTTGATTAACGACAAATCAGATCTAACAGGCTCTTGAAAGCATTAGCTAATTAGAGCCGCTACTATACTGATATGCAAGAAATAGCCGGAGCTCCTTGTAAGAGAAACTTGAATAAATTCTCAATTTCTCCAGATTACTTACTTTCGAGAAATCCCACAATTACACAGCTGACGCTCTTATTTTCCCTCAATAAATCTTCTTCGAAAGATGTGGTAATATTTTATATGAAAGTGAGAGCATAATTCAATAGCTGGTAACTCATAAAATCAATTATTCCTCAACTGCATCCCATTGTCGTCTATTTCCTTTTTTCTATATGAGATTCCGTGCAGATACAACGCTATTTTCAAATTGCACGACAATGGACAGCATTTGTGTGCATTATTTGATTGAAACGCATCTGGACATGGACCAAAAACTTCTTGGCATTCGGCCAACACAGGAGTTACTCCAATTACATCACCCGACACCCACATTGAATGCATTTTAGAGTAGTTGAGTCTCGCCGAGTATGTACTTTGAAGCTTTAATGGCTATAACTTCTAGAAAACATGTCTTGCCTTTACTCGGGTGAATTTTTGAACGAGATAAAACGCAAAAAAAAAACGGAGCAAACATTTCAAAGATCAGTGGTGTAGGTTTCAAATTTCTTCTGTAAGGTTGCTTTATTACACATTATAAGATGAAGTCTCAATGTTTTCGGACCAACATATCTACTCAGGCCATTTATTCTTCTATAACTTCAACATTATACTATCTCAAATAGAAAATTATTCCCATAAAAAGTTACACGATATTACTATCCAGTAAACCCCTCATGTAAATATACAGTATTTCCAATTTTCTGTGACGTAGACTGCCGCTATGCTATTAGAAAAAAGAACCCGAGTACATGAGCAAATATTAGGAACTACTTAGAACAACGTGCTCATGGATCACGAGCCTAACAAAAAAGGAGAAATTTTCGGAAAAAAATTTTGAACGAAAAATTCTGCGGGGATTACGGTAGTAATTTTTTGCGATAAGGAAAGTTTTCCATTATTTTCACTTATCATTTCCTATGCTAAATTTAAGAAAATTCCAAATCAATTGTTAATTCAAATTAAGGCAACCTAAACCAAAAAAGAACTTTCCCTATGCCCCATAAACCTGCAACGAACAGAATTGCCAATGCAAAACAATTTCTTTCCAGTAGGATTAAAATCACGACGGATTTCAAACTGAAGGACAACGCAATTTTTCAAGATTCTCAGATTCAAGGTTTCCAAATTTAGCTATCGTTGCGTTTTTGCATTGAAAACGTCAAGCTTTCTTGCGAGATATACGCCCTCGCACTTCTGCGCATTACACGCCTGGATTCGCATGGAACATCTTTCCTATTGGGAAATTACAAAATTAAGGAAGGAGAAGAATGAAAGAGAAAAACTGAAACGGAAGTGTCGTAAAGACGCTCAATAACAACGTCATTTTGTCTTCAAATTGAAATATTGCCCATAAAATGCTGGATCCTCATATCTTCTTTCAATTTTCAGCATTCCGTGAAAAAATTTATTGATCGTAAAGTTCTCTAGTATAATTTTAAGCTAAGTACATTGGTAGACAACGAATACATGATGGTCCGCGACCTTAGCAGCTGTCTTATTTTACCACCTGTCAGAATTACAGAGAATCCCAAGATTTTGGCCCGCCCTCAAAAGTATTCATTTATCCTACGGCCTTGCTTCATAACTGTCATTTCTTTCGGGGAGGGGGGGGGGGGCGGTTGCTCGGGGGGCCTCGGAGCTCTCATCGCTCCGCCTTTCCGCGCTTCCCATACACTATTCGAAAGCACGCGCTCACAACTCGGCTTTAGCTTATTCTCTCATTGTTTTTCAATTCTTTTGAATTTTTTCAAATTTCGGGATGGAAAACGAAAACTTCTTTCTATTTCTCCTAATTCATTACTTCTTCTTCTCCTCTAAAAATCACTTTTGGTGCTCTAATTTACTACCTTTGAAAGAATTTTTTTTAGCTCAACCTTCTTTACTTTCAACTCCCCAACTCATTTGTTAAGTGGTTTCTTTTTTCTCAAAGCTCCGACCTGCTCGAATTACCACTCAACCATAGCAAGTACTAACCTTGTATATTTATAGCCAAACCACCTGCTTTCAATTTAGCTCCACCATAACCCACTTTAGCACAACTAATTCAAAAATCTGCAGAAACGACCCACTCCAGCGTAAAAATGCACTCTATAACTTCTGCACTTAGCTCCAGGCTAAGTTCATTCGACTGGGAACATTTGTGAAAGCCCACGAGTCATGTGAATTACCTAGGAACCTGGCGTCTGTGCTATTTGTATAAAATGGGCTCAGAGTACAGATTTTGAGTGGGTTCCAAACGACACCTGAAAAAGTTATTGTCCCTGATGTCATGAGATGTTTCAAGGCTTTTAGCATAAAACTCGCAGAAAACTTCGTATGATCCGTCAGAAATGCGCTGAAGTGTTATTAGAGTTTTTCAAGTTCATAGAAAAACTTTGTGCAGAAGAGAAGCAAAACTCTTTGCAGCACCTATCTCAAAAAATTCTTAGGCATTAAATGCAAAACTCACAACCTCCCTAACCCTCCAATCCAGCCAAATTTTTGCAACGAAAAGAGCCCTTTCCTTTACAATATTAATAACCACATTTATCCGCGCCTCGGTGCTATAATCACTCATGCCTTTGGGTGATTTATGACCTACATTCCTCAAATTTTTCATTTTCTATGCAAACAAACGCTTTACATGTATGGAGGACGTAATAAGGCTGGATTGAAACTAGCAATTCTAGCTGTTTCGACGCCAAATAACCAAAACAAATTTCACACTCGACCACGCACAAATCACTCCAAATTACTCGCTAGGGCTAGAGCTTTGATTACGAAAAGCAAAAGCTCGAAGGGGAGCGAACAGACAAGGGGGGGGGGAAGGAGAAATGCGAGAAACTAACTCGCTTGGAGACTGGATAAATTTGGAGAGATTTGACAAGCACGTGTCTTGCTTTGAGGAAAAAGCAGTCACATGCCATTTAAGGCTAGCACTGCTTGCGCTATTTTGGCCATTGTTACCAGCTTCTTTTATTTCACTTAATAGCAGTTTTTCCATGCATGTGGTGTGCGAATTTTTTTCCTCCACTCTGAGGCAAAAACAACTCATTGTATTGAGCCATGGTGATATCATTTGCGAACGAACGAGATTAGTTTGAGCGTTCGTAGGCTCGGCAAATGACATCAAGTTCCATTTATAGCCCGAAGCAGAACTCTTTTGCTGTTTAATTGCCTTTCAGGTGCAAAAGTCTATAAAACTCTCTAATGGGTGAACATTGGACTTAACTCTTGATTGTTACATTTTCTGCAGTTTTCTCCTTAGAATTAAAGAATGGGTGAACCAAAGGCATCAACTTCTTATGATATTTGCGAAGATTCCATCTGTCCTGAACCTCATTAAAAACGAACTTTATTGCCTTTGTTAGGACACACACTATGCAGGGATAGATAGCACTCCCTTCACATAAATCCCATGCCTCCCTCTCCCCCCCCCCCCTCCCCTCCCCCCTCACCCCTTTTGCCAATTCCACAAATCCTTTTATAAGCCCAAGCTTACCGAGCACATGTCGCATGAGTGCAGGCAGATTAGGCGCTATTTGTCCGGCTCAAAGCCCCCACGTCATTACTTTCTCAGGAATGTATGTACTATTTATAGGAATCGATCACTTTTTCTATGTCTAGAACAACTGAAGAGATTATTTATATGACAGGATCAATTTTAGAAATGGCCACTCAGTCAGTGAATTCCCAAAAGACCTAAATCCATGCGCATTTTAGAAAGGATTGCAGTTTCCAAATATGTCCTATGTAATCTTATAATCCACTAGAGTCTAGCGAAGAATTCAGAATTCCCTCAAGGGATATTGACGATGGTTAGAGTGGACAGCAATGTGAACTCCTCGCTATTTACGTCCTATAAATCTCCACGTTGCCATGGTGGCTGTGAAAGATTTCTCAAACTTGTTTATATGTGGTTTCTTACTCCAAATTATTACAAATGTTCTCTGGCATATCGTTCAGCAAAAACTAAGTCAGATACGGACTACTTTAAATTAGCACTTTCATGACAATACGACCCACCGGTGGGTCGTGTCCTGTCATTTCGGACAATACGACCCACCGGTGGGTCGTATGCTTTTACTCAATATTGCGAAATATGCTCTGCTCTGAAAAAATGTCAGAAAAATCAGCCTTATCATGAATGTGCTAAGACTAAGAAAATCTCTTGAAACTTCAGCTTCCCCTCTCTTTACAAAAGCGCAAGCAGATTTTCGCATTCTCATTAGCCGTTTCCACCTCATTACGCGTATTTCCCATATTACGCAAAAGTACACCATCTAATCTGACTTTGCACTAATTCCACTGCAAAAATATCGATACACAAACTTAGTACAATCTGCCTCCTTCCGCATGAAATGGCACGCTAAATCATCATTAGCAGAACAACCCACATACGATGTCCTAGCCTAAGCTCACTTACACATCTCATCCTGTCCTAAAAGAGTTCGAGAATCTCCTGAACTGACCTTGTTGGCAGAATCCGCCTTCGCAGCCGCGACGGCGTGTTCGAGGCATGCATTGAATAAATGTTGCATGAGGTACTTTGCTTCAACCAGATTCGAGCAATGCTCAATTAATCCTTCAATATTGCCCATGTTCGATGTTTCATCGCCATTTTCAGCGTCGGCATCCTAAAATTCAATTAAATTCTTTCATGAAAAACTGTCAGCCGTTCCAAGGAATCTGTACCAGGCATGGATCAGATAGTAGTTACTAAGACACGCGCTATTCTTTATTCACTTCGGTTTTGGTCAAAATAGTGAAGTGACCAATAGCAAAGCGGATGTCCACTTGATTCACTTCATCCACTCCACTATTGGTCAGTTACTTGATCCACTTCATCCACTTCGCTCCTGGTCAAATCCGTGAACTGACCAATAGCGAAGTGGATGAAATGGATCGTATGGGCGTACTTAAGGCGAGATAGCTTCTTCAATCACGAGCTTTCTCAATTGTGGAAGGAAGTAAAAAAAAACAAAATCATAATTTTCCTCTAAATCATTTCAGCGATCATCAATAACAATTATATCTTATCCTAGGAAGCTCATTTCCCGCACTTTACCCTATTCACTTCTGAATTAGCTTTGTCGATAGTGCATATATCTTGCCCATTTACCTAGAACTTGAACTATAACAGGGATTTGCTAAATATAAATAAAAGGTAAGCCAAGGTTTTACGTCAAGAGATGGACTGTTTTTCCATGTAAATTCTGCAAAAAACAATTACCTAGCAGATGTGCATCCGGTACTTTGTAATATGATACAATTCGCAGTCAAAATAAACAATAGTCGTCTCATCATGAGATAAAGTAAAGGTCAAATCTCGAGCATATCTTGCAGTGTAAGCTGAGCCCAGACGGAAGGGAAACAGCTCAAGAAAGATTAGATTTGTGCTGTCTACGTATTCTTTACTTTTGGCCGTCCAGAGAGTTAAAAACATCCAGACAAGTAACTGCACGAGTACTTCTTGGATGTTCAGGGCCATATTTGCAACCTTCTTTTTTGCCAGCTTGTCGTCATGCAAGGTGTTCTTCTCTTCTAAGTTACTTAGCTGAGTTATTGCTAGGGATTTATTGTAGCATTAGCATCTACCTTTCGCATGAAAACCATTTAGCATGCAAAAATGACACCAGATGCAGCAAAGCAGCTGACGATTTCGATTCAATAAATTCTTCACTAGGCTTCTCTTTCCCATCCCTATTCACAGCATTACTTTCGCGTGAATACACCCTCCCATTTTCAGCCTAACAAACAAAGATCACGATTTGGCTATAGACGAGGTGTCAGCTGCCAAATACGACTCTTTTGACAATCCTCCACAAAAAACCTTCATTCAGCCCACTCGAACGTCACAAATGTTTACTGCTGCAAAAATCGCCACTGGGCCAGATCCAAATAATTCACGGCCACAATCATCAACAAGCCGTTATAAGGCAAATAGCGACTTTTATTGAGAAAGTGTACCTTTGCTGACGGCATAAAGTAGTACTCATGGGAACTTTTCCCAGTGAACTTGAAAAAGAAGCCATGAGTACATGCCTACGTAAAGGTGAGTTGGCGCTAGTTTTTTCTGCTATTGTTTTGCGACAGCAAGCTATTTTCTGATCTTGCTTCTCCACAGCCGTACCATCAGCATACCATCGTATTAGTCGTCCTCATTTTAGTAAAACCTGGTAGACAATTCTAAAGTTGAAATGGAGCAGGCAGTCGCGCTAGAGCACGCCACCCTCACCTTTCTGTACAATCTGCCTCAGCTGGTGACGTGCTGTAAAGCAATCGGCCTGCTCCATTTCAAACTCAAAATCGTCTGCCCTGTCTACTGGGATCAGGACGAGTATGTATGATGACGTGATCTAGCACGGATACTGCTAACATATCCAGAACTGCTATGATGGCATGTTCTCAACTGCCCCATAAAGATTAGGAGGCGTCGTTCGCCGAGATTCTAATTGCTCATGCGAGAGCGCTTAGAATTCGCGGTTGTTGACATCCAAAGCAGCAGTAGCAGTAGCGGCGGGAGCTGCCGACTCTCACTCATACACACATTCGTGTTCACTCACTCACTCACTCACTACCGCCTTGCCGCACTCAGCACAAGCAACATCCGCCTAGCACACTACTACTGCTTCTGACGATACCGCTGTTGCTCAACGAACTGCTGTTACCCCGACATCCGCCGCCACCGCCATGTGACCGCCTGCTAGTGTTTTTCTTATCGATAATGCTATTTACGGATACGCATACGAATCATTTCCTTTACTGCATTTGCTGATTTAATGCATATCCTGATTACTTCTGAGTAAGTTCTGTCAAATACACACGTGACACAGACGAAGGAGAGATGTAAGGGTGGAGCTCAATCAAAGACACTGCCACCAGAGCCTCTCTGTGCTTTGTTCTCCGAGTCAGTACCTTCTCCTATCTTTCCACAAGTTGCCCAACGATGACTCTATGTAAAACTTAAAACTTGTTGACGACTTCTTTGCATGATGTGATTTTCTCAATGCCTTTTCCGATGAAGTTCTTTGCCTCGTGAACGTATTCATGGGCCTTGATGATATATAAGTGACAAGCCTGCACTTTTCTCCACGACAAATTTGAGAGTTCTCGACAATAAGTGTGCCATTTGTACTTTCTTACTCAAAGTGACGCCAACGCTCACGAGTTCATATTATGGCTTCATATTTACTGGATTCATTGAGATACCTTATGAGATCTCAAAATCACAAAGATAACCATGATTTCGACTTGTAGCCTTCAGAAAATTGCGGGGCCTTTTTTTGGGTTATTTCTCTGGGTATACATCTCTTAAGCTTCATCGAAGCATCATTACCACATTCTTCACATCTCCAAACGCTATCTTCATGGCCATCAACGGGCGTTTTTCATTGTCTTTCATGGGTTAGGTTTCGGCGCTCATTTCGTTCCATGCAGCTAGATGCCTGCCTTCCTTTCCAGAGCCTTCAATTTCCATGTTTTCGTGAATCCCCGCCAACGCCAATCGCTTTTTGTTTTCTTCTAAACTGCGAAACGCATTCAGTAACCATAGTTCCATTGAACAGATTCAAAAAGCCATTGTTAGCCATGATATCCATCGCAATGCTTTGGATATGTTTGACTGCTAGTTGTTCACAGCACATGCGCCTCTTCTTCACACAACCCATCAGTCGCATATTACAACAGCAGATTCGCAGGACCGAGGCGCAGCCACGAGGGTGGCGGCACCTCTGTGCATTATTCGTATGAGCTTTGAAGTCTGGACGGTTCTTTTGGCTTTGTTATGACGGCTGAGAGCAAAAGTGATAAGATGTGATAAATCATATCATCATCATCTCCCAGTAGTTTTCTTCATCTCGACATCCGCCTTCAGCATTCTGCTTCACACAAAGCACTCTGGCGTCTCTAATGATGAGCCTATAGCCGCTGGCTGTTTATGTGTTGCTGCCAGCCGTTCTTCGTTTCTTTCTTTATTTACGCGACTCACTCTGCTTCATCGTCAAATTCAATTCACCCCACCTTTTCGACTTGGCCGTCGCTACGTTTCTTTCAAATGGAAATTTTCAAACGTAAACAACGACAGGAAATTTGGTTTCAGAATTCGCACACGACTCATTTTGTCGAGAAACATTTCGTGACAAATTCCTCATCATGTCGACCACAGATAGGCCGCCCAGCACACTGGGATCTGATCGAAAACGATCCAGCATTATAAAGGTGAGAATTTACTATTTTTCAACTTTCAGTCTTCATGTCCACGAAAATTTTTGACTCTGTTCTTTTGGTGTTTCTCTTCCAAAATAGCCTTCGCTAAAGCTGTGCTCATCGACAAAAAACGGCGTCAACAACGAAACGCGCGTTCTCCGCATAAAGACAAAAAAGTCCTCTTCAGGGACATTCAGTAATGGATTCTTCTCTGATAGCATCTTAGCTCAGATTGGCTTTCCAGTATATTTCTGTCTGGGACCATGTATTATCTCAAATAATAGGCCATTCGGTTTAATAAGATAGCAATTCCCGAGGGTCTAAACGCAGCCTTGGCTTTCTATCCTACCTTTGTAGGAATGCATATGAAAAATTCATTCATTTCCTATGGAAAGTAGTATATATTCCAATTTTTCCGCTTCGACAAGAACTTTTCGTGACCAGTAATAACTAATTATAGCTCCCTTTGACCGCCTAGTTCTGCTTCGTTTCTTTTCAAGCACGCCACGCTAACTAAGAAGTACAAAAAGTCGAACTCAATAGCTCTCTACTTAACTCCACCTCCTCCTGTTTCAGGGCAGTTTTCAAAGTGACACAGGCCTTTACGGCGGAAAAACCGGTGTCAAACAGATTTTAACCGCACCTTCTCAATCACATTCACGAATGACACCTGGTGGACAGGTAAGCTGCTCTTTCTCTTGCTTGAAACTGCTCCAAAATTTCCATATAATTCTCCCATTTCCAGACTTTTCTCTGTATCATGGGATCAGTGATCAGTATTGCAATTGCCGTTTGGTTAGCTGCCTTCAGTAGAGAGCCTGGATGGAGGAGGGCTGTCTTTGCAACCGGAGCTGCTTTATGTGCTGTGATGTTCGCATTCCTTGCATTTATGACAATTCGACGAGCAAAACAGTAAGCTTTTTTTGGCTATGAAAATTTCATTCGTTCTCTTGAAAATGAGCATGGTGCATTAGTGAAATGATCCGGTAAACTTTTGCATCGTTTCTTTTGATTTGGACAAAATTCATGGGCCATTTTTCTGTCCAAATTCATTCGTGTCATTCCCGGAACTCTTCTGGTTCCATTCCTCCAGTTTGAAATGCAAACATGAATCGTTTACTGGTAACAGCTGACAAAGACAACTGCTACGAAGCATAAAATTCTCTTTTTCGAGATTTTCGCAAGTCTGGGGTTTAAAATTGTTCCCAGCTTTCCCAATTTCATTATTTCTTCATTTCAGTCCTCCTGAACCAGAATCATTGCCCGATTTATCGCAACGTCGTTCAACAATCGGTGCTCGGGTCAGCAAAAGGTCCATAGCGGCTGCGGGTCTTGGCGGTACTGGAGGCGATGATTGTCCAACACAGGTGTGAAAACTCTTCTCTACGGTGCTTTTCCTTCCTATTTGCTGCTCTAATTATTCTCTTCCTCCGATTCTCCCTTTCTTATTGATTATTCACCCCCCCCCCCTCCGCCCCCTCTAGAGCTGCTGACACATCCGATGTTCACTGTGATGTGATAAAAAACATGCTTTTTGAATGCTCTTCTAATTCTGTCAAATACTACTAGTTACGCGATTTATGTGAAGATAAATGTCTATGAATCTTTTCTATTTTGCCTCCCTAGTCTCGTTCGTTCTTCACGAGCTAGTGGGAAAGGAAGAAATCTAATCCATACTTTGGTCTGCAGAATAAACTTACAAATGAGGCGTAACTAGTCTTAGAGGATGGAGTAGCTTAATTGGGGGATGGGGAAGACGTGAAGGAAGAAAGATTTAGGAAGGGGGGATTGCGTCAGTGTGTAAAAAAGAAAAATCGATTCTTAGGGACATGGATGAATTTTCCAACAGCTTTTCCAAATCCCATAATCGGAACTCTTCACATTCAGTTTTTTTCAAAATTTTTCTAGCTAGAAGAACAACTAACGACATAGTTAGCTGATACTAACCCTTTCTGCAAAAATAAAAAACCCATTTGTGAATTTTTCTAGGTGCTCGTAGTAGGAAGCAAAGCTCGACCATCACTAACGGTTGGATAAATCACAATGTGCCCATCAGAAACACACAGAAAATCACAAACACATCAATCAACAATCAGCAATCAACGTTATTGTTCACTTCGATCTTAATTTTCATGTTGAAATTTGAGATTTATCCCCTCGAGAATGCTTGCCCACTAGCTCGTACACGAACGAGATTCTAGTCCATAGTAATTTTTTTCTTTGCATGTTTGGAAAAAAAATTTCTTGTTCTGCTTATTTGTACACTTTGAATCTCACTCTTAGCGAATTCCCGGTCCGACTACGGTGCAGAAATTGCAACACACCGTATAATTTTTATAATTTCTGCAGTCAAGCGTTGTACATAATGTCTTTTGTTTCATATCTCTCAGTATAATTTCTCGCAGTTTTTCCAAGTTTTTGCACCTTTTCCCATTCAAATTTATTAGTCATTGATGCCAAGTGCAAAGTGCACGCATCTTCTCATGCATTGCATATGTATGTCTCTTTTTTTTTTCGCGTATTTCATTTTTATCGTCATAAATCATTATATGTATTAATCTTCTATTCTCATGGCATTGGCATGCACGTGCTGTGGTTTGAAGCCTTGATATAAGAAAAGGCCAATAAAGAGGAAAAGGACCAGTTGTCCCACGGGGACAAGCTCGATGGCTAGTCGTTGTTATTCCCGGGGGGATTTTTTCGGTGAAGACAGCGTAGTATCGATAGAAAGTGCATGAGGAGAAGGGATTATAGCTGCGAGCATTCTCACGGTCGATTTCACAATTACGACTATTTTCTTCTACTTCACACTCTGTCATAAAAAGGACTCTAAAGAATCCTCGAATTTTTAATCTCAAGGAAATCCTTCAAAACAAAAATAGACACTTTTTTAAACAAGCTCTCACCATTGTAAAGCCTATAAAAACGCGGAAAAATGTGATGACGTTTTGAGATCATCTTAGGAACGAAAGTTTAAGAACATGAGCTTTCGAAAGTGGTGCATATGCACACATAGCTTTGTAAAAAAGCTTGGAATTTGCTAGTCATAATTCTTGCAGGTAGCATGTGTTCCAAAGGGCTTAAGACAAGAACTTTTACGATTATGTGAGTTTTTCAAAATTGTGACGCAAAGGTATCGTGCAAGGACCAAAGAAGACATTGTTAAAATAAAAAGAACACTAAAGTATGGCCTACAGTCATTTCCAGCAAAGAAAAAACTCGCTACAAATATTCAGGTGAGTTATGTGCCTTTTCTTTCCTATGAGCAAGTCATTCAAAACATGCAAAAAGTGAGATAAATTCACCCTAATAACAAGCCTAGCAAAAAAATTTTTCTGTAACAAAAATAGAAGCATATCACATTTATATTTTTGGTAAAAATGGATGAGCTGAATGAGCTCATCATAGCCTACGCAATAAAATTAGTCTCTCCACCTCATTAAACCTCTCATCACCGATAAAATAGACTACCATCTCTGACAATAGACATATTAAGAGGAAATTGCTGCGTAATTATCATTCACTCACGTCATTCCTTACTCGGAAATATATGCCATAAGCATTGCAGCCTTATCCCAGAGTGCATTTATAGTATGCCTAGAGGGAAAGACGAGAAAAACAACTAGGCTCGGGAAAGAGCAACTGTTCCAGTAATTTGATCCGGTGACAATTAGCCCACCAATCATCATGAACTATGGGACATAACCCAAGGGTAATTCTCCCATGTGATCTCAAAACTACAGGATAATTTGATCCACACAGCCGAGACTGATGAGTGTTCTTGTCAATGTCAGGAAAAAACCAAGAAACCCTTGATTTTAGAAGTCATCAATCCTCGGATTTGAGAAAAAAACACCTCAAGGGATTCACGCTCACCTTTGATCCGTCGACGTCGACGATGGCTTTCTGAACTTCGGTTATCTGATCTTGGACATAGTTCAGTTTGAGATGGCAGCCGTCAATCTGGTCGGCCACTGCTTCACGCTCTTGGACATCTTGCAATTGCACAAAACGACGTTCCTAAAGTGCATCGGCCATAAACACAAGGGGATAAAAGCAATCACGCCATAGCGATGCTCACATACTTTAATCTTTTATCGTGCTTAGCCTTTGATGGAGTAAAAGTGTTTTTAGTACCATAACGTAAATAAGAATTAAATCTCCATAAAGTACATCATCAAACATTTTGCGAAGGAGACCTCGCGCTAGCGCATCAAAAATGAAAATTAGAGCGACGAAAAGCTAGCCGAGCATCCCTATTTATGACAGATTTCCTCTTGAACCAAATAAAGCCCAAAATGTACAAAAAACATCTTCTTTGGAAGCACAGGGGAGTAGTGCTCTTGCTCTTCACCCAAATCGGATGACTGTGAACCCACATCGTTTGCTGTTCCTTACTTAAATACTTATTGCTGTTCAAAAATAACAGTGACACATATCCTTCAACTCGTGTGAAGAAATCCAAAGAAGAAATAAGGGTTTCCTTTATGAAATGGAAAAGAAATTTCTCTTAAAGTTGCTGAGCCAGGTATCTAATGTACACAAAAGCATATATATGACAGTGTCAACCCGAAAAATATATCGTACATGCTAACCGTCAATTAAATCGAATTTTCGAGCATTTTCCCATGGTGTGCGAGAAATTTTTTTGAAGATTGGCAAGAAAGCCCGGACCTTTGGAGGTTAAAACTGTTGTTTATCAATATATTAAGTTGTTCCAAAAGTTCTGTCGTTTTGATTTTGAAAAATTCGAAACTGCTCCCTATGTGAATGTACTTACAAAAAAATAGTTGCAGATAGAAAACTTCATTTTCTTTTTGATCACATCTTCGTCTTTGACGAGAAAAGATATCAGAAATAAACCAAGTAGGAGAGCCACTCATACTTGTGATTTTCGAAAATAATTCGTCAAAAATCTGAAATAATGTTTTTTCAGAAGTTTTGTGAGCTGCGCTTCTTTATAGCCATGATTGTGTTGAACGTACTTCTCGCGAAAAGTTATGATTTTCGTGAAAAACGCAGAAAAGTGCAAAAAACGGCAAGAATGATGTTTTTTGCTTTTCGACATTTTCCACGGAACATAACATTACATTGAAAAGCTTGATTAACACAAACTTGGCACTGATACAAAAAGCAGCTCACAAAACCAAAGCAGCTCATATGAGAACATGCTCTTAAATTTTTCTGCAGCATTTCAGATTTTTGACAATTTATTTTCGGAAATCAGGACTTTGAGTGGCTTTCCTTTTCTGATTTTCATATCAGGATTCACCTGTTGTCAACGAGCCGCAATAGCTATTGGAAACTAGATCAATTTTCCTATCTGGAGACTTTTTGTAAGCATGTTCACATCATGGAGCAGCGAATTTTTTCAAAATCAAAGCGACAGAACCTTGGAACAACCTAATATAACGGACACACGGGAGTGAAAAATTTGCAATTAAGCTCTCATAAATAAAATAGTTTGTATCCATGTACGTAAGTGGGGATCGAAAGCAGTGGCTCGGCAGATCGGCGACTTTGAAGTATTTATCGTTCTGACTTCCCCTGAATGCAAAACTGTGCTTTGCAGCTTCTAAAGCTAGATAACTCGCTTTTCCGGACGTTGCTGTTTGAGCGGGAAGCGAAAGCCCGCATTGTAGAGAGCGATTGGCTCGTGTAGATCGGATAGGTGGAGACACCGCAAACATCTCGGCGGCGACTGAATTAATGGCTCCAGCAGCCAATCGTTCTATGACCGGCTTCCCTTTCCCTCCCAAACAGTATTTTCCACGCCCAGAAAAGCGTATTATTAATACAGGGTGTCCCAAAAAAATGTATCGAACGTTTGATCGTTAATATCTCTCTTCCCAAGAAGTCTTTTGCCTTGCTTCAGGTACCGTTTTGTAGAGCTGGCTTCAACTTAGGTTTGCATTATAAAACGAATCACCCATCTCTCTTCGTTACTGTATTATTACGGTAGAAACTTGAAAGATATGGTGTCAATGTGGAAAAAGCTGCCGTTTCAAAATTCTTCAAAAAAAATTGTGAAAACTTGTGTACTAGGGTTTTCATGAACGCTGAGTTCAATATTCAACTATTCACAAGATTACGAAGCTTTCTGAACGGTGTAAGCGCACTTTTTAGAAACATTGAAAAAATGGCCGCTACCTCTTACCTGGCATAAATCTTCAATGAAGCATCATAATAAGTTAAGAACTTTACAGTTAGAATCAACAACTCTAATTAGCCTTGTGTAAAAGCTTTCAGGCTGCTTTGTTTCTTTTCTGAGGCAAAATTTGACCTTTTATTGCTCAAAACCCTCTTCGAAGTTTCTACCGTAATTCTACAGTAATCAAAAGAGATGGGTAATTCGTTTTATAATGCAAACCTAAGTTGAAGCCAGCTCTACAAAATGGTACCTGAAGCAAGGCAAAAGACTCCTGGGAAGAGAGATATTAACGATCAAACGTTCGATACATTTTTTTTTGGACACCCTGTATATTCAAAAGCTGCAAAGCACAGTTTTAGACTCAGCTCATCCAGTGCAGTCAAGAACGACAGATTCCCCAAATTCTCAATCTGCCGAGTCATTGCCTTCAAGGTCAGTAAAGGCAGAGCTGGCCACTTTTTACTTGATTCTTTCTTATTTTTGACTACTAATTTCACAACGTCTGCAATTATGCAATGTATTCAGCTATACTGATACAGCACGAAGGATAATGACTTCCAGAAAAAGTCGAGAGCTGATGGGCAAAATAATACAGCACCGGTTCTTATTGGGGGAGAGTGGCGTAGTGGAATGAGGCACCGCTATGACCCGATGGACACAGGTTCGATCCCCGCCCCTGGGCCAACCAAGCCCTCTACCCTCCGGGACCGGTAAATTGGTACCCGAGTAATCTGGGAGGATGAAAGCACTGACTTGGTAAACGGCTGGCCCCCGCAAGTCACTGCGTTAGGCTCGCCCGCATACAGTTGCCTCTTCGACTATGAAGTAGTGTGCGTTCGGCGCATGCCCGCAGAGGGTATTGAAGACGACGAATCCTTTATCCTTTTTATCTAGTTCTTATTTTCGCAGGAATACTGATTAGGCTCACATTTTCATCGTTCTCACACGATGCAAAAACTTAATTGAGACACACTGCGAGAAGTTTTTCGCCAAAAGTTTTTTCAACTGTTGTAACTTATTCTAATCCACCGAAAAACATCTCGGATCCATGAAAATATGTACATGTCTAGCAATCTTTCTCATGTACATATATAACTAGGTCGTTACTGAGAACTCACGAAGGTTTGCATTAATTGCTAAGTTATTGGAAAAGTAAAAGATTGTAAATGGAGTGTGCCTCACTGAGTGCTTTGCAAGGGCAACTTCGAAACGGAAAGTAGATGTAATTACATCTTACCACTAAAGGGCACAAATACGAGTTGAAAATGGAAAGAGAGAGGGATTACTCTAAGATGTTTGCAGAGATTAGCTCAATGAAAAACTAATTGAATATATATATGGCTCACCACGCAAATCCAGCTCTCGCAGGGACCTCAAAAAAATGAGAAAACTCACAAGAGTTGTAATTTCGTCCACAAGCCGGGTTCGTTCTTCCAATTGCCTATTTAGCTCTTCTTCCATCTTGCCGACTGTCTGCTTTTGAGTGACCAATCGACTAAGCTGCAATGAGTATGTTAATGCTCATTATCATCTGTATCTCACCCTGAGGGCTATTGTATGAACGAGCAATTCAGTGATTTCAGAGCCAAAACGGTTTATCCTTTCGCCCCTGATTTTATTACCCCTGTAGTAGTCGAAAGTGTTTCCCCCCTAGTACATAGTGCCACTAACGTTGATGCCTTTAAGATCACTATGGTACATGAAAGGGCAAGAGAAACCTAATCTTATTCTACAGGATATAGACACGCCTTCCCTCTATCTAAGCCATAGTATACTTAATACAGCAAAAAAAAACGCGAGTATTTTGTATGTAGAGGATGAGTCGTCTTGAAAAATAGTAAGAGTGTGTTGCACAAAAGGAGACAAATTGTTAGAACAGGCGTATCAGAGATACTCTTCCTACTAAGCACCAGGATAAACAAACAAAAAGGCAAGTTAGGAAACTAAAACTGAACGCTGGAAAGCAGTCTTTGAGGTACGCCTCAACAAGTAAAATTAATTCTTCGGCAATTTTCTGTTTTTTTACAAACGTTGAAAAAACTAGCTACCAAGAAGTACAAGTTTCCGCGCATGAGCTTGAAAGATGGTATGCGAAAGTTGAAAAAAAAACCAACGCATTGGAAGTCTGACAGCAAATGAACCTACCCTTTTCTCGATGAATGTCCACTTCATCTTCGCTTGTTTTGGAGAGAATGCTATTTCCGGAGGTGGTTGCCCTTTGGCATGTGGTGTTCGGTTCATTCGCGCAGGAGTTGCACGCATTGGGGTGGTCATACGATTTTGAGCGGCGGCTGCGCGAGCCTAGATTACAATAATCATCTCTGATGTTTTGCAAGATTAGATATCATTGAATGACAAAAGTACCTGTCTCATCTGTTCCTTTTGAGCTTTTCGCAAACGAGTGATCTCCTCATTTGTTCGTTTCATAAACTGTTCTCGTTGTTTGTCTTTCGTTTCCAGCTGACGTATGAGGTTGTCTCTTCTCCTGAAAAAGAAGAAGCTTGTATCTGGAAAAAAATGCAAGAACAGAAAGCGGTGAATGACTGGTCGTAAGACCAAAGTTATCAAAAGGAAACGTAAAGTACCTACCTAGCCTCCTTGTCCAAAGCGGCTAGGCGTTTCGCATTGCTGTTCTGCTGCTGTTGAGCCCTCTTCATTTCTTCTTTGATCTTCTTCATCAAGTCGACCTCAAAACAGCCAACTTAGCCACACGCTGACAATAAGGAGGAAATGTGACTGTGATACCGGTGTTACCGGTTGCACAAAGTCAAACAAAATAAGGTGACTAGACAGAGATTTGGAAAATCTTAACAGTCTGCAGGCAAATGTGTAACGCCGATGATTTTCTCTCCATATCAGACTTGAATTTGATGACTCTTTGTTGTAAATAGATCTTGAAGCAATGGCTTTGATCGTAAATTACCAGTGTCACCCGTGTTACCGGTGCTACCGCCTTACTAGTCTTACTCGTATTACTCCAATTATCAAAGTTACCCGTACTAGTGCTGCTAGCGTTACTAGTGTTACCTGTGTTACGTGTTACTCGTGTTACCAGCTCAGGGATTCGCGCCGTGCGAGCGGTCCTCCTTTAAGGGCTAGCGTATAAGAGGTCGGCATAAGTCTGAAGCTTCCGTGCGTGCGGCAAACAGCTGAAGCGCCGTCCTAGCGGCAGGCAATGCTACCGTGCAAACGGCATGCAATACAGTTGCTCTAGCGAGCGGCCGGCAATGCGTCTGTCTTATCGATCGGCAATACCTGTTGCCGTGCAAGCGCCCGACAGTGACCTCTATTTTCTGCTCACTATTTTCACAAATTATGAGCTTAAACGGTACCTGCGTGAGATACGACGCAGTGTTTAGGCTGGCTAAGCATTGAGATATCGTGTTATCAACATTTTCTTTCACCAGCAAGGCTGGATGGACCTGTGTGAGGCTAAAGTTATCAAGAGTTATGGGGTGCGCTTCCCCATAACTCTTGATAACTTGGCCATTGAAAAGTTTGGCCACTGCGCAAGCATCGACCCATGTTCCCAAAATGTGAAAAGGATTGATCTGTCCAAGAAAAATGGTTAAAATATCCCATATACATCTACTCCAACAGCAAGCGAGCGGCCGACCTTCCCTGCGCAAGCGGCGAACATTAGAGACCGTGCGGGCGCCCCACGTTAACCGTGCCAACGGCCCTTGACGACCGTACAACCGCACACACCGACGAGCGATTGTAAGGTCGTCGCTGGCCGCCCGCACGGCGCGAGTCCCTGAGAGTGCTATCAAAGTCGCTCGTGGTACCAGTGTTACTAGCTTAACCGTGTTACTCGTGTTACCGGTGCTACCCGTGGTACCACTGTTACCCGTGTTAAAGGGCGGGCATACTTCACGCGATTTCAGTCGCGACGCGACTTGGCAATTTGCCAGAAGTCTTCAGATCCAACACTGGCAAACTGCACATGCATAGTGTGTATAACTTACCTAGAATGATGAAATGGCCTATTTTCTGTACATTCAAAATGTGCCTACAGTGAGTTATGGACGCTTGGAATATTGCCAAATCGCGTCGCGACTGAAATCGCGTGAAGTATACCCGGCCCATTACTAGTGTTATTCGTGTTACTAATGTTACGAAATTACGAAATTAATTCTGATTGATTGCCAGATTGCGATTGAGTATGGGACTGTATTGGTTCATTTCACTACTCAATAGCAATCAAAGCGGTAACAATGGTAAAACTGGTAACACATGTAACACTAGTAACAGTGGTAAGATTGGTAACAAGTAACACAGGTAACACCGGTAACACGAGTAACACTGGCAATGTATGTTCAAAGACGATGTTTACACAGGCTGACAAGACAGAAATTTCGACGTGACATCAAATTTGATAGGAAAATCGAAGACACCAAGACAGGCTCGTGGACCAATTTCTGATAAAAGTTCAGCCAGCAGAAAAAAGATTCAAAATTGATGAATCCACTTTTATTATTGAAATCCAAAAAAGTTATCGTCACCTTGACTCTCTTCAACTCTTTCAGCTCGACTTGATATCTCATCAGTTCTTGACGCTCACGTTCTTGCCGTGCCTAAATTTTTATTTATTACTCAAATCCAGCTATTACATTAGCGAACCTGCATTCTCTTATGTTCTCTTTCAACCATTTGCAATTTTCTGAACTCATTTCTCATATCCGCTAATTTCCTTTCGTACTCGTCACGGATTCTCTGCAATCAATTCTTTGACAGCCGGATCGGGAAGAATTCTATTAATAAAACCTTCGCTTGCTCCTGGCTAGCTTTGTCGGTTTTCTTAGCCTCAGCTTCCATCAGAACTTTATCCCTTTCCGCCTCCATCTTTTTGATTTGAGCTGACAGTTCCGTCAGTTTTTTCTCATAGGTCAGGCGTACTTCAGCCAGACGTCGGTCAGATTGCTCGAGCTCGGCGATTAACCTGAAATAAGGTGAAAATAACAGCTAGGAGAGGGAACAAGCGGAAAATAATGAAAACAGATACGTCAAAAACAAAGCAATACATCAATCAACCCCCACCTTTCCTTGATGTTGATCTCAGTTTGCAAGTTGGCTAGATTGTCCCTGAGCACAGCTCCTGAACAAAATCAAAAGATCAATCAAGCAAAAATAAATGGAAAAGAAGAAAAAACGATCTGTACCTTTGCTGTCCTCTTCAAACACCTGCTCATCATCAACATCCTGATCATATTCGTCATCTTCATCCAGTTCATCAGCGTCGTTGCTCGTACCATCTTCTTCGGCCGTATCAACATGTGAAGCGTAGTCAGACGTCACTGAAAAAATTACGCTAAAAAAGAGGAGCGGGGTGGCTAGATACGACATCATCGAAATTGTTATAAAGTTGTTAAACGTGATCAGTGTCTTCGCTACATTACTAGCTTTTTCATCCTTACTTTGAATAAGCAAAGGTATATAAAGCTAAGGACTAGGGAATGGTTGTAAGCCTTAGAGCACCCCTTCATTTCTTTACTTAGAGTTTCGTTGTCACTGACATCGTCGTTCTATGCTTCAAACTTTAAAACTAGCACACTAACCAAAAAACGATTTTGCTATACATACGACGACACCAGCTGCTGGTATTTACGAATGGCTTATGATCCCGCTTCTTGTATTGAATAAATCATCAAACTAGGTTAATTCGTATATATTAGGTTGGTGCAAAAGTAATGGCCGATTTTGCAAGCCTTTTTTCAGGCCTTTTTTTTTTCATCAAAATTTCTCCTTTGGGATTTAGTATACCACTGAGAAGCTGCTTTCATACTCCATCCAATGCTGGTTGAAGCCGGCTCTCATTCTCATCCTATAAAGTTACTAAGCTGCAAATAACAGCATCCGAATTTGGAATTTTGTTGCATTCACTTTTCTGGCCTATGGATGGCGCTATTTCGGAAATTTAGCTATTGTATGCCTAAGAATTGTCTACATCATGCCTACTTAACTATGTTTTTTGAAGTTATCCAGACTGAGATATCGGCTTCTCAACATCGGTAGACGTTGCGGTTATTTTATGATCCATAAATTTTTTAAGTCATTCGACAAAACTTTGCTCAATTATGTAAGCGTAATGCTGGCGCATCCTATCAGCAGTTTTTGCAAAAACATCCAGCTGTTCACTGCTCAAAAAATCGGAAAGATCTATATTCGGGAGTTTGAGGCACACCGAAAAATTGAAAAAACTAAGAAATTTTAAATTTTAATTTTTTTCTTCCTCGCAAACTTTTTTGACCAAATTCTTATTACTGCATTTTGTACTACGGCTTGCGGCTACAAGATAGGCCCCTTATCATTCCTATTAACAAACTTTGAAAGAAGTTATGAATTGTCAAAGACGAGGTTTCAATAGGAGAACTTTTTTTCAATCCATATTTTTCTGCCCGTTCGTGATATGAGTATAAGTAAATGTGCGCTGTATTGCAGAAGGCTTGCTGCTTCTGATGATCGTTACCGCATTCGGAAATGTGAATCTTTCAAAAAGTTATAGCACGTCAAAGTGAGAATTCGCAAATCGGCCATTATTTTGCACCAACCTAATAGGATCTAAAACGTGCGCGAAGGAGAACAGCTAGACCATTCCACAAGAATGGCGATGATCTTGGCATATTTCATATGAACACCGATCTCTTCCGCGGTTCAGATCCAAAACCCAAAATTAAGCCGAACGATGATGCATTCACTGCAAAAAGAACTAACAAGGGCAACTACCTAACTTGGCTCGGCCTTTTTGGCGAAGGACATACATATTTCGAATCAGCTTCAAACGCTGATTCCAAATAAAATATGCTATTCCTAGCTGACGAGCACCATTCCGAAGCGAATTATGAATTTTTCCTGCGCAAAATTGGCATACTCATTGACTCATTGGCACAACGCATCATCACCTAAGTGCTAGTACATACACTTGCATTAAGCTTCTTTTTAGAGAAGAAAAATGGATTAGTGTTACTTCGATATCTCAGCACCCCATAGGTCCAGATTTGACTGGACGCTGCCTTTGAGCCTCCGTAATTTTGTTTACTCCAACCTTTAAACCACCCCAATTGACTTTTTCTTTCATGACAAATATGGAAAAAACATATTAGGAAATCGACTGTCCACGTGTATTAACCTACTTTCTATGCCACCCTATATGGACACATATTTGAATGCTTTGAAAGAAAACAGCTGTAGTCCATTTCCCAAGCATTCATAAAACTTTGTATCCTACATACAAAAGCAAAAATCGTGAGATATCCTGATAAAGCTGGCCTTAAACAAAGTCCCCGCAATCTAAAACCTAATAGAAAGGGAACCTCATGACGTTCAGAAAGCTCATAACCTTGCTTCCACTCAACTGAATTTCTGTAAGTCAAACTGCTGCTATTAAATTCTTCCGCCCAACGATGAATATTTCAAATGTTCTCTTCTCCCAGGCTGCTACCCTTTTCAGTCCCTTGCCTATCATTCGATCCGAGTTTCATAACAAAGGATGCACTACAGCGGAAACATTCTCCGATCGTGCATGCGCGCTATTGGCAATGCGTGCATGACTCATAAATCGGGTCCGTCCGACCCTAAAGCCAGCCAGCCCATCATTCAGTATTCCCAATGACCGGCACAGCATGGCCTTTTGGCCGAAGTCATAAATAAGATGGGCCGGATCGAGTTTCCTCTCCGCAGTCACAAGGAAAAACGGGAAGTTCATATGATTGGATTCGATCGAATTACAATTCACAGATGAAATGACCGTTGCAGAAAAACTTGTAGGCTAAGAAAGAACATAATCTGCATTCTAAAGAGGTATATCGAGTTTATGCAAACGAACTTTGCTTTTTGACCATCCGCGCCTGTACTCAAGAAGTCATCTTTGCTAGGGCTGAAATAACAGTAATCCGTCGAAAAAAAAACCAAGTGTCTAAAAACTAGGTACAAAAATGCACTACAATATGCTAAAACTATTTCTAGCACGTTTTCCCACATAGTCATTACAAGAGACGACATTGAAAGGCTAACCCCCCGAAAGGTGCTTTCTCACATGATATTTTTTATACCAGAGGCGTACTCAGGATTTCCGTTCGGTGGGGGGAGGGGTGGGGACAAAGATTTTCTTTTGAGGAAGGTGTCTGGCGTCAGCCACGCATTCCGAATAATTTTTTGGTAAGCTTCTTGAAATTTTCGCGGGCCCATAACCAATAAAATTTCAAAAAAGGGGCGTAGCGGCAGCCGCGCCAACGAAAACTTACAAATTTCAGAAATGATATTAATTATTAGATTGGAAAAAAAGTTCTCGGACATTTTCAGACTTGAACTGCTATTTCTCGAAACCTATTGCATGTACATCCTAGAGAGATACCATTCGATAGAGCAAAGCAAGCCTTACAAGACGGTATGCGAAAGTTCGCATCAGCTTCGATCCACCGTAAGTTTGCATCCAGAATCTGATTCGCACTGAAAGCTCGAAAAATCGGGAAAAATTCATATCTTCGTCCAAAAATCCTACTGACCTCCAACTTGCTCACACAAATTGCACATCACATCCGACACTCATATGTACCGTTCCTGTATTTTCCTCATCTGAGAATCGAGAAAACAAGGACTTTTGTTCTAGTACAAAAACGAGGCTACGCTGTTCACACACGTGTAACTGCATAGTACATCCCCTTAGAAGTATAACCGTAAATTTTCAGCTTTCTACAGGCTTTAGTTTCCAAATATTACCGAAATTAGTTCTCCTAGTCGGGTGTTCCATGCTAAAATCAATATTTTTCAAAAATTAGTGTCTGATGTGGTGTGCAACTTGTGTGGGCGAGTTGGAGGTCAGTGGGATTTTTTTGGACGAAGATATGAATTTTTACCAACTTTTTGAGCCTTCAGTACGACTCAGATTTTGGATGCAAACTTATGGTGGGTCGAAGCTGGTGCAAACTTTCACATACCATCTTGTAGATCTTGCTTGGCTCTATCGAATGTATCTCTTTCGGATGTACATGCACTAAGTTTCGAGAAATAGCAGTTTTAGTCAGAAAATGTCCGAGAACTTTCTTTCCAACCTAATAATTACAAATAAACAAGATGAGTAACTTTCAAAAATTTCGCGACCATTCTTGGGAGGGGAGCGGGCGCCCGCCCTCGGTATGCCACTGGTTCACACGACTAGCTTTGAGGTGGCGGGAACTGTTAGCTTTGTTAAGAAGATGTTAAGAGATAAATGAGGACCAAAAACTATTTCAGTAGGCTTCCTGATGTTTCGCCACTTCAAAAAAAAAAGAAAAGAATTTAAGCCTCAATAGCTTTTCATTAAGAACTGACCCTCGTTTGATGCAGTAGACACGGTCTTTCTGAGTCTTTCAATGTCGGCGCGGGCCTCATCAATCAGCTGTTGATGACCAAACGACGAGAATGAATGGTCAGCATTTGCTGGGAATCCAACTCCAACTCCGCCGGAGATGGCCTTAAGCACTTGGGTTACGCCAGCCTCAGCAAAAAAAAACCCAACGCGCCCCCAAATACAGCACCTGGCTTTTCCACTTGTTCATTTCCTTTCTCAGCTGGTCTGAAACAGCCTGGGACTCATATAGCTGCGATCGCGTCCTCTCCAGTTCGTCGAGATACTTTCGCAATGTCGCTTGCACAGGATCCAAAACCTCACTGGACGAGTTGTCATTGCCATCTACAAACACAGACGAAAAGCTAAAAGATTACAAGTAAAAGTTAGATATTGAACTCACCATCAGATGACGCCCCATTTTCATCAGTAGGCGATGAAGCGGATAACCCATTTGATCCGATGGCTTTTGCCATAAGATCAACGTTTCGATTTCGAAGAATCTCATTTGTTTCTTGAAGTGCCTTGACACGGAACCTCAGCTGATTAATTTCAGCCTGCAGTGGAAACCGAATAAACCAAGGTTTAACAAAACTGTGGATAATAGGAAAGACCTAGAGCTATCAGCACAGATGACTTAGAAAAAATATGGACGAGTCCAAAATTGAGGAGAAAGTTTTCCACGTACCGCGTATTAGGTTTTGCTAACGTAGTGAGAAACAGTACGGAACTTTTTTGATCGAGCAAAAACGAAGTTTGTCAAGGCAACAGAATTCAGTTCTATGAAATAAAATGTGGACTACGTTTACGACAAAAGAAGAAAAATTAAAAGCCTAATGAAAAGGAAGTAAGACTAAAAAAACGCGAAGATAGTAGAGCTAATTGACAACAAAAAGACTTCTACAACAAAACTTGATAATCTATGAGCTTACCGTGAGCATCACATTCTCCTGATACTGATCATTGACCGTCTCAACTCCATCGCTATCAATAGTTCTCCTGCCTTGTTTGAACTCGAGAAGCTCCGCTTCAAGAGATGCGATTCGTCCACGAAGCTCTCCAATAAGTTTGGATGACTTGTCTTGATTGGCAACTACCTAGACACATACAATAGTTGAACATTCTGATCTTTTCTGAAAAAGTTAGTTTACCTTGTTCTTGATATTCTTCGCACGATTGGCATACTTCATAGTATTCAGGGTTTCGACAAAGTCACTATCGCTAGGCGATACGCAAGCAATCATTAGCGTTCGGCTAAATTCGTGCAAAAACGATAGAAAATTTAGAAAAAATAGCATAGTCAGTAAAAAAAACTCTACCTGTTTCCACCAAGAGAATCTTGCAGCAATCTCGTCAACTTAGAGTCACGGTATGGAACGTGGCTGACTTTTCCATTGGCTCCACCAAGTGCGCTGATTACATTTCCGAGGGCAAGCTTAAAATTGTGCATTGAAAGCAGATGGCAGCAAATTTCGTAAAAGTCTTAGACTAAAAAACTTACCAAGCCGCAGTTGATGCTTATTCCTTCTTTAGCTCTATCTCCAGTAGCACCAGTCCGCTTTAATCGCTCAGATCCGGCAAGATCCACGAAGTGGAATTTTGCGGATAACAGTTCCATCTCAATCTCCTAAAAAATGCACTACTGGCAAGGTAAAAAAGCATGGACTACTCACCTGACTTGGAACATCCGACACAACTACTCTTTGTTGTTTTATGTGAATGGAGAAAATCGCATGTGAACGCGATGACTGTTCATTCATATTTGTCGCTGCTACAGTTCGATTCAAAGCTCCATTCTTTAGAATATCCAGAGTCTGAAAAACTTTCGCGTTCGACAGATGTGAGCCACTAAATTCACCAAGAAAAATGAAGAAAAAAGACAAAAAGTGTGACACAAAACTCAAAGTCAAAAGAGGCAAAGAAAATAGTAAGAGGCCAAAAAAATGCTCACCATCAGCAATTTAAACTCAAAAAAAAAACTCACAGAATGCAGATCAGATACCGGCCTACTCGTCACACCATGAAGGTAAATCTCTCCTTGTGTATCTTCGTGAATTCGTATGTTAAACGAGGAAGAACGGTCATTTGTCAACAAATCGATGATTTCTTCGTTATACAACTGAAACATCGCACTTTTTGACTTTATAAGAGCGAGGCAGAAAATGCAAACCTCTATGAACTGCACAGATATCTCAAACGTGGGCTCCAATACACCGTTCTCCACTGCTTCCCGCTTCAATTCAACAACTCGACGAAAAACGTGAGCAAGAGCTCTTGGGATTACTCCAATCTGGAAATAATCACAAATTCAGGAAATTTGGACTAAATTACTACAAAAACCTACTTCATGCTCAGAGATGGTACCAGTATCGAAAGCCGTACCCATAGTATATGTTTTACCAGAACCAGTCTAAATCCAGCCATATAAGCAGAACACATAAATCGACAGAATATGATTGACTTTGGCAAGAGAAAAAGTAGAAACGTGCCTGTCCGTAAGCAAGTACCGTAGCATTGTAACCATCAAAGAGGCCATTCACTAGCCTTTCTATACATGAGTCGTAAATTTCAATTTGTTGAGTAGCTTGATCAAATACGTGATCATAAGTGAACGATCGGTCAGTACCAATGGTAACCTAAATAGTAGCTTTCTGAGACAGACACCTTCCATGCCCAGATAAAAAGCCCACTTCAGGGAAACATTGACTAAAAACGGAAAAATAATTTGATTCATTTCAGAAGTTTTCCAAGGGCAATGCTAAAGCTCAAATCAAGATGTTTCGGGAGAAAGCTATCTACATACTCGAAAGCTGAAAGAACTGCGGCATAAACTCCGCATTGGTAACAAAAGTTGCCACTATTCAAAAATGTGATGATAACAGAAAAAATGCTTTGCAAACTGACAAGATCATTTTCTACTCAACAAAAATAAGCAATAACAATAAATATCGAAAAATTGCAACGTGAATTTGCAGAAAAAACTCTTATGCTGAGATACAATATCACTCACCTATTATGCTGGGATACAATAGCACTCACCTGAGGTTCGCCAGGAATAACGGAAGTGCACACACGACTACCTTCGAGTTTTTCGCGATTGCCCTGTGGACGAATTCTAAACCAAATTTGATTGGAAAAATGATATATTTGCTCATATAACCATAAGAAATCCAATCCGCATTTCCATTTCGTTTCAATTTCAAGTGACAAATTTCCTATCTCCCTTGCATCCACTCCCTCTATCACCAATTCAACTGCTTTTGCGGTCACTCTTGCAGCGCTAAGCAAACATCTGCTAGACGAATTCGTTTCATCTTCGCGCGACGGTCACTATGCAAACAAGGCTCGGTGATTGATCGTTCTCTAATCATATCTCACCAAACACAGAAGAGGTTTCTATGTGACAAAGCATGACAAAAAACATTAATATGACAGTCCCAAAGTCTTAAAATAGGAAACTATCAATTCAAACACAACACATTTTGCGTTCCATTTTCTCATCGACTGATACAGTAAACGAAAAGAATCTTCCAAAAATTGAGAAAATTTGAAAACAATGGAAGACTTCATTCGAGTACTGCCAGAAATTATCCACTTTTGCTTCAAAAAAAATTCACACATTGCTTACAGCCCCATCTCTACTACTATCGCTTAGACCACATCTTTAATAACAAAAGAGGAATCTTCCAGATAGTGCGACTAGAGTTTTTCATGTCATAAAGTACTCCGTAACCTCATTTATCAAAAGAGTCATCAGTCACTAGTCGCATAGCAGATGAATGGCAGCTAGCTGCACAATTTTTTGCTTGAGTCGGAGACGACTGCACTGGCAGCCAGGGTCAGGTTGTCATCTCATAGAAGATGCAGCTGGGCAGTAAAAAGTATTGTGGGAAGATACTTTGGGATAAGTAACATCAATGGCATAATTTGAGCTGAGGCAACTTCCCTGCTCTTTCTAAAACAATGCCTAGCATACTAATTAGAAAGCAAAAGCATTTTTAGGTCTCGAGATAGCATAATTTTGGACATTTGTTATTTCCTCCCGTATTCACTTACTGCCGTCTACGTTTAAATTAAAGAGAAAAGACCGTAGTCACCTCCTACTCTGTGGCGCAGTTATTTTTGCAAAGTGCAGTCAATTTCAAGGCCAAAGGGATGACTTTGTCCGATGATCCATCATGAGGAGAATGCGTAGCGCGGGCAACCTCTACGAGCAATTCAAACTGGGACAAAAAGTTTTAGACATGAGTGATGAGGTAACCGAAAGGGATAACCATACTAGTAACCATATAAAGGACAGAAGCGAACACCTAATATAGTGTAATTCTTTCGACAGAAACATGGATCAGCTAATATAGTGCATTTTTTCGACAAAAAAATGATATTACCTAAATTTCGCTAAAAAGAGCGTTTTCTTGGGAAGATGCCGTTGGCATTGTCATATGCAATCTCGTATGACTGCCTCACGAAGCTAGCGAACAGCTCGTTAACGCGCTCTTCGTGATAAATTATTGAAAAAAAAGATCGCTTTTGAACATGACCTATGTCCATTACCACAAAGAGAAAAAAGGTTAAGTTTTTGGAAGTGGACTAACACACGCAACACCCCACTTTGAAGTCAAATGAAATTTTAAAAATAAGGTTTCCCCGAAATACTCCTACATCTAGCCAATTCCCATTCCAAAAAAGCTCCATCAACATCTATCGGCCACCATCCGCTAATAATTTGCCACCATCTGTCGACACTTAGTTTGATGAATCGATAGGATTATGGGACAGAAAAAGCTGAAGCCGGAGATGTTAAGAGCACCGGGTAAAATGTAGAAACGGATGCTTTGAGATGAAAGATTTTGTAAGGATAGAAGCAAAAAAATTACTTGAGGTACTTCTAAGCAGCCTGTCTTAGAATTGAATGCACTTTTCAAACTTGATAAACCCAATAAAAAGACGGAAAAGTAACAATGCATGATAATGGCTTACATAGATCAAACAAAAAATAAAGATTAATGGAAATGAAAGCAAAATATAAAAATTCTCTTCACTCTTCTAACCTGGCACTTGATTTATGAAAAAATAACGGAAAAAGCAAGCGATTTTAAAGGTGCGCAATTGCCCCCCCCCCACCCTAGGAAATCCAAAATTCGCATCGACAAAAGCGCAATATCACTCTTAATGTATGCTATCCGACATGCATAACAAATATCAGTGCACTATTCGCAAGCAGAAGTAGCCCCTCTTACCTGAGTGCCACTTGCACTGTCGAGGGCACATCACCGCCACGGGACGAGAGCATTGACGACGAGGAGCTGCCATCCATAACTCGTTTTCAAGTAACTATTACAATATGCACATCGGCTTAACCTAAAAGACAACTGAAACGACTGAAACGATCAAAAAGCGCGGTGAGAGTCAGGCGCAAGCAAAGCTTTCCAGGATAAAACGATTGCAAACATGCACACACATATCATTCACGAGTCAATAAGAGGGAATCATTTCTCGTACGCAGAAAATCAATCAAACTTCTACATTACGCTGCTGTGTAACAGTACGTCAAGGTAAGAATAAGTCTCTTAGTGAAACCAGTTCGAGCGCATTACAAAGAGAGTTCTTCCTTGTCAGAAGAAAAAGTGGTACAGAATTCCCATTATAAGAGAACTATATGGTGCACAAAATAGCAACATCAGCCACCTGCCCACTTAATGACAAGGGCGTTCGCCAAATGTAAATGTGGTTGCCGCTGTGCCGTTGAAGCCCCCAATACGGGGCGCAATCGAGACAGCCAGCCGCCGAAGAAGAACAAACAATCCTGTCACTAAGCCTACATATGCTTGAAATCGGTGATAATAGCTATGTATAGAAGGACATTTTAAAAAGAGAAGATGATAAAAGAATGCGGCTTGATCTGACGGATTCCTCTGCCAACTATAGCTATGAGAAAAAGAATATGGTTTGATTTGGCACAAAATACCTCTTGCCTAATATAACCTTTGATGCAACCGACTTGGCAGCTGGAAGGCGAGGCTTTGTGAGCTAGTTAAGGCCGCTCGCGCCAGCGACGCAGTTTGCGTCTCTGTCTCGCACGTGCTCTCTGATCATTATCTAGTCTTAGATCATGAAGCCCCGCCTTTCAGCTGCCAAGCAGTAATCAAGGGTGGTCGAGCTGGCTTTTTTGCTAATGTCTGACTGCACAATCCTTAAATGAGTTGCGGTGTCGTCGTGTTCTCCACTGTGTTCCTCGTTGTTAGAAGCGTATCCAGGAAAATGTGAATTATTACGTTCAATTCAATCCTCGAAAAATTGCTTCTGTCCTCTACAATTTCAAAAACGGCAGTTGCAGAAATTAGCAGGAAACCTACTCGACTATAAATTGGAAAAAATGAGTTAAATCAAATTTCAAATGTTTGATTCCAACGGTGTTAGGTAAGAAAAATCTCATTTTCTCTTTGAAAAACTTGCTATCGCTAATATCTTTTAGAGTGTGCAGTTGCAGAATTTAACAAGAAACACTAGACTATAAATACTTGCAAGTTATAAGTCAAATCACAAAGTTCGAGTGTTCAATTATTCCTTGGCCGAGAGAAAGAAAACATCCCATCATTTCAAAATATTCAACTTTTTGCCATGAGAAAGGAGAATTTTCATCAAAAGAATGGATTTCTTATGGAACTAATATAAAATGCAGAACATTACATTATAAAAGCTGTAGATGATTACATGGAAACACATTATGATGCGCATTGTGAACGATGGCTTATGAAATTCGGATAATTACAAGCTTGCCGATGACGAAATCTAAACAGTTAAAAAGCATTCTCCTCCCACATTTCTAGCTGAGGCGTATAATCCATCAATGTAACATGATCCCAGGAAGAAAGTCCATTATACAGAAATGGGAAAACATCCTTTAGAAGTATAGGGAGGGAAACAGTAATGCAATGAGGACACATGCAAACTTCTCACTAGATGATTTCCTTGCTGATGGCGTGCAGATGTGCAACATGCATGAAAACGCGAAAAAAGTGAAGATTACAAAACACTAAGCCGCAATCGCCATGTGTTCTCTCAAGACGCGCCAAAGCAGATGAGCACAAAATGAAACATTTAGGATTAAAATAGTACATCTCTTCCAGATTACAATCTTTTGAAAGGACTTATCTAGTGGATTACGATCCCAAGATCTAGAATTTTCGACGAAAGAAGAAATATCTTGCTTTGGGCAGGACGAAACAGGTAGGAAACCAGAAGCCCACAATGACCAAGTGTGTACATCATAAGACCTCAAGGCTTGAGCGAATAAGATTTGAAAATTTCCTGAAGAAGTTTTCGACTTTTCTTGAAAGTATCCTGTTGAAACTGTTTGTATTTTCAAAGCCAGCACCGCTCGGGCCCTGTTTGCTGTCAATTAGGTATCTTTCAGAGCAAAAATTCCTTTTCTAAGCTTCTTCGACTTGAATAGACAAACCAAGGATGAAGACAAAACCTCATGAATAGCACATTAAAAAACAAAAAACCCCTAATAAAACAAAATGGAAGATGATGCGATGATAATTGCAGAAAGGAGCAAATTTTAAAGAAAAATCTTTGAAATTTCCATACACTTTATAAAAGCAGAAAGGAAAGCAAAAATAATTCAGATTAAGGCAGACAGTCAACAGATACAAGCAAGGTCCGGAAATAACCAATGTTCGCTTATCAGCAGATCGATTCATTCTCAATTCTCAGTATTTATGTCCCTTCACCAGTCACCCTGATTCCCGACACTCTTCAACTCGGAATCACCATTCCTGCATGAGAACAAAAGTGCGAACAGCTATAATTGGTGCAACTACACCAATAAAAATTTTACGCGCACAACGTCCTCGTAATTCGTGACCGCAATTCGCGTTTATGCAAGAGCGATGAGGACAAACAATATTTAGGAGATATATAAAGGAAAGAACAGAACGATGTGGAAAGAAATATGTACCTAACGTTTATTACAGGCCAGAGATGGGCAATAAATCCAATAGCATAGAGCCATCGACGAATGATCGATCGCAATATGAAGAGGAGAATCTAGTTTGACTGGCGAAGAATCATAACGTCAGAAAAAGATGTCGTGCAAAGCTGAAGGTCGCCTTTTGCGGGTCTATGTCTGGGCCTATTTGAGAACGATTCTAGACGCGACGCCGAGTAAAGAAATAGAGGAAAGGACCGAGCAAAACTGACAAGTGGTTGGTGTAACGCGGTTGTAAACATTTCTGTAGGCGACAAAAGACAAACAGTATTCTCGTACCGGATCACTCCTTTTACGGACGAACACGAAAACGGAAGTAACTTACGATAAAAAAAACCAACAAAGCAAAGCGCAAATTTTCGAGTATGCAGACACTTTCACGCGTTATCGCATTTCTACAACTTCGAGAAAAAAACTCATGCACTCAACGCCTTTTACGTTTTTTTGTAAACTCTGCAACTACGGTGGAAAATTAGTAGATCAAAATAAGCTATGGATAAAAATGCTAAGTAAAACGAAACAGAATAAAATTGTAACGCAAGTTTTTAACAGTTCTCAGCAAGAAAGTTTTCCACGTATTAAAAAACGAGGAAAAGAAAGAAATTGAAAAATTTGCTATTATAAAAAATTTGCTCCACTATTTGGATAACAAAAGTCTCGCATGACATCAAATCATTTTTTTGAAGAAACTTCCAGACCCGACACGCAATTTAGCTTTCATCGGATTATCTATTGCGTGCAAAAGTCTATAAACGCTAGTCTAGACGAAGGTGGTTGCGCATGAAAGCGAGGCGTGCGTGGCATTCGAGTTAATGAAGAAGAATGCTCGCACGCCTTCACACCCGCTTCGCAAAATAAACCTATCGCCTTCATCAGGAAACAGACCTAAGATTTGTTAAGGTGCACTTGCATCAACTTTTAGCCTTCCTAAAGAGAGAACAGGAACACCAAGAATTCAAATTCACAAGCGGGAACGAAACATCCGTCACTCAAGATACCCCGGAAGAGCGCACGCAGACACGAAGACGTGCAAGATGATGATGTGAAGGTGAATGATGGGCTTCAACAGCGTCACGCTCCACCTACTCGTTTAGCAACAATGCTGTGTTGGGGATGAAAAAGGCGGTCATATCGTGATTGAGTAGAGGAAAGTGAAAGAAGAGAAGGAGCATCAAATGGTGGATGCGAGAAAGAAAAAATGGGCGGAGAGAGGCAGCTTTAAATGCACCGTACACCCAAACTGAGGTTAGGGGTATTTACGTTGTACAATAGCGGAGCCCCTGATTGAGTAATCATCCAAGTCCCACTGCAAAAGATGAATTCCAAAGGGAGATATACGTTTCAAAAGGTAGAAGCGACCCGGGTGACTCCGCCCATCAATATGGGTAGTCTGCAGATGAAAATCCAAAGTCGGGCTTCAATGTCTCAACACTGTGGTAAGACCACCCTTCATTATGATTATCACATTTGTGACTTTTCTATCTACATGAAAGCCCGCTTTGCTCGATATCCTCAGACCCCACACTTAATGGGCGGAGCCAACTGGAGCGCTTCTACATTCTGAAGCAATTTTCTCGCTTCGGAATTCAACTTTTGCAGCAGAAGTTGGAAGATTTCCTATTTAGGAATCTCCGCTATTATACAGCATCAATATCTCATAATCCTCGATTTGAGTGCACGATGCCTTTGAGGATATGCTGCACGTATGGCAGTGATACATGTACGTTGATAGGATTAAACAAGGAAGACAAAGACAAGGTAGGCCAAGGGACGAAAAGTGAACCAAATCGCTTTATGACCAAAAAATCAAGAAAAAACATGTAAATGTGGAACCTTTCTCAAACCACCTTTACACGATAGTTAAGAAGATGAGCAAAGTGCGAAAAAGCACTCATTATGTCGATCGCTGACGCATGCTCGGCGAAGAGTTTTTATCAATGCTGCGCCCCGACAGCAAACCCCCCACTTTGTCAGTGGGGCACGAATACGGGTGGGAAGACTGCATTCCACCTACGACACAAAGTGAACATTCCAAATGCAATAGGTACAAATGCAACATTGAGTGTAAGTCTAGTAATTGTATGCGCTTTTTTGCGAAAGACAAAAAACCCTGGATATTGGCTTAAACAGCGCTGAATTTTCGCAGAAAGATACCAAAATGGATGAAATATGGACACGGGGTGATGTCTGCCAGTATCAGGTGTTGCCCACATATAAGTGCTGCACTTTTGCATGTGAAGAGAATAATTTGAGTCGGCTGGAATATGAAAGTGGCATTGCAAATATTACGAAATCGACCTGTTGCGGCAAACTTCACAATGAGGTAGGTCAGCAAAATAATGTCAAAAATTGGAAAAAGACCTCAA